ACCTTCTGGCCAATCTCTGTGATATCGGTCTGGATGTCTTCAAGCCCGAATACATCACCCGCAATCTCCTCCGCGCGATCATCTTCTCTGGCCAGGGTAAATTGCAGCCACATCCAGTCTTCCACTTGTTGGTTAATGCCGTCTAAGCGCCTATGAGTGAGTTCGCAGCGCCCAATGATCTTGTAGCATGCCATGCGGTAAGGATCGACCGTGTTATCGGGGGCATTTCGCGACCGCTGTTGATACTCTCCGTTGATTTTTTGTTGCAGGTCCCTCGGCAACCGCCTGTTCTGGGCATAGGTTGTCATATATGTCACAAATTTGTGGTCTAAGGAGCGGAAACCTGGATCTTGGCTAACGTACTCTGCTGCTTCCGTGACGAATCCACAGCGAAGGAGATAGAAGATAAGAATCCAGCAATAATCCTCGCCGACCATTTGCAACTCGGTTCCGTCAGGGGCGAGGTCTCTTCTTGCGGCCCTGAGCCTGACATAAGCCCTGATCTTGTTGACCACGGTTGGGATGCCACCGAGCTGTGCTTCTCGGGGATTTTTCGCAATTGCACCCTCCACATCAATATAGAATTGCTTTTCGAGGTATGACCGTGAGCCCTCGATTATACGATTCTTGAGATTGGTCGCTTTGCGTGAGGTTGGCAATTCATCCAAATAGTCCGAAGAGAATTGTCGCTCCCTCAATGCGGAAGGAGCCGAGATATTCATCGCTTCTGGTGACTCCCCAACAATACTGATTAAGGCTCTATAGCCATCATACATTTGCCGTGGAACCTAACGCAAGTCAACAATAGATTGAAAATTGGATCGCGCGGACTTACGTCACCACCTGCGCGCTGTTCAACGTCAGAGAAGTTGTATAGAATCGGATATGTCCGAGATTGGAGTCTGGCCGCATTCAGCAGCTGTACTTTCTCTGCATAGTGGCCTATCTTCTCCCGCAGAAAACGAAGATCAGAAGAGTGACTACCCGGACCATCGTTGCGCTCCATCGAATCTTCAAAAATCTGAAGACCTGCCGCTCCAGTCCCCGGCATTCCAATGACCGATTTATCCAAGCCGGAGCGTCCAAAGACACTCCGACGCGAGACCGAAGCAGGATCATGGGCAGACGCAGTATTGAACTGCTGTGTCCTTTGGACTGAACGGCCAAACGTACTTTTCCCATCCTTAGCATTGTCGTCTTTGTGTGTCAACCCGAAGTGTTGGAATATTTTTCGCCGCTGGTCTTCCCAATTCAGGTCGAGTTTCTCTTCCAGAAACAGGTCAAAATCTCTTTGTGTGCGGGCAAGGCTTTCCGTTATCATGACTTGACGACCACGCTGCTGTAGGTTCCTTAGGTACTTTTGATTATCAGGATCGAACGTCTCCTGCTCTTTAGGAGTCACCGATAGAGAAGCCTGAGGATCTAGAGCTTTGAGGTCCCGTAGCGCGTGACCAGGAGAGACCCCGGATGCAGCCAGCATATAGTGACTGAGAGCCATGAGTATGTCATTTGAAATGCAATGAGAGGTGGGGGATAAGGTGGGGAGAGACAGCTTACGCCCTGCTATTCGATGCATATTGTTGTCTATTGTTAGACCCTTTAGTACCAAGCTCTCGCGCCTTTTTGCGAATATCATCGAGACCCAGTTGCAATGTGGGCAGCTCGTCGAAATTGCTGTTCAGACCGATCGCGGAGAGAGGCCTCTTTTTGCCGCGCTCTAGTAGGCTGTTAAAGAAGGCGGGTTGCGTCTGATTAGACAACTGCGCTGCTTGCGCTACACTGGTCTGTGTTGTATTTTGTCCGGTATTTTGTCCGAATAAAGAGCTCTGGGTGAGTTGCGGTTGTGCCTGCGGTTGCTTTGCAAACAGGGATCCGCCTGAAGGCGTTTGTGTTGTGGACGTGTTCCCAAGCATACTTGCTGGGTTGTTCTGCAGTGCATTTGCCGGCTGCGTTGTGGCCCCTACGCCAGCGGCCCCAAATAGGGGGCCTGGGGTCGTGGATGTCATCGAGAGAGCTTCGCTGCCGTAGTAAAATCTACGAGGGAAGGAGCAAAAGGCTTCGAAGGAAGTAGATCCGCGATACTGGAATGGCCATCAGTTTTAAATCCCATAATTTTGGCTACACTCGGAACTCAAAGCAACATACCAGCGTTCTTCTTCTGGCGGAAAGTTGTTCCTCTTTTGTCACTCTGCTCCGTTACCTTTCACAACGTGATGTTTATAGCAGACTTCTGGCTGGCGATTGCTTGCTAGGCTTGGTGGAGATGGCGGACTTTCGTTTCGCCGAAGAACCTCTAGCCGCCCGATACTTCCCACAATTTGTCAATGGTACGGCAATAGGCATATAGGCACAGCTGCCGCAGCGTCCATGTATTATCCAGAGACCAATTCGTTTCCGAGTTCCTACCTTGGCGACTCAATTGATACCGAAAGTTTGTCAATCTTGAGATTATTATCAAAATGCCCGTCTTTCAAGCCAAGAAATTCCGGCGTGCGACAACCGCCTCATCAACCCTAGGGGAGCGAGTCGGTGCGGCATATAGATCCCGTCTCCCCCGACATCCGTTCCTACTGTTTGGCTTTCCCTTCATCATGATCATAGTCGCAGGGTCTTTCGCACTGACACCGGCGGCCGCTCTGAGATATGAACGTTATGATCGCAAAGTAAAACAACTCAGCCAAGAGGAAGCCTTTAATCTGGGTCTCAAGGGACCGGACGGCGAGGAAGGCATAAAACGAAACCCGCGAAGAAGGATCATTGGAGACGAACGGGAAGAATACTACGTAAGTGATCATCTCCTTGTCACGTAGACTTGCAGAAGTACATGACTTGCTGATTTGCATTCAAGAGGCTTATGGCCAAGGACCTTGATGACTGGGAACAAAAACGTGTGCAGCGCTTCAAAGGTGAACCTGATGGCAGGCTTTGAAGCCACTGACCTCAGATTTGAAGAAGTCACGAATTCCAATGCAGTCACAACATATCTGGTACCAGCTTGTTATTCCCATGAACTCAACCATTCTACATCGAGCCCCAGTCAGCATAGACCCATTTCGTCACAAAAATGGACGTAATCCTTGCACTTTCTTAGCTATCTCATACTTGTTGATAAGCCAGCCAACCATTTCTTGCCTGCTCTCGATGCGTTTGCTCAACGATTACGTGCCAAAAAGTACCCATGACAAATGCGGCTTCACAACAGCCGACCGCAATGAAGCATCAATTGCACTGACCCTCAAGAACACCTTCAATATTGATAGATATCTCGACTCGGCTGTGCCTTGTCAGAATGAAGGGCCTAATTGAGGCGAGGCTAGTGGGCACCAGGAATCTCCCACCCTGAGACTCCGACGACGAGGAATTGAACAGACTTAACAAGGTGTCGCAGTTGAAACAGGAATCTTATATTCATACCCATCTTTGTTTATAAATGGGTTGACCAACCACCCTATAATTGAGCTTGAAATCCTCCAAACATTCGCAGAGGTCTTCTTTTGCTTTACTATGTATGTATGGCTGTGGCGACGACGCGCTCATGAACATGACTACATTCTGTTGTCATGCAAAATCAAGAATTCGCCTCGCCAGTCTCATGCGAGAGATCATTTCATTAAATGGAGATGGTCGAGAAGTGCTACACAAAAGGACTTCATTACGATTTTTGACGGCGCACTCAACACATTTTCATTCTGATATAGTCGATTACAGCTGCTTGGTCCTGTGGGTTCCTCCTTCCCTTTTTTTCCTCCTTCCCTTTTTTCTAGCTTTTTGGTCTCCTTCTTCATTCCCAAAGCTACTATCAGTACGTAGCCACAGTCGCGTGTAGCGAGTATTCTATACGGTGTGGTACAGATCATTGAGCCCCTGTTGATTTCTATATGCCCACGTAGTAAAGAAAATTGAGCTTCTATCCAATGAACGTGAAATACGCCGTAGGTAAAATTAGACCAAAGATAGTGGGTGGCTGTTTGCCCCCTCTTTACATCTTTCTCCCTTTCCTACTTCACATACAATAAATGCTGCATGCTGAACTTTGACAGCATCGCCACACTTCAGTTGAGTTCCTGGTAGATCAGAAGATCCAGACCGGCCGCCGCATGGGTTTCGAGTCTTTCTGCACACGTGCCGTCTTCCGACCTCTGCCACCCACCCTATAACGTCATATCCCAGAGAACAACATCGTTCCCTCCGTTTCCTTTACGCTCCATTCGCTCTTCCGCACAATTCGCTCGGCTGTTGACCCCCGACCCCCCCCTTCATGCTCGAACAATGGCAGTGGATCAGTGATATCAGCCAACAGTGACCACCTCCCCTCCCCTCCCCCACTTTTCCTTGCTAATATTTCCATTGGTCTAGGAACGTAACTGCAGTCGGGCGTGCATTCCCTCCCCTTTAGCTGAGACCTGGGATTCCCCGATTGCGAGGAGTCAAAATTACTTACCTACCTACCTTTACCTTTCTGCCGGTCTTCTCGCCCACTTCTCCCCATGAGCTTTGTCTTCTTTCGCAGACATATCAGCTTGAAAAATTCCGTTACCTCTTTTTAAGCTTCTAATTAATCGCTTCTTCGCCAACCCGCTTGTCGGCTTCTCAATTCATAATCAGCTGAAGCCGTAACATTACCGCCTCCTTCCAGAGTTTGCCAGAGTTTGCAGCCAGCCCATCTGGACCCCAGTGGGCACCCTCTGCCTTTAACGATCTTGTTCGCTCCGCTGCTTCGCCAAATCAGGGCCAGGCTCTGTGCTTCAAGAATTCAGACCTCTAGACAATAACGTCAGTCAAGTGTACATTTGCTCGCTGGGTCATATGGTGTGGAGCAACTAGTTGGCAAGTCTGGGTGGCTGGTGTAGGCAACACCACTCCTCGACTAGACTCGACTGTCAATCTGCTCACCAGGCTAGATTTAATATCGCGATGGCAAAGCAGGTATATATCTGATCACGAACCTCGACTTTTCGGCTAGAAAGGCAGACTGTCACTCTCTGTCTTGACATAGAATCATGTCGGCTATGACAGGCTCAAGGTCACCTACATCTCCTTGGCCGTCAGAGTGCCAGAATTTGCAGCCTGACCACCCTGCAAACGCAACATCATTTTTCTCTTTTTGTGATACTCACCCTTCATCTCATGGACCTCCCGGACTTGGTCCCTCGAGTACAGTCTTAGACCGTTCGGGATCTGATCATTTCTCAATTAGTGTGGACAATCCGGGCAACTTTGGGAACATTGGAGAAGCAGTACCACATGCTCATTCTGCAATATCTTATCCAAGAATTCACCTTGCAAACAATAGAACCCTCGATAACAACCTGACTCTTTCAAGAAGTGGATTGGCATTCAACAATCACTTGAAAGAATCCAGGAGTCACGGGAATCCACATAGCCGAGACCTAGTGGTCACAGGTGCCGGTGCACCTTCAGGACAGATGACTTCTATGGACGGGCGTTCCATCTCCTTAGATGAATGTGCAGCGCTTCTCGAATCATCTGATCGTGATATTATGCTTCTAGATGTTCGACCCTACGCGCATTTTGCGAAAGGGACTATCGAGGGGTCTCTCAATCTTTGCATACCGACAACACTGTTGAAGCGCCCTTCATTCGATACGCAGAAATTAGCGAATACTTTCACAACTGATCATGATAAGAAAAAATTCGCGCGATGGCGGCAATCCCAATACATAATCGTGTTTGATGCCGCTACATCTGACATGAAAGATGCCGGGTCGCTAGCGAATGTGCTGAAGAAATTCACCAGTGAAGGGTGGGGAGGGGAGGCTCGAATTCTACTTGGGGGCTACAAAATGTTCTCATCTCGCTTTCCTCATTTGACCAAGCAACAGCAGCTTCCAGCTTCAGGAGCGCCTACAAAGAAAACACCCAGAATGCATATTGATCTCCCTTCGGCAGCTCCAGTCGCAGGCGGATGTACTCTCCCCGAGTCATCCCATGCTGCGATACCTTTTTTCGCCAACATCAGACAACACATGGATCTCGTTGATGGTGTTGGACAGATACCTCTACAACTCCCTTCTGATTTTACGGAACTCAAGAGACAACAACTCCCAGCTTGGCTACGCGATGTGTCGGACGCCTCCGACAAAGGTCGTAAAGTCTCCGAGAGGTTTTTGAAACTTGAGAAGAGGGAGCTCGAACGCATGAAACGAGCGCTGTCTTATAATAAATCCGACGAGTTCGCAGCGATTGACTCCTCGCCAGAAAGGTATCGCGTTGCCGGTATTGAGAAAGGAACGAAGAATAGATACAACGACATCTATCCTTTTGAACATACTCGAGTGAGACTCCAAAATGTCCCTCCTGGTGGCTGTGACTACGTGAATGGGAACCATTTAAAGGCCGAAAAGAGTGGTAAATGCTATATCGCCACCCAGGCCCCAGTTCCCGATACCTTCGATGTAAGTGCGATATGTAGTCTCTTCCCTCTTTTTCATGTCCCCGGTGGCGAGTGTGGTTGGAAGTTTTGCTCATTATGTCTTTAGGACTTTTGGCGAATGATATGGGAACAGGATGTCCGACTTGTTGTTTCATTGACTGCCGAAGTTGAAAGGGGTCAGGTCAAATGTCATCCTTACTGGAAGTCAGGAGAGTATGGACAATGCCAGGTCAACAATTTCTCGCAGAAGTTGATCTACCTAAATTCTCGAGATGCACCACATATTGAGTTAGAAGGCAGCCAGTTACCCCCCGACGTGAAGGACGACCCAGGTAACCCATATATCGTTGTCAGGCACTTTGGCTTGTCACATTCAGCATACCCATTTCAGCCATTGCGAGAAGTCACTCAATTGCAGTACCCACACTGGCCTGACTTTGGAACAACCTCGCAGCCTACACACCTCCTCAGATTAATCGAATATTGTGATCGGGTTCTCACTACAACGAATAGTCCTGTTCCCGTTACGTTCCAGAGACACGCATTTGATCAGCGGCCGGTCTTGGTGCACTGTAGTGCTGGGTGTGGACGTACCGGCGCTTTCTGTACGGTTGACACCGTCCTAGACATACTGAAGCGGCGAAGGGGTCAAGGCACAGTGGACGGTATGACATCAGGGCTCACTGAGAAACAATGGGATCTCGATGAGGGTCTGGACCTCATTGAGAAGACTGTGGACGACTTCCGCAGACAAAGACCCAGCATGGTTCAGAACCTTTCGCAATTTGTTCTGTGCTATGAAAGCGTGCTGGAATGGGCTGTATCGCACATAGGAGAATAGAGTACGATTAGGTAATATTTAGTATCTCTTGGTCATCACTGGATGATGAAATCCTAAGGGGTTCTCTTGAAATCATGTTGGCGTGGATGTTTATTATACCTTGTGAGATGTCTTCATCGCTTTCATTCTAGACCTTGGTCGCCGTGTCAATATGTGTTGATGAAAGCATTTTCGGGTGTTGTTTTCTTATTTAGGTCTAGTTGATCATGATGATATTTTAAGCTGTGGCTCGGGAATCAAATTAATATTATAGATATACACAGGATATTATTCGAGATCAAAAATTATTGACCCATGGTAATTTCCCTCCCTATCTTGTTGATGGAACCAAGATCTTGCAAGTAAAGTAATGTTCTATCAAGGATATGTCTGATATTTACACGGTATGGCAATTAGTCTCGGTGGCACCTGCGATATATATAGGCGTGACCCCTCAAAGGGCCGATCTCTCTTAGTGCTTCCGTACATGAGTTCCATACCGGCTAAAATCTTAAATGTGAGTCCTATAATCTTGAAGTGAGGTTTCTGCCTAGCAAAGAGCCGCATGTTTCTGCCTCCAAGATAGTCCCAGGGAGTAACATACTTTTGGCTGTGTTGTGGCGGGGTTTCTCTTGTTATACCTTCCAGGCAGCAAGTGACCCTGGTGCCTTATGGGAGACAGGCAGACCCGCCAGCCGTGATTAATCATAGGGATTTAAACATCGATCCTCTCCTTTTCAAGGAGCTTGATCCCTTCGATACGTCCAATCACTCGCTACCTACGAGTAGGTAGAACAGAAGCTTGAGTGCTTGTCTGCTTACTACTTGCCTTCCCCTCCCTCAAGCCAAACGCTTCGACCTTTGGTGGCTATGCTTTTGAACCTTCCTACGGAGCTCATACAATGGGTTTTTCGATCCTGTTCTACCCCAACTTTCCTACAGGCGGCAATGTCATGTCGAACCATGTATGAAATTGCGACTAACTGTCGAGAGGTCCTTGTGCACCACTTACAACGAACTCCGGGAGCTTTACCCGCAGACCTCCGTTCTATGCATGCGAAAGAGCTATTTCAACTGCTTTTTAGACAAGCATCACAGCAACTTTATGGTGCACAGTTTCATGCGGACTGTGTCACTTTCAAGCCCTGGACCAGCTCCGTTGATGTGAAGGCGTCTGTATTGGTACCTAGGGACATCCTGACGCTCGCACTTGTTTTTCGAGAACAAGATTGCATCCATCTTTTCCAGGTTATAGGGGGTGGGCTCCGACCCCAAACTCGCTTGGAGCTTCAGTGGTGTCGGCCAGGTGCTGTTCAAATTCTGAAAACTGCATTTGACGGTGATGATACATTATACATACTTCATCGCTTTAGGCCTTCACTAAACGACAGCGACGATTATGCGAGGCATCCGTTCGTCAGGCACGCCATGCAGCTCGGGACCGATACGACGGTCTATCTCTCTCGATATTCAATAGAATCGCCCCAGGGCCCTGTTCGCATTTGTGCTTTCCCTGATTATGCAGACTACGAGCCTTTGGCTCTGGCGGCTGCGCGTGGAGGCGTTTTCGCAATCTCCTGGCAGCATACCCAGGACCCCAGTGACCTCGAGGTAACTTTATATATTTGTTCCTCAGAATCCAACTGCGATATGAGGCCGGGGGTAATCGGTAGGCCTCTCTGTGTCATTGCAGCCAAGGCTGCCGGTGCTGACATAACCTAGAAACTAGCTATAATTCTTGCGTCCTCCACAACAGCAAAAGGCAGTGGTTTGATGGCCATCAGGGCTTACAAGGCAGACTCGCTCGGGGTCTTCACCCTTACGATAAAAGCTCTGTAGTAGGTCTTCGTTTTAACGACAAGTCTAGCCAGCTACTCTACTATTATCGCGCTCAGACGTTATACGGCTCTTTCCAGAGGATTGACATGTCGTCCTTTCCCATACAACCCACATTGTATGAAAACTCCTGCCCTGTACAGTTCACAGACTCCCTTAGCCTTCTTTTCTCAATCGAGGTTCCTTTCTTTGGGACCCATGAAACTCAGGTCCTAGACGGATTCGCTCGTTGTCAATGGAAATACCTGGCTTTCGGCTTAGCAACCCATCGCGAAGAACGATGGACCGTTGCGTGCTTGTTGACATCCGAAACATTCTGTCGCGCACAGAATTGTCAGCATGTCTTGCAACTTGAGCGTGGACGGCGATTGCCTGATTGGAGCGTCGTTGCACGCCTCTGGGGATTCCAGCATTCGACCAATTCCCTTGGTTGCATAGTTGCTGCTTCAAGGCAGGGGACAAGGCTCGCAGTCGCCAACTGGAAAACAGTCTATGTTTGGGCTCTTGAGCCGAGAGCGCTAATTGAAGAGAACTCCAATGGGTTCTACCCTCTTGCATCACAAGCACAAGATTCCGGCATGATCGAATTACGACCAATAGTATTGTCGCTTCAAGCCGTCTGCTTTCAATTGCATTTCTCTGAGGAAGAAAATGGATTGATAGCAATCACAGATACGGGTGTTATGTGCTGGGATTTAGGCCCGCGGGGAGGAGGGCGACGACTGATTCAGTATATCCAATACTAGTCAAGTTCTGAGAGCAGCATATTCACTGACATTTCAGTGCAAGCAAAGACAAACGAAGAGCTATTGATGGAACATCTATCCAGTATTCGATGCGAGACGGCCCCGGGTTCTTTTGTCAGGCAACACCTATCGCCCACTCTCTGCCCGCTAAGCCTCTGTAAGTAGAGCTATTTTGTATGTACATGAGTATTGCTTCCAGCTCTAGCAAAGAGAGACTCACAGACTCTAGAGTGTTCCAGTTGCTCTGAGCTGGGAAAGGGGGAACCAAGCTCGCCAAGACCATCTTGTGCAGGCTCGTAGACGCCAAATCTTGGCTGATGCTAGTATTGACTGGAGGAGTAATCTGAACTAATAGCTTGCAATCTGTCATCTTGGTCTTTAGACTCTGCGACCCCATTGGTAAAATGTCTGAGATTCTCAGTCGATCAGGGATCTAGTCCAGCTCAGCCAACGAGCTCGATGCTCGCGCTCAGAAGCTGCAGGCGACACACTACGGAACATCTGGTATGGCCCACAGGCATCCTACCCTTAACCTAGCTAGGATGCGACTAGAGCTTGCGACGCGCATCCGCGTTGGGAGAGGACGAGGGGGCGCATGCGGTGATGGATATATGATGGGCAAGGCACACGACGTCCTACGGGTGCGATTTTCCGACGGCTGAGGAGTGGGGGTGATTCACGATGCGGCTGGAGCGGGTAGGTGGCTATTCCAAGTGTACAAATGAGCGTGGACGCCCAGGGGACTACTGCGCCTCCCCTCCACCAGACATGGCGAGAAATGTGACGATGAGGAAAATCCACCAGTACCTGAGTGATGCAAGTCAGTTCACATAAGGCGCAAAAGGCATCGGAGAGCTTAACCCACTTCTGGAAAAATGTCTTCTCGACAACTTCGTCTGCGTTCTTTCCGTCCGGGCCGATAATGACAGGTTGATTTAGGTGCGGACGTGGGCCAGCCTCGTTCGATACTAGTTCCACTCGAGGGCTGACCAGAGTCGAGAAATCAGCGAAGGTAGTAGAGGATACTAGAGCAACGTGATACAATTCGTCCTCAGAAGGCGACTCGATGTAAAGTCGAAGGACAGGGCGGTTGTCCTCATCTCCAAAGAACGACGACCAGGAAGTAGCAGTTCCGACCCAGTGCTTGGAGCCTGAAGTGTTGATTGCGAAGAAACCGATGCGAATCAAGTCCGACGACTGTTGTGCGTGAGCGAGAGTCGGAGGCGAATAGGTGACCAACTCTGAGTTCATAGAAGTCGAGTTATATGATATCTGGGCCAGTAAAGAAGGTTCAGAAGCTGCGACGGGCCAGTAGAAGACATCAGCAGATGATGGCTGGGGGGGTGGCGAGGAATTGACGACGCTTGAGGATAGAAAAAAGCATAATAATGATAGAAGCATAGGAGACAGAAACGGCCACATGATGAGCAAAGATGCACTTATAGGAAAAGGGAGGAGGAGGAGGAGAAGGAGAAAGAAGGAAGTAAGTGAATAGCTCCGATGACGGGATATTGAGGGAGGAAGAAGGAAGTTGATGAGAGGGAGCAGCTTGCTAGGTGGGATTAATTCAGTTAGCCATACGGAGCAGTTACAGCGCCAGCCATAAGTTACGTAGTTAACATTCCTGGGTAACTTGGTTATCAATACAGCTGAGGTCGTACTGCGACGCTGTAAGATGTAAAATATTATTCAATAGGTTACAAGCTGGGAGAAGAACTGACTGGAAGAGTGTGAGCGATGGTGTATCCATGTAATACATAGAGTATGTATTGTATAGTACAGATGTACAGTATTCGATAGTACAGTCAGTAGATGGTACAGTACAGTTCTGCACACGTCTAGATTCAGGTATCAAACCTAAATATCGGAACGAGCCTACTACAAGTGATTAAGACGGAGAGGTTCAAAATTGCCTAGATAGGCTGGCATTTTTCCAATCCACATGGATCCATCCACCATTGAACCTTTACCTGATGACCTTGAATTCCGATAACCCCAGTCCCTGCCCTTTATCCCGCCATTTATCCCCGCCCAACCCCACTCCAATGGCTGTTGCTGCTACCATACTGCTGCAGTGCAGCAGCAGCAGCAGCAGCAGCAGCAGCTCCCCTTCCTCCTCCATACTTAGACTAGCTGGCAGAGAAATCATCGTAGGCCGTACGAAGTTATAACTTACCCTCCAAGTCAGTAAGATAATACAACGTAGTATTATATGTATGTACCCTTGTACTGGCTGTTACTGGACAGCGCATTTACCCCTCCCATCCCCTCTTCACCTCCCTTCTCTCCTTCATCCTTCTCACTTTTCTGCTGCGACTTTGTTATCTCTTTCCCTCGATCATTTTTTTGAGACAATTGAGCCCCTCGGTAGAGAAAGCCACTACAATCGACATCAGAACTACATTTCTATACTTCGATGTTTATGTAAAAGCTCAGTCTTACGCCATCATTTTATCAGAGATATCAGGTCCAATCCGGAATCATCTCAGTCATGGCTTCTCTGGGCTCCCTGCCATACCGTCGAACCTCACGCCAGAGCTCTAGGCAGGCCTCGAGAGACAAACGGGATGAAATCCAAGTGCATGTGGACCATTATATTGGCATCGATGTTGGCACCGGGAGTGCACGTGCATGTATCATCGATGATAAAGGGGACATTGTTGGACTGTCGTCTGAGAACATCGGGCTCTGGCAACCTCAGCAGGGATACTATGTTCGCCCCCCGCGATCATCTTGCGTGGTCCCTGTGCCCACTTGAGGATTAGGCTAATATGGCTCAGGAACAATCTACCAACGATATCTGGAGATGTATCTGTGTGGCTGTTCAACGGGCTATTAGCCAGCATAATATTGACCCTGAGACTGTGAGAGGCATTGGTTTCGATGCGACCTGTTCATTGTCCGTATTTTCCAACGTAACCGATGAGCCTATCTCAGTCACAAGCCCCAACTTTGACTCCGACCGCAATGTGATTCTGTGGCTGGATCATCGTCCCGTCGAGGAAACCGAGAAAATCAATGCCACGAACCACAACCTTCTTCGCTACGTGGGCGGCAAAATGTCGATCGAGATGGAAATCCCCAAGGTTCTATGGCTCAAGAACAACATGCCGAAAGAACTCTTCGATCAGTGCAAATTCTACGACCTGGCAGACGCGTTGACCCATATTGCCACGGGAACCGAGAAAAGAAGTTTCTGCAGTGTGGTTTGCAAGCAGGGGTACGTTCCTGTCGGTGTGGACGGAAGTGTAAAAGGCTGGCAAGGCGACTTCTTGACTGAAATCGGCTTGGGCGATCTAGTCGAAGATAACTTCAAGCGGATGGGCGGTGTTGACGGGGTGGTGAGCCTTGTTTCTTCTGTGACAATTTTTCTTGACGTGCCTACTGTACCCGGAGCAGGAAGGTCACTGCGATATGCTTATACCTGAGCGACTAACAGATCATTGCGCTAGAGTGGCGATTATCTCAGTGCTGGCGAATTGGTGGGAACTCTATGTGACAAGGCAGCATCCGAATTGGGCCTCCCGTCAGGGATCGCAATTGGCAGCGGTGTCATTGACGCGTATGCAGGCTGGATCGGTACAGTCGGCGCCAAAGTAGAGTTGGAGCCCGGGCAATTGAGTTCCGAAGTCTCGAAGAATGATAAGACCCAGGCTTTCTCACGCCTGGCCGCTGTCGCTGGAACTTCCACGTGCCACCTTGCGATGTCACAGGACCCCGTCTTTGTGCCTGGTGTTTGGGGGCCGTACCGCGATACCATTCAGCCGGGATATTGGATGGCTGAGGGCGGCCAATCCGCGACTGGCGAGTTGCTCAAGCATGTCATTGAAACTCATCCAGCATTCAATCAGGCGGCCTCAATCGCCGAGTCCTACAACGCTAATATATATGAATACCTAAACGAACATCTGAAGGAGATGACCCACGAGCAGGAGGCCCCTAACGTTTCTTATCTAGGCCGGCATTTGTTTTTCTATGGAGATTTATGGGGAAACCGTTCTCCTATCGCGGATGCTGCCATGGCGGGATCCGTCGTCGGTTTGACAAGTGATAAGTCTGTCGATGGTCTTGCAGTGTTCTACTATGCTACTCTCGAGTTCATTGCACTGCAAACTAGACAAATTGTGGAAACCATGAATAAAGCAGGCCACGCGATTACGTCAATCTTCATGTCTGGTTCTCAGTGCCAGAATGATATTTTGGTTAGACTAATAGCATCGGCGTGCGACATGCCGGTACTTATTCCTCGGTATATCCATGCTGCCGTGTGTCATGGAGCAGCGATGCTGGGTGCCAAAGCTGCTAGTGCTGACCCGGAGGGCAAGACCGAGGACCTTTGGGAGATTATGGATCGTATGAGCAAACCAGGAAGAAAGGTCCTTCCAACAACCGATGTGAGGGAGAAGGCACTGCTCGACGTCAAATACAAGGTTTTTCTTGAACAATGCTACAAGCAACAGGAGTACCGGGCTCTCGTCGATCGAACCGTGAGCTCGTGGAAACCTTAGGTATATTCCCTTACTGTAGGGGAGGTTTCCACAGGGGGATCGTCTTGTTGAGCAATTGCAGGCGGCGTCAAATGAGATGGTTCCAATTTGGCGCAACGAATCATGGTGGAGAGTGTTTAGACAAACATTGATAACACCCATGGTCAGGCCTTTTGGGAAGAGGAAAGGCAAAATAATGCCAATTGATGAGCAGTTCTAGCCAGAGATATGACAAGAGACTGGTAAAATGCGATAAGCGACACAGTACACTCCCAAATTCGGCAATCTATCACGACAACTAAATCTGCGAAGGTTGAAAAAGAGCTTCTCAGTGAGGCGCAAAGGCCTGGCCACTCGTTGCCCGACCGATGGTGTAAAACTTCTCCGACGAGCTTAGACCGAGAGCCAGCGTGTCAAACCGATCAACACCCATTGTCTCTATATTGCTGTAGCCCGATAGATAAAACCCGATGACAACGACAAGATACGTAAGGACGAGAATCGAGCCCTTGAAGTAATTGCTCTTGCCTTCGCCGTGAACATAGGAGAGGAGGAAGACACAAAGGATGACCGAGATCATGTCCCATTGAGGAAAGATTAAGCTGCAGGATGTTAGATGAGACACTGAAGCTGGCCTGGAAGTATGAAGAAACGTACTTGAATGTATGGCTGAGTAACTCCGATGGGTCTATCAGGCGAGAATAGATGGCACTAAAAAGCACCAATGCGGGGATTTGCAAGAGGCAGACTTGCAATGCATAGGCCGATCCGATCTCCATAGAAAGCGCTATGTTTCCATTCATGGCGAAGGAGATTGCGTTCTATTGAGATCTGCCGTAAGCAATCCAGCAGCCAGTAAGGGAAGATGAGTTCTTTGCACATACCAGAAATTCAGTCGTATTGGGCACCAGGGCGAAGAGTGTGATTCCTAGAAACTTCTCGTCCACGTCGACACTCTCTAGAACCACATCTACCGTGTTGACCAAGATTTCAGCAATGATCGCATACAGTATGGTTGTCACCAGGAGGATTATCGAACTCCTGGCCTTGCTCCAATTCGGCGCATCATGCCCACCGCTGGTGTGAGTATTTTCGAGGCCAACTTCATCGCCTTCATCCAAATGCGACCTTGCCAAATCGGGAGCTTTTGTTGTTTGACGGAGCGAACCCAGTTGAACGGACGGCTTCCGGGACCGGGCTGCGTCACGGGCGGCAACAGTAGCCGCCGTAGCTGCTACCTCAGTTACTCGGCGCACAAGATCTTCATTCTCCTCGCTAGATAAATCCCGGAAATCCTGGAAGCTTGCGTGGTGGTCCCCGGTCGTCGTTTGTGGAGGTACAAGATATGGCGCTGCATTTTTGCCATGCGCGGAGAGGTTGAGTTCCCCCGCAGTCTCGGATAGACCGACATGCTTCAGGGATTGCCCTAAAATCCGTTTGTACAGTTGCGAATCGCGCACTGAGCCCCTGGATGCAGCAAGGCCACCAATAGCCATTGCTGAGGCTTGAGCGGCATCAAGATTTCGAGACTCGTACGTAGCTTGCTCGTTGGCAAGAGCCGGCGCTTTTTTCTCCTCGGATTCTGTGGCCCAAATGAGGGCTGCGTGAGTTCTAAGTGTGAACCATAACCCAATAACGTATGACAAGAACAAGAATAACGCAGCGAACCAGGAGTAAGGCTGAACTGCTTTCCGGAAAAAGCTATCGTTGACAGCTGGTACCTGCGAGAAATAACAGCGACGGCAATCGCTGCCACGCGACTCCACGGTATCGACGCATGATCGGCAGTTAAGTTCATGCTGAGCTCCTCATTAGCAGTGAGAAAAGGCAGAGTTTGAGGGGATGAACAGAATAAAAAGTGAATAGGGTATGAAGGGAACCATGCTTACACTGCCGTAAATCTGATAAAATAGTGTTGGTCCAAAAGCGGCAATGACGGCAAACATCAACATTGTGGAAGTGACGCCGGCGGATTTCACATTAAATCGTTGTGTTTTGCGTTTGATAGCACCAAAGCACATCGAAAGGCCCGGGAGAAACAAGATGCCTGCAAATATGCTTCCGATAAGACTGCCTTCTACTAGTTGACCCTTTCCCTCAGTCAAGGCCACACAGTAAAGGTAGACCTCGACTACTGTGGAGAAGAAAGCATTAACAGCAGCGCCCATACCCATAGACGACTGAGCTGAAATCGATGCAACAGCCTGTCCAATGAAGTAAGCCAAAGGGATGATAGAGACAAGAGCCAGGGTGAAGATAAGGCCCGGATGAGTGATGGCCGTTTGGAGACCTAGGGTCTTGCTGAGAAGAAAATAGTCAAAGATAACAAATAAGACAACACCCAGTAGGTTGATGAAGAAAATATTCGTTCCGCCGACCGTGTATTTCCAGTATCGCAGACCAGCTGCGCGATAGGTGCACAACAGGACAGACGAGGAAGAACCGGGACTAACTCTGGTATGCGCTGTATCAGAATGATACGACAAGGCCAGAGGGTGCCGGCGAAGGTGATCAAACAGAATGATGGTCACACGTCCCATAGGTATCCAGAAAACCAGCAACCAACAAAGAAGCGAGACAATGAGCATAAGCGGTCCTACAAGGAAGTAGAAGAAGATGAAGAAAACCACGCGGCCAAGCGTCCACTCGCCACGGCCGAACAATCGTCGCTTCGGCTGGGTAAGGGGGCTCTCTCTCGAATGGCCTCTTTGTGTTCGGCCTAGCAGGCTATCTTGTTCACTGGCCGAATCGACACTGTTTCTCCTTCTTCCAACCAGGGACCGGTCGCGTCGAGGACCGAAGAATAGTCTACCATGTTCAAGGTCGCCGTTCTGCCATTGTTCATACTCGCTAATGCTGCGACCCTCCCCCTCATCTTCCTCGGCGTAATTCTCATCCGTATCCAGGCGGACAAAGGAGCCGAAGGGGTAGATTAGATACCAAGAAAGACCGGAGAAGACTCGTCCGTATTCCACTGCACTGGGCGAGTATGCGAAAATGAAGCATGCGATGGCCCCTGTCAATGCAGCCAAGGCTAGCCACCACCCAAAGAACAGGGTCCACAAGAGGTTGACGAAGAATAGGAGGTTACCCACTCGACCGCCAGGCGAAGAGTGGATGTCCCCCTCAGCTGTTTTCTCCACGGAGCGACTCTTCTTGTACAAAGCGGGTTTCCACAATCTGATACCGAACGGATGCGTTTCGTTTATCGCTTGCTGGCGATCCTTCAATGTGAAGCTTTCAGCATCACTCGACGCCGCCTCGTCCTCCTCACCGTGAATACCTTCCCCAGTTTGGCTGCCGGTCTCAGATCGCTGGACAGAAGGCTCCGGCCCAGTTCCTTCCATGACAGAATCAGGTGAAGCAGTATCATCCTCACCATCTACGTCTGAGCCTGCTTGAGTCAGGGGGCTTACTCGGGCGTTCAAACGACGTCGCAAGGTTGAGCTTTGCTTCCTCAGAGGGCGAATCCTTGGCGATGCTTGCGGATTGGAGCCTTGTTGCTTGGCAATATCCTCTTCCACCTCCTGTACATCGTCATCTGTAGAAAACTCCTGTCCCTTATGAGGAACTTGTCGCTTCGAGGATATACGGCGCGTTACTGATGGCTTTCTGAGTGGGCCCGATGGTGACTGGGAGGCAAGAACGCGACTTGAACCCTCGGGCTGGCTTTCGTCGGGTCGTAGGTCGTTGTCCGTTTTCGCAGAAGAATCCATGGTACCTGCTGCACGTGAGTTGACTTCTTGGATAGGAAAGAGATGCAGAAATTCTAGCGTTTTTGGGTTGGGGTGACGCACCGTAGTCTCTTCGGGTATGCCCTGCATTCCTCTGTTGACGAATGATCCCTGACATATCCTCGTTGGTCAGGTTCCAGGAGGACTCAGTCGGTATGGAGAGGTAAGGGTCCTGCTCTTCGTCGTCCTCCACCTGGTCGTGGTGGTGTCGATTGTCGGACATCCTTCTGGTGTATTGCCAACTTCTCGCTTATAAGTGATACAAGAATCGAGAGAGGGGGAGGGGGGGGGGGGGCTGGGCAATTATGGAAAGGGAATAGTTCGGGAAAAAGCACTGATGAGAGAGTGGCCTGCACTGAGAACAGCAGCAACAAGAAGAACAGGGCTAGAGAGCCGGGAAATGAGTTAATTGACAAACAATTATGATCTAAGGCGTCACAGAGAAAGTCACATGTTGTTTCAATGTGAAAGAAAAGAAAAAAAAAGAACCAAGGGTGGAAATAATAGCTGACTGTGAAGGGGAAAGGGGGAGTAGAAGTGATGGTAATCAACTTAAGTCTTGGTACAGTACTGAGTAGTTAGCAGCTAACTTTGTGAGATCATGAGATACAGCCTCATTGCGTCCCCGCAGTCAGCCGAGACCTTGGGACATCATCAAGTCAAGGGGATTATTACAAACGAGACGAACAATGACTGAGGAACTAACTAGTAAGTAACTTGATAAGTTGCTGGATATCGTGAAAGTGGCAGACAGGGAGAGTAGTTGGAAAGTGTAAGAGAGAGGGTGTGGAATAATGCATAAAAGAACCAACGTTCAGACAAACACTTTAGTTGAAGTTGAGTAAACACAGTAGGTTAACTAACTACTGTGCGTACAAGTAAATAAATCAGCTACCTGTACAGTACGAGTACAGTAAATACGTCACACTCAACTCACTCTACGACTCCTCAGCCGGGCAAACCGGGGCAATCACCGGGCACCCAGCAGTTCATGATGGTTGGGACTAAGTAGGTATGGATGAATCCCGCATGATCCACAAACCCACATATTCGTTATGTAAGCTTTCTGTGGCTGATGAACGGGTTGTGGCGGGTGTGCTTTGGGGCGGCGACGGCGGCGGCGTTCCTGTCGACGAGGGCGGACAAGGGCGGACAGCTAAGCTACACACGCAAGAGCGAGCTCATCTCACCCTCCATCCGCTGTTATCTTGTATTGCACTGTACATCTCTCTTTCTCTGTCACTCTTCCTGCTTAATTGCCCCACACTCTATTTTCTTCGTCCTTCCCTCAAATTCGGGCAGAAGATATATCAAATTTCTTCTCCATCTAATCGAAACTGATAGACTCCACCCCCGTTCTGCCTTGCCGTGGCAGCACTATCTGTCGTCATCCATCATGGCGCTCGACAATTACTACCGCAACAAGATTGAGAGCATGAAGCTCGAAATCATTCAAGGCCAGGCTGTTCTCAGACGACTTGAAGCACAACGGAACGATTACAATTCGCGGGTACGTCTCCTCAGGGAGGAGCTAGGCCTGCTTCAGCAACCCGGCTCCTATGTTGGTGAGGTAGTCAAGGTCATGAGCACCAAGAAGGTCCTTGTCAAGGTCCACCCGGAAGGCAAATATGGTAAGCAAGATCTCCGCATCATGCACATTATTGTTGATCTGGATATGTTCATTACATGCTAACGCTAGCGTCTCTCTGTAGTTGTGGACATCGCCGATGGTGTCGATATCAGCAAGTTGACGGTTGGAAAGCGAGTTGCGCTGTTATCCGACTCGTACAAACTGGAAAAGATGCTGCCGTCCTCCGTCGATCCGCTGGTGTCGCTAATGATGGTCGAGAAAGTACCTGATAGTACGTACGACATGATCGGTGGTCTTGACCAGCAGATCAAGGAAATCAAGGAGGTGATCGAGCTGGGCTTGAAACACCCGGAGCTGTTTGAATCGCTTGGCATCGCACAGCCAAAAGGTGTTCTTCTCTATGGCCCCCCGGGAACCGGCAAAACGTTACTTGCCCGAGCTGTCGCTCATCACACCGACTGCCGGTTCATCAGAGTCAGTGGATCGGAATTAGTGCAGAAGTACATAGGTGAAGGAAGTCGCATGGTCCGTGAGCTTTTTGTTATGGCCCGAGAGCATGCCCCGAGTATCATCTTCATGGACGAGATCGACAGTATTGGGTCCAGCCGGATAGACTCGGCGGGGTCGGGTGACTCGGAGGTACAACGGACGATGCTGGAGCTTCTCAACCAGTTAGACGGGTTTGAACCTACGAAGAACATCAAGATCATCATGGCTACCAACCGACTCGATATTTTGGATCCGGCCTTGCTGCGCCCTGGTCGTATTGACCGCAAGATTGAGTTCCCACCGCCGTCGTGAGTTGCTGACCCTTGTCCTGCGATTTTCTGTTGCTACCACTGTTCAAACATTCGTGTTTCGCCACCAGTTGGCTGACCAAGATCTTTACTATGACAGAGTGGAAGCTCGTGCCGACATTTTACGGATTCATTCGCGGTCAATGAACTTGACCCGAGGTATCAACCTTACGAAGATCGCCGAAAAGATGAATGGATGCTCTGGAGCCGAGCTCAAAGGAGTGTGTACGGAGGCGGGCATGTATGCACTTCGGGAGCGACGTGTGCATGTCACTCAGGAAGACTTTGACCTGGCTACTGCAAAGATCCTCAACAAGCATGATGACAAGGAAGTCGCAGTGTCGAAACTCTTCAAGTAAATGGAAGGGTGATTATACTAGGATTCCCTTTCACCGCTGATGGCTGTCCAATATATATGCCATTCGCCTTGAGTGGGTTCTCGTCGGGGCTTCAGGCCTCTGCTTGTTGTCGCGAAGTCACGACCAGCTGGTGTTTGAGGGAAGTCTCTCAGGTCAAATGCAAGCAAGGAGTGATGTATATTGACACGCTATGTTCACCAAGATCTTTAGTTGAAGCAATTCAAGATGCGTGTACTCTGTAGCGTTAGTCTATATCGTAAAGTTCAGGCCCGTGCCCATTCCCAAGGGCGAGCAGCAAGCCAGGACCCAATCAGAACAATGAGGGTGGCCAACATCCCTTTTTGCCTGGCAAAGTGCCGTGAGTCACTGACTACTGTCACGTGTACCTCTGCAGGTATCCTTAGTATTTACATAGTACGAGTATATAAGTTACTGTGCATTGCAAACGATCTCGACAGACCCGCGTAGCTAAGGCGTTGTATGCATTTACACGCTAGGTCTAGGATGCAGAAAAACCAGGGCGACGATCAGTGGGCATCAATTGTGCTTGGCGGCATTGCGAGGGGGTCAAAAACTAAGCAGAAATCGTCGACATTGTGATCATATTGCCCTCAATCTGGCTTGGCAAAATGGTGGATGACAAGTTGGCTACTAGGTAGTTACGGAGTAGTCAGTTTGTGGTGGCCTGATGGTCTTTCACAAGTAACTAGGTATATGCAGTAACCTTAGTAGTGTTCTCTGTAGTATACGTCTGCATAAAATAAGTCAATAGCCAGGGAGCAGTAATAGGTTTACAGCTGTACCAAGTGCAGTCATTGATTAGCTTAGTTGCTAGATAAGTTGAACATACGGAATTCAATTAAATAATTATTCAATGAAGAATCACATTATCTAGGTTCTCTTTATCGATTAAGCCACTGCTCTGGATACTGTGTCGGGGCCATTAACTCGGTCGGCCCCCCATCCGTTCGCCCCGGGCTTGGAGAAGGGGAGGTGGGGTCCATCGACTCCATCCATATCAACTCCCTCCATCGGTAAGCCTGTTGATCGCCGCCTCATTGTAAGGTGAGGAGGGTGCGCGTGACCAGCCGGTATTTTCTTTCATTTTACTCCGTGCCTATTTCTTGTTGTTTCTTTTCCGTTACCTCTTTTAGCTTTGCTCTTTCCTTCCTTTGCAGTTCGCCTTCCCAATCACAAATTGCCAGATTGTTCATCCCCACTCTTGTTGGAATATTTGGCATACATGTACTCACTTACTAGTTACATCCTTAGTAACTCATACTCTACACCCAGATGTACAGCACACAGACACTACACAGACACTAGACAGACACTACACAGACACTACCCAGACACTGCACAGACAAACAATTTAGTGAATACTTCATAAGTAAGTTGATGTCTTGACCGGTAGTGTGTATGGAGTAGGGCCTCGGCTTTCAGTGGGGCGGTCCAGATCCCGAGCAACATCCCCTAAAGTCTGATACTCAGTACTAAGTAGTAATCCTGTAGAATGTACTGTGCTCCGTACTTCGTACGGGTCGACCTACTCATTAGTCCAGTGGGTCCGAGCCCTGGTATGGGACGGAGAAATTGAAGCCGTGAACGAGGGCCGGAGTGTCTTGTTGTCTCCTGAATCATGCAGGTCTGCCGAATCTTCTTCCATACTCATGGTTACTTTAGGTAGTGCGAGCACCTGTACTGTACAGTACTGAGGGGTAACTTTCTGGATGAAGGTATTTATACGTACTAGATTAATCTAGATTAACCATCCCCTGCTTCCCTTGTGCCAGGTAGGCATACAGAGACTATATTCTTGTACTAGACCGGTAGTAGATGGTATACATCGCATGCATGAATGCTACCTTCATCCGGCTCCGTCGATACAGTAACTATTAGATAAAGTACTCCACTGGTCAGTCATATGTATGTACCTACTGCACAGTACATACTGCACATGCGACGGAACTCACGGTGTTTCTAGACTAACCAAATTCAATCATGGTTATACACCGTTGGATGACAATATGACAATATGTCGGACAATCTCTCGGTCAGTGGATGTCGTCGTACATACGATGGCAACAGCTGTGCGGTATATCTATGCCTCCCTCCTGCTCCTGCTGTTCCCTGTCTCCCTTCTTTTCTGCTCTCTTATCCCGGACTTCCTCCACCCCGTGACCCATACACCACTCGAAACCCTCACTTTATCTTTGGTATACCTTACCAACGCTTGACATAGGGTTCGCTGATCGTCTCTGTTCGTACTGGTAAATCGGAAGCTATCCATTCTCGTGAGTAGCTTTTAGAGATTGTTTCTCATATACTCAGCCAGTCACCACCACTTCTTCTTCCTCTTCCTCTTCTTCTTGTTGTTGTTGCCATCGCTTCGCCACTCACTTATTCTTACTACAACTGTTCCCCTCCTTTATTACGCGCAATCGTCTCCTACTATATCGACCCATCCCTCGCCTTGGCTTGTTTTTCTTGCACGCGCGTCCTATTTTCTTCGCTTGCCTTCCTCTTTTCATTGGCGCATAATCAAAGTCCACGCCATTGACATTCCCTAACATGCCCGAAGGGGAATTATGGTCTACTTCAGTCACCGCCAACGATCCCGAGCATATCAAGGCCATGCCAGCCGTTCTTTTGTCCACTATCGAACTGCTGGAGATGGAACTGGCCAATGCTAGAGCTGCGCTCCAGAAACTCCAGCCCAATGCTGCCCCCGTGTTCTCACGAAGAGATGAACTCGCTCTAGGTGCGATGACTGCTTATCGCCAAAACCTCATCGGCCGCGCCCCCGATTTCTTTTACGGTACTAGTCGGTTGACCTCAAAAGAATTGGGGCTTGTGCCAGTAGTTGAGGAAGTGCTACCGGATGATGATGAGGGCAGTGACGGGGCGGCCAAGGAAGACACTGCGAAACCCCAACCCATAACTACTGTACTGCGTAAGCCGGCTACCCTCATCGATGTTTTGTCGAATAATGTGATTCTCGACCATATCGCCCCTTATTTATCGACCCCGGCTTTGTTTGCCGTGGCCTCGACCTCGCGTGTTCTTAGATCTTTGGTGATAGACACGCCATACGTTTTCCGGCATCTCGATCTGAGCCGATGTCGCGGCGCCTGCTTTGCCAATGAATTACCAGAGAACCTTGAGGCTCAGGTTGCAGAGGAAGTTCAGCTGAGTGACGCACTTACAGCGGATGGCTTCTATGCGGCACCTTTACGAGGCATCTTTGACCACCTCGAACGAAAATCAATCCTGCAAGATGTGCGGACACTGATCATGGACGGGCTATCGGTGCCGGCCGAATTGATTGCCGACATCATTCTGACAGATCGTTTCAACATCAATATTCTGTCGATAAGGGAGTGCCGGCATCTGAACGAGCGTAAGTTGATGCAGGTGCTGAACTATGCGGTCAGGCCTACACGCCCGAAAGGAACCCTGCGTTTGAAGGGGATATATCATTTTACACCCATGGCACAATCGCGTGGTGCCGTACGCAGTAACTACCGTGACTGGTGGAACTCTAGATGCTCCAGCCAAGGATCAAGCGAGCCTTCCACCCCTGGAGAAAGTCCAGTATCACGTGGCGAGCCAACGAGAGATGCATGCAGTCAAAATCCCTGGTACTACCCGTCAGGCAAGATGTTCAAGCGGAAGATAGACGAAGGGTGGGCAGAAACAATCCAGAAGTGTGAGGGTATCATTGCCTTCGACGCTGTGCTGTGTCGGGGTCCGCGGCACAATGTTGAATTGCACGATCCAAGCTTACCGAATGACGAGAGTCCCCAGCCAGAGAGTCGAATGCTTGCGCCGGCAATAGCTACTGTTGCACTTGGTCCCGGAGGATGCGATGGATGCCACTCAGTACCCGAGGGACCGGCGATTTGGGGCGAATCCCTCGAGGAGCGATTTCCTCTGCTTGCGCCACCTCCACTGCATTCATCCACAGTGGCAGCAGCGAGACGCCCTGCGTTCATTCTTGACAAGCAAGCTGCGTTAATAGCCCGGTGTACAGAATGCCTAACCGATCGCTGGTGCCATCGTTGTAATAAATGGTTTTGCACCGATTGTTTGCCACATCCAGAGCGCGTAAGAAGCAATCTCACTCCGCATCAGACTGCTACCAGAGGACCCAGAGGGGACGGTTCGAATATAGGCGGGCCTGGTGTGAGCAAGGACTGCTGGGAATGTGGCCCAACGGTGAGTGCCGTGTTTAGAGTCCAGCTAGCGCCTTTCTGATGGATTATCCAGTGTGCCATGTGCAAGGCGGAGTGCCAACGGACATGCAACACCTGCCAAGGAGTTTACTGTGTTGAGCACAATGAAGGGTGCTCATCAACCCTGGTATGTACAAAGACCCCTACTTTGATGAGGAAAGGCTGACCAAGGGGGAAGTGCGATTGGTGCAATACCAGCACACGCCATCGAGTGAGAGAGTTATATTGATTTGATTGTAACCTGGTGCTCTCAATGGTTACATCATTGTGGGTTTTTGTCAGCAAGGGAAACAGCTGAGGATTGGCTGGAATGCATTGAGAGCGATGTCACTACACCATATATATTCTCTATAGTTCGAATAGTTAACTTCCAAGATTCGTTAGCTTAGCTGACTTAACCTAACATCAACTTGTCACTCAGTGGTTGATTAACAGTAGCTTAGTAAATACTACAGAGTAACGTAATCGGGAAGCGAACCCGGCACCTCTGTATCACATATAAAAAAGGCCTTTTTCCAACCCTTATATCTTAAAAACCACGCTATCAAATAGTTTCAAATTATGCTTATAGAAAGAGTATAGTAGTTTCAATCTATATCTAAAATTTTAAGAAGATTTGATAACCTAACATTATTATATACCAGTTTTATTTAAATACTTAAAAATTACTGTGTATTTTATTTTACTTTGGTAAAAAATATTTTAAAGAAGCTGAGAATCTTCATATAAATTAACTATATATATATAGAAGTAATATTTATTTCAAAAGAATTTAGACAATAAATAGTGGAAAAATAAAAAGGATTAAAAGTAGGCTCTTTTATATAGAATACAGACATGCCGGTTCGCTTGCAGTGCCGGTTCGCTTACCGATTACGTTAGTTAACTAACTACCTAGTAGCTACCTAACCAAGTCTTGTTGCCAATCAGGATGACAAATCCCCGACCTCTTTCTAGAAGGCCCTCGGTACATCGGTTCTCTCTTGCTCTCAGGAATCATTGCTCTCCTACTATTGCCTGCAACCCGCACCCACCCTTTTGAAGTTGCGTGTTGGCAAATTATCTAATCTCGAAGATGACGGGGGTAATGTTTATCAAGCAATCTCCACCCATCCATCACTTCCTCCTGATCCCCACTCTCCGCTTTGGCTGCTTTGCCCATAAGGCACCCCGCTAGGACTAAACATCACATTTACTCACCACCGACGAATACTGTCCTACGAATACTGTCCTACGAAAACTGTCCTACGAAAACTGTCCTACGAAAACTGTCCTACGAAAACTGTCCTACGAAAACTGTCCTACGAAAACTGTCCTACGAAAACTGTCCTACGAAAACTGTCCTACGAAAACTGTCCTACGAATACTGTACCTACACAGTACATACTGAGTTTAAGGCTATGGCCTCCGATCAGGGCTCTCTACATTGGTCAGCGCAATTGACTGTCACACCTTTCGATCTCACCCCTCAACTTTCAGGTGATAAAATCACACTGCCCCAGTCGGCTCTGGAGCAACTCCTTGCCGCGGCCCCGCTTCAAGACACCGTCTCGCCTGCTCCTGCGCATCCTTTCACCACCGCCTTCGACCCCTTCAATCCCTACACATTTGAGACCGAGTTGCGAGCACGCGATCGCGCCACAGAGCGCCAACATCAGCTACCTCAACCGCTGACATTCCGCATCGTGAATTCTCAAAATGACCGCGTGGTCTATGCGGGTATTCGAGAATTTTCCTCAAGGGAAAATGAGATCGGATTGAGCACCTTCCTACGAGGCGCTCTCGGATTGGACAATTCCCCGCCATTACCTTTAGAAGAAAATGCTGCCTCGAACATGCCAGAGAAGTCCCCATCTGCTACAGTGACGGTGCACGCACATCAGTTACCGAAGGGCACGTATGTGCGCTTGCGCCCGCTTGCAGCCGGATACGATCCGGAAGACTGGAAGGCCCTGTTGGAGCGGGTGCTACGTGACAGCTATACGACTCTTACTATCGGCGAGGTCTTGAACGCAGTTAGCGGCCAGGGTGAGCCGTTCCGTTTTCTGGTCGACAAGGTGGAACCTGAGGGCCCCGGAATATGTGTTGTGGATACGGATCTGGAAGTTGACATTGTTGCTTTGACTGAGGATCAAGCAAGAGAAACTTTACAGAAACGGCTAGAAAGGTCATCTCACAGCATGGGCAGTAAGAATGGTACTTCTCCGGGCGGTGAACTCCACATTGGCCATTCGGTCACTGGCCAACTAGCACCGGGTGATTATGTCGATTACGAGCTTGCCAGATGGGATCGTAGAGCACCCCTCGAAATTCGTGTTGAAGGTCTTGACGATGCAGATGTGTACGTTTTCGCCAGCCCACTTTCCGCTCGTCAAAGGAACCGACCAAGGGTGGACGAACATGTTTTTGGTGACTTCTCAACGCAATTTTTGAAGCGACTGAAGATCCAACCAACAAATACCGAGCTCGAGAGCGCCGATGCTCTATACATCTCGGTTCATGTCTTGATGCCTTACGCCTCCTCGATACAAGGTTCCGGGGCAAGCCCACCGGTGTCTTACAAGCTGCAGCTCTCAAATGGCACGGCAATCGAGGAAGACGGGCCTCATGTGCGCGAGGGTCCAAGTGATCATGAGCCTGAGGACGTGCAGTGTAAGAACTGCCGCCAGTGGGTGCCACAGCGGACCCTGGTGCTTCACGAGAATTTTTGTCTCCGGAACAATGTGTATTGCCCTCAATGCCATAATGTCTTTCAGAAGCGTTCTCCCGAATGGCATGACCATTGGCACTGTCCACATGATCCATCTTATGGAAACAGTCCTTTGGACAAGCAAAAGCACAATGACCTCTTCCATACCCAGCATTCTTGCCGCGCTTGTGGATACCAGGCAGTGAGCCTCCCGCGCCTTGCCCAACATCGCACGACTGTTTGCCCAGCCAAGCCTATCCTCTGCCAATTCTGCCACCTTGTGGTGCCCCAACGGGGCGAGTCAGATCCTAGCATGGAAGATCCAGAAGTTTTAGTTTCTGGTCTTACCCCGCACGAGCTGGTGGATGGAGGACGGACCACGGAATGCCATTTATGCAACAAGATTGTTCGAATGCGGGATCTAAAGACTCACCTACGCCATCACGATCTGGAGCGTTTGTCTCGGCCCCCACCTCGGATCTGTTTGAACGAGAACTGCGGCCGGACTCTGGTCGGCCGCGGGACGCAGAATGCGAATCACCTGGGCCTATGCAGCATTTGCTTTGGTCCACTTTATGTGGACACTTATGATCCAGAGGGAAAGGCTTTGCGACGACGCATTGAGCGTCGGTATCTTTCTCAGATGTTGTCAGGGTGCGGTAAATCCTGGTGTCAGAATGATTATTGCAAGACAGGGAAGCAAGCTAGGCAGCCTAGCGAATCATTCACTCCGACAAGTGCTGCAGCCATCCTCGCGGCAGTGCGGCCATTGATCGACGCAGTCAATCTTCAAGGCTATACGCCGAATACAGCGTCTTTCCACCTATGTACGGATCAAGTAGGCCAGCAACGACGCTCGCTCGCGGAATTACTCGCCGCAGAAGCTGCAGCAGGAGAGGGGAAATCTTATGACCTGGCATGGTGTGTTGCTGCCGTCGAAGCTTCTGCAGGCAATCTTGATCGATCGCGCGAGTGGCTGGACAACTGGGCTCCGGCTCGTGGCGAGAAAACAAGTATGTTCACGTAGATAGCCAATTCATTAAGCTAAAGCATGAAATCACAATAAGATTAGTCTTGCTACCTTTGGCACATAAATTAGAGGGTTTGGGGGCCCAACTTTCTTCTAATTCCTTTATTTCGACCACTATCCTGCACCGAATGGGTCCAATCAACACTCGGGTGTAGATCAGCGCGAGATCATCAATAGTGGCAACCTAAGGTATGTCCGACCCAGACCTGTGATGACACTAAAATGCGGAGTCGTACTAGAGTGGTGGGGACTGGACAAGGGGTTTGCGAAGTATAATTTTTTTTTACCAGAGTAACTAAAGACCCGTCAATCAAGGAAGGTCCAAGTACACCGCTAGCTCAGAAACTCGAAGATGCACTTATGGTATAACTAAAGCAGCGAGAGAAATCATGATAATCATACAAATCTGCCGCGAAGCCAACCAAGCGGTGCCTTCGCTGCGAAGGTGCGGTTCGACTTGCAAACAGCCTGAGTGCAACGCCTAGTCGTTCCAATGTATAGAATTTGATGGCCGCGCCTCCAGTGTGCGCCCCGGTTATCGATTCCGTAGTCTCGGTCAGGCAGCGCCCGTCTTAGCAGCCAGGGTACCACTTCCTCGGGAGGAGAAGATTCCCATGATACCGAAGACCACATAGAACAGTGCCAGCGGATACGCCACCAGGCCTCTCATGCCGCGCATACGGGCGACGGCGCAGAACATGCCCGAGGAGCTGTAGGTGCACCAGCCAACGGCGGCGGTGGTCAGGAGATAGCCGAACATGGTATCCATGGGGATGAGGATCCCGACCAAGCTCGTCAGCACCAAAGGCAAGAAGCAATAGCCAAGTACGCTGGCGGAGCGGGGGAAGGTCAGGGTTGCAGAGAAATGGCCGGCGGCCGGGGCGTCCGACATGGTGGGTTTGTGGTGCGGGGAGTAGTTGGTGGGATCGGCGGCGTTGGCCACGGGAACCGCGTCGAGCGCGGGCGACATCAAGCTGAGAATCAGGTGCAGGGCAACCGTGCCGAATACTGCGACGCCGTAGATATATCCATAAAAGACCTTGCCGGACAGCAGGAGGAATGTGCCGTAAAGTACGATATAAAGTAGCGCGCCGTAGAGGTCGCTGTCGTCCATCAGGTGCTGATCAATGCGAGCAAAGGGATTCAAGACGGTCAATGTCTAAACATACAGCATCAATGGTATTGCAGGTCAGTCAGAGATGTTCTTCAAGATAGCGGCCTTGTTTTCTTTCTTTCTTTCTTTCTTTCTTTTTATGCGTCATGACATCCATTACCTTCGTGCGAATGTGTTCAAAATTGACTCCCAGTTCCTCCAGAAGCGGTGGCTCCCCATCGTACCCTTCTGTTCCAAACGCAGCAAGCCACCCCGTCCGTAAACCGCCCTGTTCACCCATCCTGCCGCTCACTCCTGCAGATGGAGAGCCGAAGCCGCCATATCCGCTTCCCACCCCTCCGACGGGATAAGCTTGGGCGGACGGATTAGAGGGACCTCCAAAGCCTCCATAAGAAGCTTGAGAAGGGGTTGTATGGCCGGACACAGACTGGTAGGATGTTGGGTAGAATTGAAGGTTCTGCGCAGAGGCCTGCGCTCCGTAAGGCTGTTGCTGCGGGTAATACTGGGCCATTGCGGCCAAGGTCAGGAGGAAATGCGGGAGGAGAGGAGAGGAGAGGTTTTGTGAAGAAAGACGCTGATGTTTTATTCCGCAGCCACTGAAGATGAGTTTGGTCGGCGAGTAAATGGCAAGTTTTGTGAGTGGATTAGGGAAATTGAGGTAAATGATGTATGAGAGATAGGCAAGAAAGAACAGCTGGCTGGCGGTGATGAAAGATGGGGGCCTTACTGGTGCCTGAGGTGTGTAGTTGTACGGTACCCGGCAAGCTGGCGACCCACTTCGACATACGGAGTAAGGTAGAGTCGATTTGAAATGGAATCAGCTTATCTAATTTATGAGTTCTAGGAATGGACGGAGTACAGTACAGTGGTAACAGTGCATAGATAAACAATGGCACGGTCTCAAAATGCTTGATTTAGGCTGCTAGAGAATATAACAGCATTCTTCTATTCAAAATGCTACAATACATCGCTTTGGCTTAATTTTACAGGAAGTTAATGCCGATTCCCATTTGAAGGCCCTTGCGGCCTTCTTCAGCTTTACGCAACACCAGTGGCAGGGAGAAGTTCAACTCAAATCTGGCAACTGGATGAGCATAAACCAGTCCGACACCCGCCGCAACGCTGGGCAAACCATTTGCCAGCTCGGAGATGGTCGATACCATGGCATCTTTCACCTCACCACTGGAAGTGGGGACATTCTTGTCAGCCGTGCGAAGTGGCAGAAGACGACCACCGTTCACAAATGCTTGTAGACGGAAAGGCTTGTCGGCACCCACTCTCGGGAGTGGAAGCAGCAAATTGGCACTTCCCGCAGCATACACGTCTCCTCCAACCGCATCCGCTCCATCATGAGGTCCGAGGCCGCAAAGACGGAACCCACGCACATCTGTGGGGCCTCCCAGCAGGAAACGGTCGTTAACTCTAGATAATTGCGGTTGAGAATCCGAATCAAGCCCGAGAGGGTACAAAAGTCCCGCACGGAATCCAGTTGTGAAACTGACGCCACTGTCGCCCTTGAGACCAGGGATGGGGACGGGTACTGCAGCTTGTGTTTCGATCTCCGACTTCCAGAAAGAGACATCACCCTTGAGCGGACCCCAGCCAGCTACCTCATTGAAGACCTTGGCATAGTAGCCCCGCGACGGAAGGAGCGCATTATCCCTCCGGTCCTTAGTCCAGCTGTGGAAGACGCTGCTCTTCACGCTGTCTCCGGCGTCGGCACGAACAGTAGAGGATGAATTTTCGGAAAGGCCAGTCATTTGTCTCCAGAAACCGTTGTATCCAAATTCATGGTGGTGTCCGGACGAGCTCATCCAGCGAAGTTTGCTCCATCCGCCTTTCAGGACCTCCTCGTGGCTTGCCCAAGACTTTTGTGTGGCACTGGCAATTCCACCAAGCTCCAAGCGGAAATCGGGGTCGCTGAGAAGTGGGGTGTCGAAGGTGGCCTGGTATGCGGATCTTGTCCTGGTGCCCAGTGAAGCATTCAAGTTCAGGTTCTCTGCACCTCCAAACAAATTACGCCAAAGAAGGTTACCATAAGCGGACCCTTCAGTGTTTCCAAGATCAGTACCCGTCTTGAGCAAGACGCGAGACTTCTCCTTGACCGACAGCAGGACATCAATGGTCGGGAGACCAGTTTGCGGGTCAGCCGGTGATGACTGATCGAGATATACCGAGATCGGCTGTTGAAAGACATCTGTAGCCGAATTAGAATCTAACTTATAGCATAGAATGATACAAGGGAACAACCCACCAAACCTGCCAAGCTTGTCCGCACGTGCCGATACTTCCTGCAAGGCTTCCGAGAGCGTATAGGGTCTAGTATGATTGCTGCTAAGCAGAGGGTTGAATATCTGCTCCAAAAAGCTTCTGCGCGTATGGCGAGCACCATGAACCTGCACTGAAGAGATGACACATGGTAGAGTGGAATTTTGGTCGATCTGATGCCATCATGAACAGCCGCGTTAGTCATTCGTTGCTGATTTGCCCGGGCTTTCTGGCCCAAGGCAGAGCAAGTCGAGGGCAGACGAGTCTGCGAGACTGACCAATTCACCGAGACGATTTTGTGCCTTCTCATAGATCGCTCTGACCCGTTCATTGACAGCTTTCTGCTGCTCTTCCTGCACTTTTGGGTCGGTACGTTGTTGTAGACGCTCGAAGATCTAGAATCGCGAAAGTCGAGCACGTCGTCAGTCCAAGCGCTTTGTGATAGTCAGTGGGACAGAAAGAAGGAATTGACTGACATCTCCGTCATCGGCGGAAAGTGGAGAAGACATTGCTGCGGCGGCAATGGCCAAACGAGAGAGCTTGCTTGCTTCCTTCGCTTTTCCACTTTGGCACGGTGATGCGAAGACCTCGGACGGACTGAGGCGATCCTCCCGCGCACGTGACCAGTGGTCTGAAGGATGGGGAGAGGGAGGGGCGCTTAACTTATAGTTAAGTTAGTTGTTAGTTAGCCTTTCGGGTCGTCCAGCCGCTGCTCCAGACTACTGACGTTTCATCCTTTCTGTGTCTTAACCAACATTCACTTTCATAAGCAATCTGCCTGCATTATACAAAAAGGAGAACTGTCTTGCGTCCTGATTTGTTTTTTACCTTCTTTCTTTCTTTCTCTTCTGACCCCTATCCATCTCTCATTTGCAATAGCCCGACGTGCGTCGCACGGCCGTCGCTACGAACTATACAGCATGGCGACCAAGGCAGCCTACAAACGGGTGGGTCGATTACACCCTGCTTGCGGCCATTTATGCAGTCTCGTCTAATCTTAAAGCAGCTCACTCGCGAATATCAAAATATTCAGAAGAATCCCCCGCCATACATCGTTGCCCACCCCTCAGAAACCAACATCCTCGAGTGTGTACCCCTCACTCCGTGATTTGGCTCGAGCCGTTCATTCTTGAATTAATGCTGATATAAATTTCTGATCAGGTGGCATTACATCCTCACCGGCCCTCCGGGTACGCCTTACGAAAATGGTCAATACTGGGGTACTCTGATGTTCCCCCCTGAATACCCATTTGCGCCACCCGCCATCCGCATGCACACCCCGAGTGGTCGGTTCCAACCATCCACTCGCCTTTGCCTCAGCATCAGCGACTTCCATCCAAAGTCATTCAACCCGGCCTGGGAGGTGTCCACGATTCTGATTGGACTGCTCTCTTTCATGACAAGCGAAGAGATGACCACTGGGAGCGTGAGTGCTTCGGAGGCGGAACGGAGGGTGCTAGCTGCACGGTCAAGATGGTGGAATTCCACCGGTGGAGGCTCTCACATCAGTGCTACACCTGGAGTCATTCCTTCTGCCAAAGGAATCAACAATGTCAAGGCTGGAGATGGTGGATTGAAATTCCGTACGGAATGGCCAGAGCTCGACCACGAGAATTGGAGATGGATGAAAGACAGCCGCATCGACACGAACACAGGCCAGCTTCTACCGGACCCCAATACTGCCACCAAATGCTCCCCAGAAACCAGTGCTCTCCGCAGACGGCCCAACGGTAGTGCTCCAGGTTTGGGAGTTGTTGTGGAGGGTGGCCATGTCGCGCGAGAAGCTGGCCAAAGCTGGGTTCGCCGCAAGAAGATTTGGCTAGGCTTCGCCATCGTCTTCGGGTATGCGCTGCTTACAAGGCTGGTGAACGATGTCCAGGGATGAGCCGCTTAAATACCTCTTTTCCAATTCAAAGAAATTTGGGCCGATTCCGTGTGAGTAATGCCTTCACCCTCAACACACTTTGTTTTTTCGATCACCTTTGTCCAAAGTAAAGGGCATAACGTCTTATCCATTTAATTGACTCGGGGGGAGAGTTTTTGTGGGCTTATGTGATTCCATGTTTGTGTAGGGCGTTCGAAGAATGGCAAGGCGTCATTTGATCACAACTGGAATATTGTTCTAGATCTTCAAGAGCTTTGCATCACAATTGCTACTCAAAGTTGCGAAACTGTACATATACATTATAGCGAGAGCAAGAATGATAGATCTCGAGATACCTGCATTGCATATCGGTTACTAATAATTGGTCGCCAAACTACAGACATCACGTGGGCGGCGGGCGGCGGGCGGCGGGCGGGCGGGATTTCCTCCGGATTTCAAATCTAGGAAAAAGTTGGTTTTTTCTGTGACGCCAGTTTCTGTTGACCGTTCGCAGATACTAATAACAAGGCCTTGCTTGACATCGTCGGCATCATCTCTGTCTATTTCAGCTACCACCCCTTGTCATCTCTACCGGCATATTTTCTTACAGCATGGGCTGGTTCTGGGCAGATACACAACCCAAGCCTACTCCCGCGGCTCCGAACCCGCTGGCGGCCTCCGACGCCTCGCCTCCGGTATGTCTATTTTGCGACGCTAAGGAACATGTCAAAATCACTAATACTCGTGCCTAGCCGGGGTGTCCCATGCACGTTTCCACTACTACTTCTGCTTCGCCGACTCCAGCTGCTTCGGAGGCACCAAGTGCCTGTCCGGTCCGACCTACTGACTCCCCTTTCTATGCGCCACCCAAGCCGCAATCTCCAGGAAATCAAACACCACCCCCACCATCCGCTACCCCAGGCGAGACGAAGTCCACTCTTTCAAAACTGAATCCTCTGAATTATATGTTCGCTTCTATCTCCCAGGAAAAAGCTCCCAACCAGACCGTAGATCTTCCCGTGGAACGAGAACTTTCATCCATCCCAAGATCAGACACCGAAGGCAACTGGGAATACCCTTCTCCGCAACAGATGTACAATGCCATGCTTCGCAAGGGCTATACCGATACTCCACAGGATGCTGTCGAGGCGATGGTTGCCGTCCATAACTTTCTGAATGAGGGTGCCTGGGACGAGATCGTGCGATGGGAGCGCATTTTTTCCAAGGGCCTCGCGGAGGGCTGGGAGAAGTGCCGACGTGGAGAAGAGAACCTCGCAATGGAGGAACTCAGGGAACAGATCTCTGGCTCTTCCCAGCAGACCCCTGCGCCGCGGCTCATCCGGTTCCAGGGCCGGCCTCAGGAGCTGACGCCCAAGGCACGGATTCTTCAAGCCCTAGGCTGGATTTATCCGGCTAAGTTTGAGTTAGTATTCCCCCACACTGTTGTTCGCCATTCATGCGCGTCCTTGTCTTTTACTAATACTATCGTTCTCTTACTGCAGATCAAGCCCGCCCTTTGATAGACACGACTGGTTTGTTATGCGACAGACCCCAGCGGGCCCGAAGGAGGTTCGTTATGTTATCGACTACTATTCCGGCCCACCGGAACCCAATGGGGAACCAGTTTTCTTCCTCGATATCAGACCCGCTCTGGACTCACCGACCGCTGCCGTTGAGCGGCTGATGAGATGGGGAGGAGATGTTTGGTGGCGAGCTAGCGGCGCCTCAGTTCGAGAGAATGGCGGAAACTAACCGATCGTGAATGTGGTTCTCAATGTTGAATATCTTGGATCTTTTGCACCGGTATACACTCCGAGAAGGCGCGGGCGTCTGACCAATCGTCCTACTCTATGGGACTGTTCTCCTGTTTTCTGTGGCTTTTCATTTATCACACCCCTCTCATGTATCATGTATCCTTTACTACCTTCCGCCGTGAGCTCCTTCAACGGTCAAGTTGTCCATGGAGGACAACGACCGCAATGATTTCTTGTACTCGGCTCAGGTACAATTTTCGCATTTCTTTATTTGGCGCCGAGGATTTATACTTCGTTCTGGAATCTATTTTACATGTATTATAGAGTACGTTCTGAATTTGTTAATGCGGAGGTTGCATCGCGATTTGTATTCGTCGTGGTTCATATTCTATCCATGCTCTGAGTATCAATAAGATTACGCGATTCTGTACATCAGTGCCGAGGTCTTGCTGTTGACCTTCTGATTCCGATCTCTCTTCAGATGTTGGGGGACAGCAAGTCATATTTGACGCACTGTTCAACGCTGTCGATGCTGCTCTGCAGCAGTTCACGCGCTTCAAGTCCAACCCAAATACGGAGCATAGACACATCCCCGGACCGAACGGATTTCAGGGAAGTGACATTCGAACCGAGTTTTCGCAGTATTGGCAGGGCACTATCGGCTGCATCAGTATAGAAGCTTTGTGCGTCATTCATCGGACAGGCCCACCTTTTGAATAGATCGAGGTCCGGGTCCAAGTTCCGGCCAATACCTTCGAGAAGAAGACAGGAGATGACGACATTGACAAAATCCCCTTCCATCCGAACATGATGACTTCGGACCATGGACAGCACCTCACTCAAAACATCGCCAATTTTGACGCTGCCCAGTGCGAACGTCCGCGACTTGACGTTCAAGACCAGATGCTCCATTCTCAATGCGAAGTAATGAGGGTCAATCACAGCTTCTGGCTGGCGGCAGCGCTCAACCATAAGCTCACCCGCTCGGTATCCATCGAACTCGGCAATCGCGCGAAACAAATCGATGAAATTTTTGCGGTTGAGGTCGTTTAATTGAGTCACGAGTCCGGTATCAATAAAGATAAGTTGTGGTCGATATCCTTCTGCGTTCAACTGATCAAGTACCGACTCCCAGTCGCGCCGATTACCGGCATGCGGTCGCAGCCGAGCAAGCACAGACTCTGTGACATCAACCTCGGCTGTAGTTGGCGCATCCGATGCACGGCTTTTGTTGCGGAGGGACAGGTCCAATTCACTTGGCTGATAGAATCGTACCATGATGTTTCCTGGGTGTAAATCAGCGTGGACAAAGTTGTCAATCAATAGCATGTGAAGAAATGCATCCAGGCCCTCATTGGCGATTTCCCGTTGATAAACCCCTCCGCCGACGTCAAGGAAGGTCGAGAGGGGGATTCCCTGGGCGAACTCTTCCACGAGCACCTCTCGGGTCGAATAGTCTATGTACGGATAAGGAAACCAGGCTGTAGTCCGGGTTCTGAATTTCTCCCGAAACATGACCAGGTTTGCTGCTTCGATCCTCAAATCGAGCTGCAGCTTCATCATCTCTCCAAATTGGTTGACTTCGTCCGGCAAAGACAACCAGTGCATTGTAGGAATGGCATTGATCACCGAGGCAAAGAAGGACATGATCTTCAAGTCCCTATGGATCATGCGCTCCACCTTGGGATGCAGCACTTTGACGGCTACGTATGACGAAGGAACCCGCTGGGGGCTGCTCTTGACCAATGCCTCGACATTCTTTCGGACTTTCCCCCGTAAACCGGACGGTTGACCGTCGAACTCATCATCGTCTGTTCCCGCGAGGTTGGGTTTCAATTTTGCTTTATAGACCTGAGCGATGGCCCCTACTCCTAGGGGCTCTTCATAAAATTCTTCGAAGATATCTTCGAAGGGCAGGTTGTTGAAGGCCTTACTTATGATCTTCTTGGTCTGGCGTAACGAGTGTGCAGGCGCATTCGAGTGGAGAGAAGACATGATGTCACAGAGATCGGGAGGAAAGATGTCGGTACGTGATGCTGCCCATTGTCCGAGCTAAAGAAGAGACGTCTGTTACAAAGTGTAGCAAACAAAAGTATACGGCTTGGGACTTACCTTGATGAACGCTGGGCCTGCACGTTCCATGGACCGCACTAGGAACTTGTACCACCAAATGGTCCCCAACGGCACCGCTTCCCGATTCTTCCCATGTCCTCCAAGGCATAAGATGGGTGCCGTGAACACGACAGGCAGGAAAATGATGAGCAGGTGGACAAAGCGAAAACCGGTAGCTATCGGATCGTATACGAAGCGATACCCGTAAAGTACCAAGGTTTGCCAAAGCCTCGACAAACCCCTTGCTTCCTCGTCGACTTTCTTCTGGATCTCTCGGCGTGAGACTTCGAGCATCTGCATCTCACTTGTCTTGCCGCGTTCCCCGTTCCCTTCCTCGGCAAGCTTCAAAAATGCCCCCGGAGCCAGCGCAGCAAGGAGTACCCTCCGACATCCAGGGGTATTTCCTGAATGTCTCGAACCGGATTGTCGCGACCATATTGACTGACGGCCGAAGCGCGGTCGAGATAAATGGGGAAAGCGGGATAGTAGCGGCGGGCCTCTACCACGACACACAATGAAGCGGCCAAAGAGGACGGCCGTCCTCATATTCTCATATAGAAAAGTTTCGAGTAGCGGATAGAACTGTCATTGAAGAGCAAGATAGAGGGCCCCTGTGAGCATAATGATAAGAGGGGAACGGCCATCAGGGTTAGAGAAGAAGGGAAGAAGAGCAGAGTGAGTGAGTGAGAATTGGAGCTGCGCGGGCGGCGGCCAGTGGCCGAGCACGTGGTTGCGACGTCATCGTCATCATCGTCATCACCAACATCAACAACACCAGAATGGTCAACCGACAAACTACATAGTACTACTCATATGTAGTACTATGTAAGTATTAAGCGATATGACTGACCCTTGGTTCTGGAATCTTTCGGTCCATACCCGCTTTTTCCGATCATCAGCAAAAGAGATTTGTCAATTTGTCACGGGGAACTCTCCTCTCGCTCGACTCGGTTGACTCGGCAAAAAGTCCAAATCCGGCTGTCATGCGTTTACTCGGCATGAACTATCGACGAAAACAGGTCTCTGTCTCTGTTTTTGCGGTAACCGTATTCTATTTCATAGAGCCCACTGCACTCGAAGTCGCTCGATAGCTTTCTACCTAAACCAAGCTCTGCGGAAATGTGAAGATATTTCAAGTCAATCTGATCATTCGATCTCAAACATGGGCCATTCTGACTACAAACGTGATCCCGAATCGCTTCGTGACATTGCGCCGAAACGCCCTTGGTGGACGCCCTTCTCGATATGCCTCACCTTCCTGTGCCTTTGTCTGCTCAGGGTCATAATAGTCCCTCACTGCTTCGGCCGATGGTCTTTTAGCTGGGACATCATACCTAGACTCGGAAAGAACAGTTCGCTCGCTCCCTTCTATGCCTACTCCGAAGGCTCGGGTAAATTCGACAAGCCCCAGGGCTTTGATATCGTTGCCTTGGTTCCGTTCCGCCATTGGCAGCGCACCGAGATTCTGAATTGTTATTTGCAAGTGAGTAAGGACCGCTTTCTGTAGGGCCAGAAATTTATCGGCTTACTTGGACCGCAAGAACAATCTCGTTTCCAACCATGGTCTCGTTGACCAAGTCGTGTTTCTGCCCCAAACGAAGAATACGAGGGGGATGGAATGGCTCGCATCGATAGTCGAGCAGAACCCATTGTACACGCTCGCGCAGGGAGAGCCCGGTTCGCAACGGGATCGACTGAAGAAGGACACACTGTACATTTGGATCGATGGCGACATCGTGTTTCTAGAAGACCATACGATTTCGACGGTCGTCAAGACCAAACTCGAACACTCCGATCTGTCCTTGGTTTCGGCGAACGTCATCAACGAAGCAGCCTTGGAGGCCCTCCATAGCCATGCCAGCGTCGCCTTGCCTTATCTCCCGGAGCTGAGCCCCACGCAGTCGTCATCCGAGGTCGACATGCACGATTGGCGTGCCTCTCATCTCCCGCCATGGCAGGGGCCCAATTATTTTACCGCGAAGAAGGATTTCGCTCCGCCCTTCACCAGCCACCGATGGCTCCTTTCGGGCTACAGCAACTATAGCCGCACTCCCATCAGTATGTCGAAGTACTCTCCGGAAGGGCCTAGTATGCATCACTGGACTGTCAACGCTCAGCAACATTACTCTTTTCTGCACCACTTAGAGCTGAATCATCTCAATCGGTACAAATTCCCCATGTGGAGTGTGCCGTCAACAAACGTCAGCCTGAACTTCCTTTGCTTCTGGGGCAGTGTCGCAACGGGTCGGTTGCTCACGGAGTTTGATGGCATGACATTTTTGGAAACCCTCGCAGACGACCAAAGGGGAAAAAATAGTATAATTGATGGGAAAGGATTGGCTGTACACTATTCAAGCAGCCAGGGTCCGGAGGGTCTAGATTCTACTGATTTGCTCAAACGATATCAATCTTTTGCAGAAGAGGCTGTCTGTAAAGGCATATAGGCTCTCTGTGGCCGGGATTTAACTAGAGCAGCACCATGGGTGTTCTATTCAGAAATTATTGGTGGACTGAAATGCACATTTAGGATCGACGATAGATGTCGAAAAGTTTAAGTCCAAGCCTTGATGTGGGTATATGAGCACCTTGCTCTTTCTCCGATTAGCATGCCTTACAAGGTAAGTTAATTGTGCTTGTTCAGTTAGTGAGCTGAAGATGTCTGGAGGCATGGCTGTTCATCAGTCTTTGAATACTGGCCTTCGAAGAATCCGGGAGAGTGTCCACCTGTAGAATATGATTAGTGAATCGCAGACGCGGTGATTAGAGTCCGAATTAGCTTACATCAGTCTTCAGCAACTCTTGCATAAGCACGATGATGTTGCCGCGATCCTTGTTGAGTTGCATGTTGTCTGCCTCGGTGAAATCGGTAGAATCTGCAGCAAGCACTTCCTCGAGCACAGGCAGAATGCCCATCTTCTCTATACATTTCGAGGTTACAATCAACCCACCTTGTGTCGACGCCATCAAGGCAAGAGTAAACCAGCCCTCGCTCCGAACAACTGGCCATTGTGACTGGGTGATCATGGCACCCACAGGTAAGGGAATATCGTCGTGCAGCTCAAAGGCTTTTCTAAGGAGGCCTTCGGCATCGCTATCCTTCTCACGCACTCTGGGGACCAAGCTGCGGCATATAGAAGCCACGATACGCCCAATCTCCGTTTTGATGGGGGCTGAGTCTGTTTTTTCAAACAGCGCGAGGAGCAATGAGAGGTAGGTCTTCCCTTCACCCTCGACCTCCTTGTCACCCACAGGAGCCTCCTCAAGCAGGCGAGCGATGTTGCCCACCGAGGAGATGATCACCTGCCGTGTGATGCTAGTTGCAACAAACTGAACCTGGGGGACTGTCTCATACTGCCAGAGGCTTGAAACGGCAGGAATAAGGCCTGCCTCTCCGAGCCGAACTTTATTGTTACCGGCAATTGCCAGGTTTTTCAGGAAGCCGAGTGCAGAGTGGAGCACTGCACCCCTGGCTTCACTCTTCAGAAGCGATATGAGTGCCTTGTGAATGCTCAGCTTTTCAACCATCTTTTCGCAGACTGCGTCCGATCTTGCCACATTGCCAAGAACAACACACGAACAGATCTGAAGCTGGTCCTCCTTTGCCTCCAGCCAAGAGCCCAGTAAGCGCACAAGATCGGAATCAAGCGGATAGAGCTCTGCGAATAGCGGCAATGCGGAGACTTCGGCTAGGGTCTGATTTATCTTCAACCGCGCCTGTGCCAAGGCATGCATGTCCTCTTTAGAACATTCCTCATCCTTGAATAAAAGTGATCGCTCAAGAACTGATAGAACCTTGGGCATCAAGCCATTAGACAGACACGTGGTTTGAAATCGCGTTTTGTCCAAGTAAGCACCGAGACAGGTAACGAGAGAGGCATAGTGCGCTGGAGATGAAATCGCCCTCTGTTCATTCAGCAGGTCTAGAAGAAGTAGTAATGTGGCATCTGGGGATGAGGAAATCCCTTGCTCTGTGAGGATATTGTTAGTCTAAGGAGAGTCTTAAGGGTCGTTCGTCACGCATGCCTTGTTCCCCAACCAATTCAATAAGCTCGTAGACATAATCAAGTAGAGCCTGGTGCTTCGCAAAAGCGTTATCCTTCAACAATCTCAGGAGAATATAGATAATCTTGTTGGCAGCTATCTGAGACTGGGCGGGTTCTATACAATGTCAGCTCTGAGGAATGTCCATTCGGAAAAAGTACAAATCAGCATTTACCGAAATCAATGCATATATTATATAGGACAGGTATAGCCACCTGAATAAGTTTTGTGTTTGCCAGGTGTCGTATAATGGCGGAGGTGTAGTTTTTTTCAACTAGGATCTCCCTGTTCTCATCTACCTAGTGGTCAGTGCTAGACTACGCTATGGCACGGACACGCAGCGAAACTTACTCGTATCAGCGCAGGAATTCCCGACTAGTCGCAATGCGTGCAGGAGAAGGTCATCATCGATAGCCTCCGTTGATGCTACAAGCCGGAGAAAGAAGTCTAGTATACCAGCTTGCCCATACAAAATGCGCCAAGGTGCTGTAGCTCGATTAGAATACCAAGAATGGCTACAATGGACGGCTGCCTTACCATTCCTACTTCCATCAGCCAGAGCCTCAGCGGCCGGTAGCAGATATTTGCTCCTGCATTTCCAGAGTTTATAGAGAATTTTTTCATCGTCTATAAAGGCTCCAATGGTGCATCGCTCCTCTGCTTTCCTTAGCGACTCCTGTAAGGAAGTCAATAAAGACTGTTGATCTTCAAGTGGCACCGGTTCGGACTCTTCCACCACCAGTCCCATAGGCGAGAGGGCCAAAGTCGAGAACACTTGGTCCAAGTCAGGACACTCAATCCCCTTTGATAGCGCTGCTTCCCTCAATGCACACGACGAACCAATGGCCACATCCTCGCCTTCTTTGGCCCTTAGTAGGTCTGGTGCGGCGCTCATCCTTCAATTTGCAGTTTGAACAATGTATCAGTGCATCAAGCTTGTTTAATAGCCTCAGTTGAGCCAGTGTATCTCGGATACAATGGTGGGCAGATGGAGGCCTCTGATCCTGGCTGAATCAGTTTTATCCCGAAACTGAATCTTCCGTCAGGTCGAAAGTATCGCTGGAAGGATATATATACGAATTTGTCCTTTCCCTTGGCCCGAGGTCTCGGTTCCCACTGAAAGACAAATGAGGTGTTTCTGGTATCTCTTTGTAGAAGCAGAAGAGAGAATCGGCCTGCCCGTAGTGGGTTGGTAGTACCATGGAGTGTGAGGCACCAATTAGTTACATATTACCTTGGTTCTGATAAACGTGACAGATCAAGGCGTATCGAAGTCGAGGTATACCTGGGACTCTGTTGCAGTATGCGACACGCGACATTACCATGGTGAAGCTGTTCTTCTTACTGCTTACTTCTCATCTGATAGCGTTTGAGTGAGGAACCCCAGTCACATTCATTAGCATCTTGGGTGGAGGGGGCGAAATACAGTGCTCTCCTGTTAATGTAGTGTCCAGTGTGTCAAGCATCAACGCCGTACTGCAGAAAATGGTAAATGTGGTAATACGAAGTAATTACCTTGGGTATCTTACCAGATGCCAACCTGTCATGAGGGGCGGCGGCGGCAGTACGGTGGACACAGCGGCCACGGGGCGCAGCCGGTCTCACCTACAGCGCGTCTATACGGCGAAGAAGGACAGCACTGCTTCTTCAATCTTGTCACTCATTCCTATAATTCAAAGCACTTTTTCAACAAGCCTTTCGCCTTGTCCACCACGTTGAATCGGCCTGATCCCCAGTTTTGTGCTCGGACTTGTACTCAACAGCCAAACCAAGATCATCAATCACCATGACGCGTGCTCAGCAGACCCTCTCCGTTCTCCTGCTCGTCTCCTCGGTATGATGGATAGCCTCGCCCTCTCAACTCTATGTTGATCGCTAATGCGGAGTCTTGGATTCAGCTCTACCTTTCTCTATACCTGGGCCTTGTTCCTCTCAACGAAACCATTCAGAATGCGATCATTCCTGTCGTACGTCCTGCAATGCATCCCGGCTCTTTCTCTGTCCCCTGCCTCTCACCCCGCTGACCATCTGCGTCTTTTTTAAACCAGCTTCCCTTCTATGCTCTGATATGCTTCGGATGCTACCTCCTCGGCCGCTTGGGCTTAGCGATTCTCACTTTCAACGATGTCCCGGAGGCGCACACGGAACTGCAAAAGGAGATCGAACAGGCCAAGGCCGAATTGCGCAGAGCGAACATCGACGTTGACTGAATTTATTAGCGCGGGCGGGCGGTTGGACCATTCAAACCTCCAGCAATGTTTTTTATTGTGTGAGATCTGTACAATTTATGTTTATCCGATAACGCATCGCATATGAGAGGGGGATTGGCGTTTGGTGCGGCACATCCACAAGCGTTGATTGCTACGGACAAGGATCGATATTACAGGGGCTGCACAAGATTGGCTGTAGCTTAGGATTTATCCAATGGATGATTCCTATGATTATACCGCTTCACCTGTGATGTAGTAGTCTGTCATCTAAGCTATGCAGGGTCCCATAGGCAATCTAGACCACAAACCAGCTAGGTAAAGGACAATGGCCCGAGCTGCTTCAATTTTGTTGTGCCGGACGAAGATCCAGCAGGGTACGCTGAAATGTAGGGATCTCCCGTAACTAGTTATGATGGTTCGGAGGGGTTAGCGCAATACTCGAAGACGATACGGCCGTCTTTCTAGTTCCGTGGGCATGACAAAATATCCCATTCGCGAAACGGGTGGGAGCGTCCACATCGAATAAGAGTCGCAGCATTTTGGCATGCAAAGCCAGACGATTTGACCTTCAGTGGTCTCTTGCTTTTGTTCTATAAAAATCAATCAAATAACACCATCCAGCAATGTCCAATGTCGAAAAAAAAAAGAGTATAATGTGTCTTGTAAACCGAAGCGATGTATATGCATAATAGATGAACTGAGATGCAGGAACGGCGGGTCCGATGCATCGAGCGTCGGATAAGTTATGCAGGGAGCAGGTGTTGACGGACGAGGAGCTTAAAAGAGAGGGTTTTCCTTGGCCAATCGGTCGTGCTCATCAATGTCCCTGTTGTAGTGTGTGTCAATAACAACTTTCAACGGCTGCAGAACAATGGACAAATTGCGGAAGAACAACATACTTGGCTTCCCAAGGATAGCAGATCCATACATCCTCGGTAGTAACCGCGGCATGGTAACGACCGGATTCCATCATATCAGCTGGCAAGACACCCTTCTTGGACTTGTTCTTGTTCTGTTTATCAGGTCAGAAAACTCCGAAGTTCTTCTCGGGAGTGGAAGAGCATGGAGAGAGATCTTACGTGAAGCACGAAAATAGAAAAGTTCGTCTTCTCGCCTTCTCGTCCGAGCTGCTTCTGCGCGTCCTCGACATCCTTCTGGAGCTCGCGCACGGCGTATTCGAGGGTCGTGCGAGTGTCGTCAACCTCATCAACAATGAGGATGTTTTTGCCAATCAAATTCGACATCTCCAAAGAGCTAAGGTCGAGCCACTGTGTCCGGGTGACCTTGGTACCAGGAACCTCCTCGGGATCGCCGCGGCCGAGGTCCTCGTAGAGGGACAAGCCGATGGCTTGGATGGGGATGTTGGGCTCGCCCGAGCGCTTCAGGAAAGATCTAGGCACGAGACGAATTAGAATAAGCATCTCTGGGTTTCACCCAGAGTGGGCTGCCACGAACCGGAGGATACGAGCAGGAACATAACCACCACCACCAATGGCGATCATCAAATTAGGGCGGATAGTGGACAGGATCTTGTCGGCAGAGTCCTGGCATAGTTTGTGGACCTATCACGTTCCGATAGACGTTAACCAAATGATTGATAAAGAGTTGATAAGCCCATGCTGGACTGGCGAGACAGTGCGCGCACGCGGACAGTGATGAACGCCTCAACGAGTGAGAGATACTGCGCGAGAGGGAGGGAGGGAGAAGCAAATGTCTGGTCTGAAAGGGGCCAAAAAAGAAAAGGCAAGCATACTTGGTTATAGGTGACATAGTACTTTTGCGTCATTTTGGCGGCGGAGAGGCAAGTAGACACAACGTGTTGAATACGGTGAGTACGATAGTAGAGAGATCGGGGGTTGAATCTGGTGGATTGGAGCTTTGACTGAGCACAGCAGCGGAAAGTAGAGGGGGAAAATTTTTTGGAAAATGATCGTGCCACAAAAGAAAGACAAGCAATGAGGGGTAAATTTAGGAACACTGAAGAAGAAATAATCATCCAAATTCGAAATTTCTTCTCTTATCTTTTTTTTTCTTCTTTTTTCCTTTTTTGGTTTCCTTACTTAATGACGCACTAAGGGAGTCAAGGCTGCACAGAGCCAAAGACTGGGGATAAGCAGAGGATAAGGTTGCCCGCCATCGCCCGCCTGCCAAGTGCCTAACTAGACATGCAACAGACCTATCAGCTTACAGTTCCGGCCGCTAAATCCCTGAAATGCCCCGCAGTCTCGCTTCCTACAGGAACGGAGTCCGGAGACCTCCGGTAGCCTCGTTAGGTTGTAGGTAATGTTTGTATGGGTTTCGAAAATGTATCCATGCATGTACTGTCCGTCTATGGCACTACAGGAGATATACTCAAATATTTCAACTTTGTCCTGTGGCTTCAAAGCTCCTCAAGCCGTCTGTCCATGGGGAGTCGGGGACCGTGTGAGTGGTAGAAAAGGCGCGCACCTTAACCGAACGGCTTCTGCTAGTATAGGTATTTATAGTCGTCCTTACCTGATTGTATATAGTCAGACCTGGATCTTAGTGCTTGGTGGCTCAAGAGGATAATGAATCAAGTTGGGTCAACTCTAACAATCTCCTGTTTTGTACTAGCACAGCCGAATTTAATCAGAATTTGTATGGCACTTAGTCCCTGGTTACTAGCGACCATGACACCATGTACATTGGGGATCCCATTTCATTGGATCCCAGACTATAGTTTAGCGGGGTTGATCTGAAGCAATAATACAGATTGAGTTATAAAGCCCCCAAATTGTGTATCCGGAGCCTTTGCAGGATACCAGATCGAACACCTCCAAATTAGAGAGGAGTGGCAAGTGTTTATAAGGCCGAGTATGTCTGCAGGTATTGAGTAAATATATAACCGATATCATGTTGTACGCAAGCTTTGAGACCTGTGGATTGGGTTATCTTTTTCGCAATATTCTTGTGCGCCAAATCATCATCTATTATCGTCATCTGTGATAGAAATAGCTTCTTACACATATACCTTTCCTTGGTAATTTATTTTATACATGAGATGGATCTATTATTCCAGATTGTCAAGGGTAATGGCGGGCAGAGGCGCACGGGTACTTACCGATGCTCACTACGAAAAGGATTTCTTGGCATGATCCCACCTCTGCAAGCTCATGACAAATGTAAATGCCGAGGTTCATATATATGTCCCCAACCGTGTGACCACTATGATCAAGAATTGCAATTGTACCAAACAGCACCTGTGTACTGAGACTTACGGATATTAACACGCAAATCAAAATATTATACAATGGCCGGCATCGATGACAAGCAAATGTCTGTCCTAATCACAGGGTAAGCTTTAAAATACCTGCTTGATGTGCTTGTAATTCACATGACACCTTGTGAAGCTGCCCTACACAAACGCTCAATAGATAGAAACTGACTGCAAAGATACATAGGTGTTCACCCGGTGGAATAGGTAACTCGCTGGCTCGTGAATTTCATAGAAATGGGCTACGCGTATTCGCGACAGCAAGAAGTGCAGACACCCTTCAAGATTTGGCAGCAATCGGTATTGAAACGTTGAGCCTTGAGGTGGATGACCAAGAAAGCGTACAGTCTTGCTTCTCAGACATCAATGCTAGACTCGAGGGCAAGGGACTCAATTACCTAGTGAATAATGCGTGAGAAATCCTTACACCCTGTTTGAGTTGACGCGCTAACATGCTCTTTAGAGGCCGCAGTAAGTTCTGACTGGTGATGGTCGGGTGATCAATGGATAAAGACTGATCTCACTATGGACAGATTACACGGTTCCAGCGATGGAGGCTGAGCTCTCGGAAGTCCGCGCAACTTTCGAAACCAACCTCTTTTCAGTTATCTACATTTGCCAGGTTTTCTTGCCTCTTCTCATCAGAGCCAAAGGTACCATTGTACAAGTCGGAAGTGTCGCTGGGGTATGCATCCACCACGTGAAATAAAAGCTGAGAGAGACGCGTTGGGGTTTGCAGGCTGGTGCTAATGCTGACCCAGATTATTCCATATGTCTTTGGGTCGGTCTACAATGCCTCGAAGGCCGCCCTGCATTCATTTAGTGATACCTTACGGGTAGAACTCGCTCCTTTCGGGTATGCGCCTTGCCCTCCTTCTTGCCCGCAAAGGCATCTCTGACCTTTCTAGGGTCAATGTCACCACGATCGTCACCGGAGGTGTGCAATCCCGTATTGCTCGGATCAAACGTACGCTCACTCCCAACTCAATGTATCTCCCAATCGAAGAGGAGTACAATCGACGCGTGGTTCACAGTCAGGATGGGGCCATGCCAAATTCCGCTTATGCGCGGAGTGTGGTCTCACAAATACTATATGGACCGGCCCCATTGCGTTGGGTCTGGCCATGGGCGCGAAGCCGTAGCTGGATCTGGGAAGGTAACAAAAGTTGGGTTGTTTGGCTTCTCAGTGGGGGGTGGGCTTGGACTGGCTTGTTCCATTTTATGATGACAAGAATGTTCAAGCTTTACAGATTGAAGAAGGTGGAAGAAGGGAAAAAGGCCGTGTGATTTCTTCCAGGTTTACATGGTAAGGGATCCGTTGTAGTGGGATTTTGTGCTGAGGACGAGCTTGGAAGATCCAATGAGGTAAATTGATCTGGTCTTGGGACAGCTAAGTATGAGCAACTTAGCTAAGGTTTCCGCCTCCTCCTTTGCGCCGTCTATTGATAACACGAGAAGGATTGAGTCAAGTAGAGAAATATAAAGTAAGGAAGCGCGGCATAGGTACCTTGTAGTATCTACCTAGTATCTGCTCAGGCAGTTGTTCGGGATCTTTATGGCTTACTCATGCCGAAAACGCACGCTGGTTGGCCCGTCAGGTGACCTCTCCGATTGCTACCGCCCGTAACGTCCCAAGGTAATAATATCATCCCGAGTTTCGTAGCCGCGAAAAAGAAAGCTGTTCTCCCATCAGCACCCAACTTCCCCCCTCCCTTATCACCAAACCTCACTTTGGAGGATCTTCTCATTTCTCATAAATCTAGCCTTTCTGACAGGTGTCCCTTGATTCCTCTCCCCTCTTTATAATTTTTTCTTTCCTACTTGGTGTCAAAATGTTCAAGCTTGCCCGCAGCAAACCGGTTACCGCGGCCTTGAGAGCTGCGACGGTGAGTTATCCTTGCCTACTGAAAATTGTGTTCTTCATAATCCATATGGTCTCACCTGCTAACACTTGCGGTTACTCATAGGAGTCTTCCGTTCAGTCCCGCCTGGGCCAGCAGCAGAGAAACCTCTCCATCCACGAATACCTGTCCGCGAACTTGCTCAAGTCGGTACGGCATACGCGCGCTATCTACAACCATGTTCTGGCTTTTTCCGGTGCTGACAAGTCGCTAGTATGGCGTCGGAATGCCCAAGGGTGAAGTCGCCCGCTCCGCAGAGGAAGCTGAGGCCGTTGCCAAGTCCCTTGGTGCGTTTTTCCATGCTTACAGTTTGAGTCGCGGTTCGCTAAGACTATGATAATAGGTAACGATGATATGGTCATCAAGGCTCAGGTTCTCGCTGGTGGTCGTGGCAAGGGTACTTTCAGTAACGGTCTGAAGGGTGGTGTGCGCGTGATCTACTCGTGAGTGTGACTGGTAGCGTCATGATTCGCTTCTGTCTTTTAACATGAACCATTTTTTCTCCAGGCCTACCGAGGCAAAGATGTTCGCTGGACAGATGATTGGAGAGAAGCTTATTACCAAGCAGACTGGTGCTGCCGGTCGTCTTTGCAACTCCGTCTACATCTGTGAGCGCAAGTTCGCTCGTCGCGAGTTCTACCTCGCCGTTCTCATGGACCGTGCTACCCAGGGTCCTGTCATTGTCGCTTCGTCTCAGGGTGGTATGGATATTGAAGCTGTCGCTAAGGAGAACCCCGACGCCATCATCACTACTCCTATCGACATCAAGGTTGGAGTCACCGACGAGATCGCCACGAAGATCGCTACCGAGCTTGGCTTCTCTGAGCAATGCATTGACGAGGCTCGCGACACTATTCAGAAGCTGTACAAGGTCTTCATGGAGAGGGATGCCACCCAGATCGAGATCAATCCCCTCTCCGAGACTTCTGACCACAAGGTCATGGCCATGGATGCTAAGCTGAACTTCGACGACAACGCCGAATTCAGACAGAAGGAGGTCTTCGAGTGGAGAGACACCACCCAAGAGGACGCTGATGAGGTCAAGGCTGCTACGTATGTTCTTCAAGTGGATCAAACTGATTCGAAGAAATTCTAATCCGAATACAGACACGGCTTGAACTTCATCAAGCTTGACGGTGACATTGGATGCTTGGGTAAGATCAAATACAAGAGCTCAGATTAATATGCCTCCCGCTAATCTCAGTGCAGTCAACGGTGCTGGTCTGGCCATGGCTACCATGGATATCATCAAGCTTAACGGTGGTAACCCCGCCAACTTCCTCGACGTCGGTGGTGGTGCCACCCCCGCTGCTATCAAGTCCGCCTTCGAGCTTATCACCAGCGATCCTAAGGTGACTGCCATCTTTGTCAACATCTTCGGTGGTATTGTTCGTTGCGATGCTATCGCTCAGGGCTTGATCAACGTCGTGCAGGAGATGGGCCTGCGTACCCCCATCGTTGCTCGTCTTCAGGGCACCAACATGGAGCAGGCGAACAAGCTGGTATGAACACCCATGGCTTCTCATCATTCTTAGTATGAGCAAAGTACCGAGCTAACCGTATTGTCTTTGTAGCTCAACGACTCTGGCCTCAAGATCTTCTCCATTGAGGATCTCCAGAGCGCTGCCGAGAAGTCGGTTCAGTTCTCCAAGGTCGTCAAGTTGGCTCGCGAGATCGATGTCGGTGTTGAGTTCACTCTTGGTATCTAAATTCCATGTCGACATAGAGCTGCGTCTCCTTAGCTGATGCTCCACTATCTCTTGTATTTTTCTCTTCTTTGTTTTTCTGCAATTATTTTCTTGATATCTATATTCTTCTTTCCGGTGGCCGAGAGGTTAGGAAGATCCGAGTTCAAAGATGCAGCGAGATGCGGAGTTATTGGCCGAGGAGGGCGACAGCCTTTCTTTCTTAAGGTATGATGCTAACGCACTGCTGCTGCTTAGAGAATGATCGGTCATAAGGAGTTGCCCACGAGTTAAACATAATGTTGATACACGAGATGGATCCAGGCGAGAGTACCTGGGAAATTCTTATAGATGGTTCTGTATATCGTCCATGTCTAGGTTTATTTTCTTTTTGTCAATGTCTTCATTACAATGGTTTAGATTATTCGAGCCATTTAGGGACAATGACTATCCGGCTAGAGTTGGCTTCCCAATCTCAGAGCCTGATTAGCGAGACATCAGGTCTTAAGAATCATCCGTAAACTCAGCGTGGGCCAGAGTATCATCTTCTACAGGCCAGGCTCTTGTCTCGGTCTGGTGGACCTGGAGGACAAACTCCCGATCCCCAAGGAGAAAGGCGTCCGCATCGTGACAGCTCGGATCCATCCCTCTCGCCGCTCGATGGGGCGGTTGGGCTGATGTGTTAGATACCCATAGAGCTGGTCTGCCACCGTCCTCCCTGAGGTAGTACAGGAGATTGTGGTCCACAGCCGCCGCATTCAAAAAATGATAGGGCCTATCATCCCAGGTGAATTCGTGCAGACTGATTTCATTCATTTGAGGGTCGTAGGTAGCTATAACCCACTGAAATGAACGCGTGGCGGCCCCGTTCAATGGTGACTGCACGAAGAACACCGCGAATCGGTAATGATTATTGTCCCATGACCGGCTCAGCAACTCGAGCGACCAGTCCCGATGAACGGCGGATATTGCAAAAGCGCGCTGGGTGTGCGCATGTCCTTCGCCATCCATGGAATATTTTCTTATGCACACTCGGTACGTCTCCTGGAGTTCGATATGGACAACGACAAGGGTCTTGGTGGCGGGCAGCAAGTCTAGTACTGCCACTTGGGGAACATTCTCAATGGTGTGAGCGGTACGCGACCACATGTCCCAGTAGGTCACGGATTCTGTATCGATTTTGTCCCCAGACTCCGTGACCGTATAACTGTTGTAGGCTACAGCGACTGTGTTGTCGCGTACCGCAAAGCCGGTCACGTTGAGGGATGGGATACGGAACCAGGCGTGCTCTTCGGTATCCAGATCCCAAACATGACAATACCTGAGGGAAATCAATACGTCCTATGAGCCCTTGCACGCACTACACCCCCCGATCATCCGATCATGTTTCTCGAACTATCATCTAGACAAAGGGAAGTATAAGAAGAGGGGGAAAACAAAACTTACGCGCGAGTGCTGATCGCTACAACCACGGAGTTCGAGATCCCCACCAATCGAAAGCGATCACGGTTTTCGGTGCAAAACTGCTGCCTTGTAGAGTTGCGAATACTGTGAACGACGACGAGGTCGGGGTTCCTGAGCCATGCAAACCTCCCGTGGGCGTAAGCGAAGGTGTTGGGCGTGGGGGCGCTCTGGGGGGTTGGTTGGCCATCGATCACTTTTACGGCCCTCTGTGCGGCGGCGGCAGCGACGGGTTGGCCGCGCTCCAAGTAGAGCCTCCGTTGAGCGTACCACGTGATCTCGGCCGTGGTGAGGTGCGTACTGGAGTTGTTGGTCCATTGGCGATATACGGTGCGCTTGGTAGAAGCAGATGACAGGAGAGCGTGCCATCGTCTCGAGACCTGGGGGGTACGAGCTGCGTTAAGTCCCGGTTCATCAACAAGTCTGCTCCCCGTTTCCCTGATAGTCACCTACTCTCCTGAGCACGTGAAGATCGGAAACGCTCAGATGCTGCACAATCTGGAGGGCGATCTCGGGCAGGGACTCGCCTAGGATGTCTTTCTGGAAGGTCCGCTGTTCAATGCGTGCGCGTAAATCGCACCATTCGGAGGAGTTCAGTTGGTTTAGCATTCCATGATACCTGCGACTTGAAACTTAGCACTATCACGTCTGGGCGGGGAAACAAATAAAGAAGAGGGTGGGCTTAGAACGAGTTGACTCATACGTAGCTCTTCGGGCGGAATTTGTGCTCAGACTATTAAAAAGAGAGATGATCTGCTGGATGGCTGTGGCATTATCACTAGACGGTGAATCCAGACTCATAGCTGAATTTGGGCACTGCGCCGGAGGGGGAAGGGGGGGGGAGGAAATGTTGTGGGGATAGGGAACAAGGAATCCCCAAAGGAAAGAACAGGTAGAGTACGAAGTATAGCAGTGCTTGTGGCCTAATTAGACAGGGAAAGTTGCAAGAATAGAATGCGAGGAGAGAAGATGGAGCTGTCACATTGACTATTGTAGATTAAGTTTGATGATTGACAGGACAGGATTTCCGGCTACGGATTGGCTTGGGTGTCTTGATATGGTAATTTACCATAGATACCCAAATAGATATATAAAACTACTATGAGTATGAGTATGTAGCTTGACATATGATTAGCATAGTACAATGTAGGCAAACATACTGAATAAATATCACATGTGTGTTAACTACATTATCCTTTTAAGATATGCACTCAGCCTTCCTTGCTAATCTCCTTATTTAGGGTAGTTACTATTGTTGTTTGTGATTGATTAATTGATCTTATTGTTCTCTCCTCTGCGGTTCCTCCCGCCGACTTCATCAGAATAAAGTACGAAAGGTTCTCCAAGCAGCTTACTTGTACTGCACATAGTATGTTAATTTATGAGTAACTAGTACGAGTACAACTGTGACTTTAAATTATGCTAGCTCAACGGAATAAGCAGCCTGCGCTGCAGATCTGATCGCCTTCTGCCCCCCTTCCATGACGCCTCGTCCCTGATCGTTTTCAATGACCCCTCTTCGTCCTCGTCGCACTGCTGTCCAGTCCAGTATATCCCGTCATATCCTAAGGGTTTCAGAAGGGAAGAGAGGAAAGGGAGAGGAGGTCCTCAGTACCTAGTATTGAAGATGATCTGACATCGAATAGAAACCAGCAAGCAACACGAGACAACAAGACTTGTTGACCACCCACGGGGGTTCTCTTTTCTTGCTTTTGAGCTCCACCGAGGAAGCTATGGACGGACACGAGAAGCATCCATCCAACGGACTGACCAGCAGAATGAGCCTCGATCAAAATTACAGGAAAATTCGATTGAGAAGAAACGGGAAAAAAAGAAAAGAAAAAGAAAACCCCGAAAACTGAAAACTGAAAATAGGCCAGGAAAGCTAGGGTCGACCAATGGAACAAGCCCAGGATGATCGAGGCAGCAGAGACTTTTGAAGAAGTGTTGATCCTCAGTTCCAGTCCGTTCGGCCCAGACCCTCTTTTTTCCCTCTTGTCTCTCTCTCTAACTATCTTGCGGTCTCGCGGTCTCGCAGTTTCTCTGTCTCGTTCTTCTCTTTGGACTTGTAAATCTTCATCATCCTCATCATCATCAATATAATTCATCTACTTTCCCTTACCACTATTTACACCATTTCCTCGATCTATTTCTTTCTCCATCTGGAATTTTAATTTCAATTCCTCTTTTCCCTCTTCCCTTCCTCCCCCTTTCCTCTCTTCTTCAAATCTAGTTCTCTTATTGCCCAATCTACTATTGTTCCTTTCCTCCTATCGCCATCTGCCTTTTCACCCTAAACCCGCCCCACAGGGCAACCTCAACTTCTTCCTTTTTTTCTTCCTCTCTCAATTACATGGTTCAACAGAAAGCCAGAAGCCTGACAGAAAATAACGGAAAAAGGCACCCAACCTTATCATTAGACTGGAAGGAAGGAAGACCAGAACACGAAAAGCAGCATTGAATTTTGCTGGGTCTTTCTCTTCCTACCGGTCTATCTCTCGGTCACCCGTCCTTCGTTTCTACCTCCCCCCCCCCCCTCCTCCTCCTCCTCCACCACCTACTCCTCCGTCGCCGCCGCTGCCTCCTCTTCCTCCTGTTCTCTTTTCCTCTAGACTTTTACCGCGCGAGATGAGCAGCAGCCTCGCCGATCTTCCCTCCAGGAACTCCCTTCTCGCTGCCCCTCCTGCTACTGCTGCCACCGATGCGCCGGGCAAAGTTCGAAAGATCCCTGTCCTCTCCTCCTCCGTCGTTCCAACATCCTTCCAATCGAACGGTGATCCCATGGATGTCACACCTCCAGCCCCGGGCCCTGCGCCCCCCATCCACAGCAGCCCCGATAGCGATCGAACGGGCACGAACCTCAACATCACTACCACGACCGCTCCTAACAGCTCGGCCGACTCACAGAGTGTGAATCACCATCATCTAGGCCCTAACCAGGCAATCGGTGCCGCGGCCGCCGCGCAGCAGCCAAAGGTCGTTCAAACAGCTTTCATCCACAAGCTTTACAAGTACGTCAGCCGTCCAGCTCAATTGTCTTTGTTCTCCATCAGAGATGTTACTCCGTGTTCTCTGGGTTCGCACACTGACAATCAAATGTGCAGTATGCTCGAAGATCCCAGCATTCAGCACCTAATATCGTGGTCCAATACCAATGATAGCTTCGTTATGTCGCCTACCTCTGAATTCTCCAAAGTACTCGCGTGAGTCTTCCTACTCCAGCGCGCCGAATCTATTTTACAAATGAGAGGAGGCGCTGACCGATCTATGCAGCCAGTACTTCAAGCACACCAATATATCCTCATTCGTCCGGCAATTGAATATGTATGGATTTCACAAAGGTATGCTGGTCCAGGCTGAAGATGGAGGGGTGCACCGTTACTGATGTCATTGGACACCAGTGAGCGACGTCTTTCATACTGGGTCTCCGGATTCTGCTCTCTGGGAGTTCAAGCACGGAAATGGCAACTTCAAGCGTGGCGATCTTGTCGGTTTGCGTGAAATTAAGAGACGTGCATCCCGCCATGCGTTGATTCATCGCGATTCATTTCCAGGCCACAAAGCTGCCTCGCAACCGGGCACGCCAGCTGAGCCTGTTCCGGATGCCACTGAAGCACGCTTGTTGAACCTGGAACATTCAATGTTCGATATGCATGCCCGTCTCACGCGCGCTGAAGAAGGGAACGTGGCGCTCAATGCGCGATGCCAATCGATGGCGGAGAGTTTGATCCGTTGTTATCATGTGCGTGGGCCCGATCATTCCAAATTGTATGCCAGCTATGCGGCGAAGGCAGTGCTAATCTCGGTTTCGGAATAGTGGACACATTCGATTTCTCGATTCCTTCAAGGGATGATTCCTGATCGCGAAAGCATCTTGTATCGGGATGGTGAGCTTCGTCGCCTTGAGTCCTTGAAATCCGGGAGACCTAACTTGTAGCAGTGACCGGCATGCAAGCCGAGCTAGAGAAGCATTTAGATGCCGTACGGTCTCTCGAGCACTCTCAGGATCCTTACCTATCAGTCCGCCAGCCCTACGTTGCCAATATCTCCGTCGAAACCGGCCCACCGTTGTCCCCGCGTCAAATCCCCCAGGAGGATGGGCGTCGTCCTTCGATGATGGAGAATCCGTCTCGGCCCAACATGATTCGCCCTCCTGTTCCCCCACATTTGGCTGCATCCCCCCGTCGCTTCGGTTCGATCGGGGCCGGGCATTCCTCCCCCAACTACAGCCGCCCCCAGGTGCCGGCTGTGGTCACCCCACAACAGCCTGTGCCTCATCCCCTATCTTCGGTCTCGTCTCCTCCAGGCCCCAACCTCACTCGTCGCCATACTTCAGCCGATATTAGACAGCATGGCTGGCCGCCACCGGGAGTGTCGCCATTCCCTTCGACTCATTTGCCCACTCATGCGGCGAATCCCTGGTCGCCGTCGCGACACCGAACTCCGACCTCAAGTGAGCAGCAAGTACGCGATGTGTTGGCGCAATACGAAATGGGCGCCCCACGGCGCCTACAGGAGAGCACTCGTCTTGCTACTCCTCCCTTGCACTCCGATCAAACTGTTCCCGCCGATAATGGGTGGCCCCTAGGTCCCAGGTTCCCTCGCCACGAAATATCCCTTCCTGCAACACGGCGCTCCAGCATGGCAAGCAATGTTCATTCACTTCTTAACCCCGCCGATACGGCTGAGCGACCGGACGAAGACCAGCATGCGATGGCGGACGATCGGAAGCGGAAGCGGCTCGAGTAGACCACGGGACGCACATTGTCTTGGTTTTGTTTCAGGCAGCGCTCTCAGGCAGCTTCTTGAGATCATCATAGTATGCGACTGCAACGAACTCAATTTCTCGATACAGTCTCCTTAATTCATCTTCGAGTGTGGCGCAGACGCTCGAAAAGAAAAACGATTTGGAAAAAGACAACAAATACACCAGTCCCTCTCCATCGTACACTGGCCAAGTCTGCGCAACGGGGGCATCACTCTGCCTGTAATCTTTCATATCTCTCTTACACGCTCTTTCGATAATTCAAATGGGTCGGAGCATTCTTTTGTACAATCATTCATAGGGGTGTGGGAAAGAGGGGCTTGGCTCGTTTGTAGCCTATTACTTTTGCGCGGGGTGTTTCTTCAATTCTGCTAACCTCTTACACTGCTTGGACAGCATGCATCATCGATGGTTTTACCTGCGCCAAACACTTTGGGATTATCACTATCAATTTCCATGGTTCACACCGCTGGTTCTCCCAATTATCGATTGGCGGCCATGCATACTCTAGCATTTCAGGCTAATTGGGCCACTTCTGTTTATTTATACTATATACCCTGGGTTGAGTGGAACAGAATACTGCTTGGGGACACTAATTTAGAGATGAATCTATAGTGACTATTTGACTAAGACAATGTACAGAATTCAACTTTCACACTAGGCAAAGACTGGTTTGTGTCGGCTATGCCGAGTATATCGATATGATCACTAAACCAAGAACAAACGAACGAACATTGGTCAAGGTCAGTGTTTGCTTGATATATGGTATGCCACCAAATCGAGCGGGTATCAATGTTGTGTTTGGTTTACGCCTATATACACAAGAGTGGTCGATTACCGAAACATGTACCTAGTAGTCACCTCTTCTTTCTCTTCTTCGACCGTTCGGCCAAAATCTCATCCAAAAAGCTTGTGCCCTTTTTCCTACCTCTTCGGCCAGATGAGGGTTGCGATGGACCGCTTTCTAGTTTATCGTCGCCCCCAACATCTGTCACCTTGGCCTCGGAGCTCATGATTTCGGTTTCTCCCGGGGTTTGTTGAGGAGGGGCATCTGCTTTCCTCTTCCTTGAAGACGAGTTATTCTTTCTGCCAATAAGAGCCAGGCGACCTTCCTCCTCATCGTCATCTTCCTGGTCAGCCCCGTGACCGGCGCCGGATGATGCCGCCTTCACCGACGGTCGACCTGTAGCGGTACCAGCGGAGGAGGCCCCCGTCTTTGCATTAGCCTTGGCCGCCATGACTTTCTGATAATTGCGACCGAGCAGCTGTTTCCGTAATTTGTCATTTGAGTCCAATTCGGTGCGATTCCAACTTCCATCCGCGGCTTTCGTCGGCAAAGGCGCTCCAACTCCGAGCCTGTAGTTCTCCCCGCCCAGAATCAAGAAGTCAGCGACACGAGCCAATATATACCTCGCGAGAGGAAACACGTTTTCTTATGTCAACGACATTTTGGTTGGGGAAGGGGTTCGTTTACGTTTCTGGGACCGCCGTGAATATCTCATCCTCTTCGCGCTGCAACTCCTCTTCGGATTTCACATTGGCTTGGTCCTCCGCCGTCGGAGCTGGGAGCCATGATGCGACAAGCCGCTGGCTGCGGGCCAGTGCGACATTGGCCTTGTTGAGGATGATGTCTGTTTCCGATTGCGATATTGACATTCTGGGAGGAATAGTCCTGATCTGACGATTCGGCTTGTAAGGTCAATGGGGGTGCCCTTCTGGGTTTGATTGTCTGAGAGAACTGCGTTCAATTCATATTGAACTTTTTTTGCGATAGCGAGGCGGCAGATTCGGGCAGAATCCATATAGGGGGACTGGGGGTTCTTCACCGCTTTTCAATCTTTGGGTGATAAGGTTCGATCGGGTTGGGATTTCTTACACTGTAGAATTGAAATATGTTCTTGCATGCTCTGTGTAGGGTAGATTACTGTCGGTTTGCGCATGTACCGTGGGTTGTATGTTTGGGGTGATATCGCAGTCACTGATACTATGCGTCAAGGAATTTTATTGAGGGATCATCTTGTTACTACCATAGTGGTTTATATTACACTTCACGCACATCCGGGAGGCTCTAAAAACATCTATATACTTAATATATATACACAAACACACGCACACGCATGCACACACACACACACAGAATCATGGGAGACAGGGTATAATCTTCGTCTAAAGGAAGAGGGAGGGATCGGGAGAGGCGTAAAAAGTCTTTCATCAATTGTCTCACGTGTGGGCTTCCTCTTGATGTTTCTGCTTCAACTTCTTCTCCGTCTTCATGAATTCCCGGATCCCGACGGGGATATTGGCAAACAGATCTTCATTGGGATCCGGTAGCGTCCAGTTCGTTTCACTGCCCCCGCCGTCGTCGTCCATACTGCCGCTGGCGGCGTTGACCTCGGACCTCGGCGTCTGGCGCTGGTCCTTGCCGTCGCTTGTTGCGGGCGAGCCCTTCGCCTTCGCCTGCGCAAGCCGCGCGGCCCATTCTTCCAACTCGTCCCGATAATCGTCCCACACGCAGTGAACGCAGCCGCTCATGCAGCAGTTGTCGGGTTCCTCCGGGCGCGGGGGGGTTGCGACCCCGTTCACGGTTCTCCAGGTCGCGTCCGGCGCGGCCCCGGGGTTGTAGCGCGAGGCTCGGCCGGGGCCTGCGAGACGGGTCCCGAAGACTATGGCCATTTTCTCCTCCGGTGTCTGGGGCTTCTTCGTTGGGGGGGCCGGTTCCTCGGCTGGCTCGCGGGATTTTTGCGGGGGAGGAACGGTCTGCCGGTCGTACGGGGAGCGGGTCGAGAGGATATCGTGGTAGTAGCCGGCAAGTGGTTGCGCTTGCGTAGTGCCGTTCTCGCCTGCCTTGACCGTTCCGTTGCGCAGAGCGGCGGAATTGTCATGCGTGGCTAAGCGGCGAGCGGAGAAGGAGAACGCATGTTGTCTGATTATGAAAGGCGCAATTTGGGGCAATCCACGTATATTATTGCTGCTACTGCTGCGTATTGCTGCTGCTGCTGCTGCTGTTCGCGCGAGAGACGGCGCGAGAATCAGAAAGGGGCGTTCCATTTGTTCTGGTGTGTCGACGGAGGAGGGGAAAGAAAAGCAGGCAGAAAGAGGAACTCGAGGATCGCCGATGCGGTCGGTTATGTCATAAGGTCCCTTCAGTCGGTTCCGCGGGCGGGAGGAATCGATTGTATGCAGGCAGGCAAACAGTGCAAACAGTTTTTCCCGACAATCGCTTGGTCTACCGTCCGCCCGCCGGACTGAGCGCATGTAAACACCGGCTCAATCTACCTTCAGCTCGGTTCGTTTCTTACACGCAGACTTTTTTCTATTCCTTCCCACAACATCAATTAATACCAGAAACGGTGGTTATTCCAGCGCTTGTATCTCACCCTGAGAGACACCTGTGCGGAGCGATCCAGTAGCTGTTGGTGTCAGCACGTCGCAAATGAGCAATCCCCCTCCTCCACCGAATGTCGCACAACCACAAACGAACGAGCGTGCCTCGTTCCAGGCACCGACAAGAGCCAGCCTAGCAAGAGCACATCCCGCCCTCCTCGAACGCGCGCTGAGCAGATCGCCCGTGCGAAGCCCACCCAAACCGACTAAGGCTGATGCGCGGGCTGTCGGCTTGAGAGACCGTAAGGCTCTCAGACCATCATTGACGTCGTCCGGCAGTCCACTGAAGCCTCCCAAGAAGGCGAAGCCGTCGCCGCGACATGTCTTTGCTGCGCCCCCGAGGCGAGTCTCTACTCGAATAACCGCCTTTGATTTGGCTTTTGGGTCCCCCGCTTCGACGCAGCGGAGTATCGAGGAGCCGCGACACATCAATACGCCAGATGACCAACTGACATCGGAGCTGGGTAGTGTGACCGGGGATTTGGACGTCACCGGGGACCTCAGTCAGCCTTCTTTACAGGAGATACTCGAAGAGCCAGATCTTCCGCCGACACCGACACAACTGGGGCTGGGACCGCCACCGGGACGCTCAAAGGGGCTTTTGAGCAGCAGCCCTAGTTCACAACAAGCGAAATGGGGGATACGACGAACGACGGACAATCCTGAACAGACGACATCGAGATTGAGGAGCGTCAATTATGGAGAGGCGGATGATATGACGGAACCGGGATTGACCATGGATTGGGAGTCGTTCCCGGAGCACATCCTGAAAAAGCGAAAGCTGAGGAATGAGCTCTCTGACGAGATGGAACAACTCAAGAAGGAAATTGCCGAATTGGAAGATTGGTCAAAGGAGTTGAGCCAGGGCGATGAACACACCGAACGTGACTTATCAAAGTTAATGTATGCTCCTCCTGACAACGGCTGCAAGACCATCATTGACCGGTTCTAGTACCCTGCTATCATCCGCTCACCACACAGAAACAGCGCCATCTGGTCGACGCCCAACCGCGGCATCGATCTCGTCTCTTATCTCGGCTTTGCTTCCGTTCGCTACGAAGGCCCCCCCACCACCGACTGAAGATACACTACCGATCAATCCGTTTGCGCTGGACGAACATGCCCACAAGAAACCTTATCTCACAGCTTTCGCACCCTTGGACCTTACCGCATTCTCAGAGCTTGTCCCAGCAACCACAACTGAGCCCCCCCTGGAGAGACATGTTCTAACTTTCACCGCGCCGCATCCGTTCCCTTCCAATCGCTTCAATGTAGCCGTTACGTATGACGCCAATCCACAGACACAAACCCTGGTCTCAATAAGATTACCAACTGCAACTCAAACCGCCAAGGCCAGAATGCCCGCATCCTTACAGCATTGGACGAAGATCCGACTCGCCAATCCGCTCCTGAGACTTGACATCACGGGACTTTGCTGGGGGATCAATCGGTACTGGGAAGCTGTAATATTACGGGCACAACTGTGGTCACAGATGGAGGAGCAACATGCAGATTTGATCCCTGGCCATAGGAGGCCCAGTGCCTCCCCACCAATGGGCTCCGACAAGCAAAGCACGCCTGATCTACGACGCATTCTGCCCCACCTCGAGCGAACGTCTATACTCTTTGAATCGAGGGCCAGACGCCTGAGTCTGCTCCTCTCCTGTGAGTTGAGAATCGACGAATGGTCAAGCGAACCCCAGCTTGTCCCCGGGATCAGCATTTCGAGCATCACCTCCGACGGGGCTCCTGGCCGGAAAGTCGAGCAAGAGTGTAAAAAGCTATTTCATACTATGTTGATGGAGAAATTAGACAGCCAGCCTGAAGGAGTCACCGGCGACTCAAGCGAGATCCAGACCGGCGCCATCTTGCGTGCTACGGAGTGCGTCGTGAAAGTTATTTCTGGAGATAGTGACGAACTCGATCATGATTCCCCGCATGATGCAGCATAGACTTCTCGGCGCCTACGGGTCTAACAATGGTCAGGTATTGATCAAGTGTGTTCACACGCATCTATGTCTATGGCGTTTGATTGAATCCATGCGTGTGGCGTTGTTGCGTGCTAAGGTTTGGGCGCGTTTCTTTTCTTCGAATCTAGGAGTTTCTACTTGTTTGGTATAGGTTTGGAGCACGGTTTATACCACGGCCCGTTTTAGAGGGAAACTATGTTGTGGAGGGGTAACAGTGAAACGATCTAATTTGCAATACGATAGGCTGCTGGGCCGGGTGTGATAGGGAGAGCGGATCCAACGCAAGCTTTCGATACCCAACATGTCTGCACAGAATCAGGATGAATGACAGCAGCAAATCTTCCTTTCTTAACCCCGTACAGACAGGGTAGATTCTCATTACAGAGAGCGATATGGGCCAATATGTTCCCCACTTACGTCCGCTATCGAGCACATACCTAAACTCGCAAAGTAGGATACACTAGACCGTGGCAGGGTTTCTGCAAGGTATACAACCAGATGGAAAGACAGTGATATTGACCTCTACCGTCTACTCGTCAGATCAGGAAAAACATGTAGGTAATTCTGATGTGGTTTGGGGGGGGGTATCTGCAAGGTCTTGATGTGATTTCTGGTGGAGGAGGAAAAAATAAAACTTCTGATGACAACCGAAGTCCGGGGAAGAAGACCGTCACAAAAAATCGAAAGTCGTAGTGGTGGGACATGAACTTGAGACATTTGCATTTCGAGGTGTTTGGGAAGCTTTTTAAGTTAAGGACAAAGGTAAGAGAGGAAAAAGAGGAGCCACGCCATGCCACAGGAGACTAATCCCCGACTTGAAAATCGACCCGATCATCATTAGTAGTGAATCACATTTATTTCTTGGCAGCAGACTCCTCATCAGCCTTGGCCTTAGCACGCTTCTCACGGGCACCCTTGTAGCGGGCCTCGGAGCGGGCCTCACGGAGGCGGCGGTAGGCAGCCTCCTCACCCTTGGGGAGGTCGTCGCGCTTGACCTCGGTGACGGCCTCGGCGGCGGAGACGTTCTTGATGGGGAGGGTGGGGTTGACGCGGGTGACGAAGCCCTCGGTCTTGCCCTCAGCGAAGGCAGCCTTGGCGGCGTTGACCTCCTCGGCAGAAGAGTCGAGCTTCTTGAACTGACCACTCTTGCGGGGGAAGAGGATCAGGCGAGCCTTGTAGTCCTTGAGGCGGGCGACATTGGCGACGAGGGACTCCTTGGAGTAGTTGACACGGCGGTGGTCAACGGCGATGCCGACGGTGGGAGCGAGCTTCTTGGGGATACCAGCTTCCTGTTCAGGTGCGAAACCAAAATGTGTAAGCCCTTGCATCCTGATTTTTATTCCTCCATGTGCGTGGCGCTGGGGTTCCCTAGGTCGCATAGGACACTTCCCAGCCCACCTCCTTCAACCTTCTTTGCTCCGGGATTCGCAGGAGTGTCTCTTTACCTTCAGCTCGGCAAGGGTGAAACCACGGCCAGCACGAACACGGCGGTTGTACTTGACAGTAGGGCAGCGCACAACGGGGCGCAGCTTGTCAACCGGACGAGGAGCAACGGCGGCGGCCTTAGCGAGACGAGCCTCACGACGGCGGTGCTTGCGGCCAGGCTATAAACCAGAGAAGAAAACAGGTCAGTCCACACCATCTTTTCTCAGCGATCCTTGCTTTTCCCATATCGTTCGTATCAAGGCGAATTGCGATAGGATCGTAATATTGCATCGTAGAAAAGGAAGAGCGTACCTGGTCGAAGTGCACGCGGACACGACGCTGCCAGTCCTTGTGGAAGTCTGAGATGAAAAAAATCCCATCAGTCCATGATACATTCGAATTGACCCAGTTCGTCGTCCATCATCCAGTGTATTTTTTTCCCCTTCTCATCGTCTCCATCCCTCTCGTTCGCCCTGTGTTCTTCGCTCCGTATGGCGGGTGCATTACTCACGCTGGTTGAGAATCTGGTTGTTGTGCTTGATCGCCTATATCACACCAAGAAGAAATCCATCAGCATTCACCGTGTCGAGAAACTAACGTCGAGAGACAGGGGAAAAATGCCCATGATCATCGTGATTGATCGATAGACTATCGCGAGGGGACGCATAACGCACCATTGTGACGGATGGGGATCAAGGCCGGGAGATTGTCGTCGTCGTCGTGGGTGGTTGCTGGTCGTATCTCAAGACTCCTCGCCTCAATATTAGGTGGAACTTTTTTTGGTGTGGCTAACCCGCGCAGAGCCGCATCGCCTCGCTTAGCGAGCCCTACCCTGCTTACCCAATCCGGAAGGCTCGTCCTCCTGTCCGCCTTCGTCTCCGCCTTTTCCGAACCGCAATTGCCAGTGACTTTGGATTGCTTTAATTCCCCAGTAGACACTGCTTTTGTAATGGAACATGGATAATTGGTGATCTTGAAGTCATATTCGTGGCTGATTTCATGGTTTTTACTTGATACCTCACTGCTCACCCTACAAATTACCATGTTTTCCCTTTTTCATACCTCACAGTACCACTCACTTCCTTCTGCCATTTCCGACTTTCTTGCTTAGTCAGACAACCTGTCTCAGTGTCTACATAACTTGACGAACTACTTTCACGATCCCCAGTCTTCACTAGTATACCATTCAAGATGTCATTGCGAATATGCTCCAGCTCGGTTCAATTTGAAGTTTGTTCATCTCTAACTACCGCTAAATTGATCAATAACTCCTAAAATTAGTGTCCCTGGTGGTTCACAGGATATGCTCGAAAAGCCAACGCAAAAATATCGAAGACAAAATCCGGGGCAGAAAAGATCACACAGGGAAACAAGCTGCTCTTAAATAAGACCAGTCTTTTTCATCATTTCTTTGAATGTCATCGCTCATCACTTTTCCATGTCCTGGGAGAAAGGCTCATATGCAGAAAGCAAGGTATAACGCAATCAGACCATCCGCGTCGACATAGGAAAGCGTCTCTCATGTCGTTGATGACAGGATACTATGTCTGATAAAGGATCAGGTTTGGCAGAAACAGCGACGCTTTGCCGTTGTGCACGGGTACTGCTTGGTCTAGTTGTTCCAGGTGCCAATACCGAGACCCACCCTCTCCTCCGCTTTTGATCTCTTCGGGGTCGCACCATCAAAACTTGCTTTGCGTTTGAGATTCTTACTGAGGGGTCGATCAACGCCGGGCTTCCTCACTTGGCCAAACAGCTTTGTTTGCAGCAACGTACTCGATTTTGCAGCACTTGCCATGCCTCGACTCTCTGGATGGTTGCTGAACTGACTGCGCCGGTGCACGCTACTAGAGACAGTCCGTGTTCCTCCAGCGGGGATATCTTCCTCGGTTTCGGCTTCTTCAATGTCAGATGCCGAAATGGTACTGTCTCGATCACGACGATCATCAGAAGAATATGTCCCTGAGGTATAAGTTCGACCCTCATCGTGCGTCAACCGAGAATGGGATGGAGTCATAGGTAAAGACGACAAAGAGTGAGCGCCGCGCATGTGACGACTCGCATTCTCTCGATGATTGCGGTGTCTATCGGGGGTCGAGGCGACAGCTGGCGACTCTTGGTTGAGGACGCGGTGAGCTTCTAGAAGAGCTTCAAAGGGGTCATGCCTTTCAGTTCCGTTCAAGTGATGACCACCGTTGTCGGCGAACTGAGGTATTGCCCCTTTATGAAGAGTATGGGCCTCGTTCTGGGGACTCGGCGACATTGGACCATGCTCGATCATCCGAGAGAAGTGTCTTCGGTTGTCGCGGATTCGGTCCTTCAGCATTCTATTTTCTTCTGTTAGAAGCTCGGACGTGTTTCTCTCCTGTTCGATAAGCTTTTTTGCTCGGCGAAGCCTTCGATCGAGTGTAGCATTAACCCTCTCGAGTTCCTGATTACGCTTGAGAGAAAGCTCAAGCTCCTCATTCGAAATCGACTGCAAAGATTTCATCTCATGCTGGCATTGGCGACTGCGATAGTCCGAACTCTGAAGAATCTCAATTTCCCTTCGCACGAGTTGATGCTCGACCTCTGCACGCTTGATCGCTTCGTTACTCGTGAATGAGAGCAGGCTGTTTTGCAATTTGAAATGGAGCGCTGACATGCGGGCTTCCTGAGCTACACCTAGGAGGTCTCTGGCGATCATGCGAAGCTTCAGTTCGTCTGCATTATCAATTTCATCGGCAGTTGGAAGGTTTTCCGAAGCACCATATGCCACACAGAGGGTCTTCTCGATATTGGGCGGGGATGCGAGGCATGAGCTTGATCGAGACCTCGATTCCCGCAGAGGAGCTCCGGGTAACTGGGATGAGGGGGGCGGTGTCATTTCTGATGAAGGTAGAGATGGTGGTGAGAGGAGTTTGCTTTGGTCGGAGTTTGAAGCTTGGCTTCCAGCTTTGACACTCAAGTCTGGTGATGCGGATAGAACTGCCCGTTTAACCGGGGTAGCAGGCCCTGAGATATCGACTGGGGGAGCAAGCGATCCCTCCGAGAGCGGACGCTCAAATTCTTGTGACATAGTCAAGATTTGGCATCCAGGAAGCAGGCAAGTAACTGTTTTTGCGTTCGCAGCCAAGCCCGACGCAGTCTGTATATAGGACCGTATGGGCAAAGCTTCAATGCGGTGGGCCGGAAGTTAGCGTGAGGCGGTCGGGCGCAAGCGCATGCGAGACGTCAATATCCTTGGTGAGTGCGAGGATGCGACGAGATGAAGTATGTTGTCGAGCGGGCGGGCAGAATAATCAGGCTGGATGAATGCAATGGCAATGGGATGGCAAATCTACGGAAAGCGTTGCGCGATTCGTCGCAGTAACAGCTTTGCGACGGGATATGTATGTGCTTATCACTGATAGCCGGATCGGGCACGTTTCGCAAGTAGTATGGGAGTTGGCGATAAGAATTCGGAAACAGATCGCTCCGGGTATGGCAGTATGGCAGGGGAGAGCAATGTAAGAGACGATAAGTATGGAAGCGGGAGGGAAGCTGTCAACGGGAGTAAGGAGATCAGAGGAATGAAGCAGGTACGCGCGATAAGGTATACGAAAGGGCGACGATGAAGAAGCTAGTTGATGGATGAGGGGGAAGGGGAGGGGGTGGGCGTAAGAGATGATATGATGAGGAGAAGCAAGGAGGAAGGGGCCGGATTGATGCCTTAAGGGTGTTTGCAAGCGTAAGTTGGCGCACAATTGGAGGAGGCTGGGAACCATCGCTTGCAATGCTCAGCCTCGACCAACCATCTCCAACCACCATCACCCACGTGAGCCCAGCCGCGCGCTAAAAGGCCACCTTTCCTGCTTGGGCTAAGCAGAGATCGCTGACGCTTGCAAAAGGTAAACAACCCAAACCCCATGGGCCACTTTTGATTGTAGCTGAGGCAACCGATGACAGACCCAGCTGTACGGAGTACTCATTTAACGTTACCCAGTTACCCAGTTACCCGTGACCCTCTATAAAATACTCCGTCCACTATGGTCTTGATCTCAGAGCCCGATGGTAGTCGGGTCACAAAGCACCTACTGGCAGATAACAGTGTAAGGTCTGTCGACTCGGCACTCACAAGTCATTCGTCAGACAGTATTGCAAGGATGAGTCTGGCCCGTGGAATATACCGAACAGCGTGGCTGCTAAACATGGAATGCAGCAGTCGCATGCACCGGCGGAGGTTAGGAATGATATCATTCCTGAGCTTTAGAGTACTGTGCTGGAAACCTAAATTTGATTCTGACCTGGCTATTCCTTCTCGAAAGGTCTTCTAATACTGCCTTTGATGGATCTATTCTTGCCCAGCCGGGTCCTTCTATGTCCTTAGAGTGCATGTTCTGTTTATCGGAGTCACATGAATACCATACAAATTGATCACTTCACACAGAAAATGACTTCTACCTGAGCTCATGCCTTAATCAGATCAAGAAAGAATGTATAATATCGGGTGGATGGTTGTAGAAAGAGGTACTTATGAGCTATTTCTGTCATTCCCAAGATGCAAAGATGTTTGGTCTAGTAGTATCAATACAAAGAGCCATGTAAGCATGAGTTTTTGATGCACAGGTGCATCTTAGACTCTACAGCAATCTCATTCCCTTGTATTGAATTGCTAAATAGTGTCAACATATAAGAGACTACATTCATTAGCAATACTTCAAGTGCCTAAACAGAATCTGAACGTTTCGTCTGATAAATACTTGCAGGTATGAGCTATGGCGGTGCCAAGGGGGTGCCTTAAAGGCGGGGATATGCAGCCTCAGGCACCAGGATATGCAATAGCCGCGGCGGGTCTACAAATTAAATGGTAAACAATCAATTCAAGAATTACAGCCATCTTATGGACAACATGCACACTGTGAGGTCACTGCGCCAACTTGACGATTGACCATCCCCCTCTCTAAATTGCAATAGGGTTGACCTCCACCATGACTGCTTGACCCCTTGGCAACTTCCGAACATTATTAATCGATATATTTTCATCCGGGTCGATATATCTTTGCGGCAATGAGCTTGCTATAGTGGTGAAAGTGCCCCCTTTCAACTTCCTCCCACAGCCGATCATAGTCAGTGACTCCCTGAGCCTGGTACAAAGATGAACAATCAACCAAAAACACCTGCCCGAGCGAGTGGCATTCCCCGCTTAGCATCAAGACTCCCTTTGCCGACAACATCCGCAACCTCCAAACCCCTCCGACCTTCGCCATCGCGTGAGAAGCTACAAACCGACTCGGGCCTGGACGCGAACAAGCACCGCAGACCTTCCGAAGATCTTGTGTTCAAAAAACCACTGCCGAAATACACAACACCTCAGAAACTCTCCGCCGGACTTCGGAAACTCGATGAATCTCAGACAAGGGCGGGCGGGGGTGCGAAGTCCGAAGCCAGCACAAAATTGAATACTGCTCCATATTTGGAGCGCGATGCTGTCCTGATCGAAGATACTGAAACGCGAGGCCGTACGCGACCTTCGCTCGCAGAACGAACAATCGAGACACTCTCAAGAATACCGCCATCTCCAGGACCAGGTAGAAGACAGTCGAGTTTCTATGGCGCAACAAGTCCGATGCGGTCCCCATCACGCCCCTCATCATCAATGACTAGCTATTCAAGATCACCATCCAGATCCTCATCTCGACAACCTAGTGGGGGCGATTATCTTGCACGACCGCCCTCTGCCATGCGGCTGCCATCCAGACCTCGCCCGTCTTTGTCCACGAATGCTGCATCGGGTGATCATGGCCATGCCCCGGCTGCTACAAATAGTCCATCAAGATTGAAGCTGCCCTCGACGAGAATGAGTGGACATAAGGGAAACGCTAATCTGGCATCTATCACGACAAAGCCTCGTCCGGCTGTGACTCAAACCCACATAAACGCCGCTGGATCGGGCCCGGATGCGTCATTACCCGGCCTAGATGTGAAGAAAACACGAAGAGCGCAGCCGAAGCTTCCAACCTCAAGGCAATCATCGGTTGGCCCCCGGTCACCGTCCGCACGATCCACGGCATCAGACTTGACGCCAGAGCAACAGTCAGAATTGGAAACAAGGAAGGTCTCAAAATCTTCAAGCGCTCTTAGAGAGAGCATCGCGAAAGCTAAGGCGGCAAGAAAAGCAGAAGCGCAGAAACGCATGCAATCCTCGTCTTCCAATGATGCCTGGGATCGGCTCAACACCGAAGATCCGTTCAATCAGAACCCCCAGGATTCAAATATTGGTCTTCTCCGAGAACGCCTTGAAACAGGCAGAACCTCTGGGCATCTCAACATAGCAGCCATGTCTCTAAAAGAACTTCCCAAGGAAGTTATGGCGATGTACGACTTCGATCCTGATGCTACTACTGAATGGTACCAGAGTGTAGACCTGGTTAAGTTCATTGCGGCCGACAACGAGTTCACGGAACTTCCTGAAGAAGCTTTCCCTGACATCGACCCGCACGATTTAGATGGGGATTCTGATGACGAGAAGGGAAACCAATTTGGCGGGCTTGAGCTGCTAGACTTGCACGGTAACCTGCTACAATCTCTACCGATAGGCTTCAGAAGATTACAGAGACTTCACACCTTGAATCTGTCAAATAATAATCTCAAAATGAACGATTTACAGGTCGTTATGGAATTGGTATACTTGAAAGATCTTAAGCTGGCCAAGAATCGGTTGGAAGGCACTCTTACACCAGAGATCAAAAACCTGAATATGCTGGAGACTTTGGATTTGCATGACAACATACTCACTGACTTGCCTCCAGAAGTGTCACAATTGAGCTCACTTCGAGTCTTGGATGTTGGTGGTAACCAGCTGAGTTCATTACAGTTTGAAGCCTTGACCCAGCTTTCTCTGAAGGAGCTTCGGGCCCCAAAGAACAAACTGAAAGGCACACTCATCCCAGCTTCGGTCCATAAGCTCGAAGCACTGCAGGTTCTTGATGTGGCCAATAATGTATTGGTGAAGCTTGCCGAAAACGTGGCTTTAGAACTGCCCAATCTCCGGACTTTAGCAATTAGCTGCAATCGCATCCAGTCCTTGCCGGATCTGTCGTCCTGGCAGGCCTTGCTGACATTGTCGGCCGAGGATAACAGCCTTCCGTATCTCCCAGAAGGCTTCATTGGATTGAAGAATATTCGAAACGTCGATTTCACAGGCAACGATATCTCCCGACTGGACGACAGAATCGGCTTGATGGAGAGCCTGTTCACGTTTCGAGTGGCTACCAATCCCCTTCGCGAACGCAAGTTCCTGACCATGAGCACCGAAGACCTGAAGCGCGACTTGCGAAACCGATGCGAACCAGAGCCCCAGGATACCGACGATGACACGGGCTCTGTCGCGACCCAGTTTACATTGGCACCAGAAACCCCGGCTCAGACGGCGGCTTGGCAGATCAAGCCTGGCGGTGTTCTTGATCGGTCTTACACTGATATGCGTGAGCTAGAGCTGGATGAGTTGAGGCGAATTAACTTAAGCGACGTGCGATGTTTGTATCTACACCACAACGAGCTACGTTATTTCCCGATATCTGCCCTCAGTTTACTGGCGTCTACTCTCACAGACCTCGACCTTTCAAACAACCCACTAGATAGCACAACACTCTTCGCCTCAGCTCTTACGCTTCCCAATCTTCAAAGCCTGAATTTAGGTGCTACAAACCTTACTACATTGGATCCCATCTTGACAAACCTTGTGGCACCAGCCCTGACATTTCTGGATGTTTCCTACAACCGCCTGTCTGGCCAGGTGCCTGCCGTACGTCGCACTTACACCAACCTGATGGCATTTGTGGCCGCAGACAATCGATATACCAGCTTGGAGTTTGATGCCGCCCAAGGTCTTCAGGTATTAGACGTGGGAAATAATGATATCGGCATGCTTCCACCTAAGCTAGGCTTGCTGAGAGGGGAAGGCTCGAGCAGAAATTGGGGTAACGGATCCGCCCTGAGACGGTTCGAGGTCGCCGGAAATAGCTTCCGTGTTCCTCGGTGGCAGATTGTCGCCAAGGGTACTGATGCCATTCTTGAATGGCTCAAGGATCGAATGACTGCAGAAGAGTTCTCTCAGTATGAGTCGCTCGACGACTTGACTGAAGAGTGAACTGCTACATAATATGGCAATTGTCCGATTTTGCGCGGGACTCATCATCTTTGTGAACAGATCTTGATGTCCTGTATCGAATTATGTGCTCTGGGTAATTGTGTAGTTCGTTGTTCAAGAAATAATGAATGCCATGTCACTGCGACATAATATGGTAGGCGCTTACATATTTCCGTACACCATCTCTCTGTTCGCTTGCTGCAAGGACCGTCGGATGGTATTGTACCGTACCGTATCAGACAGTACATAAAGTGTGGCCCTAAGATCGAGCCCTAGTTTCCCGATTTGGAGGGCTGGCTGCTTGGCATCGCCGACCGCCGCGGAGGACGAGCATTTCTATTTATCTAGCAAGTAACAACTCGAACCACTAAATTCAACATATCTGTGGTCCGAACTCCGTGCCACTTGCTCATGCATGGATTCGAGGCATTCGAAGCTAATACATCGATTCGCGACCGTTCCACCGTTCTTCCCTCAGCATGGGCACCGCTAAACCGCGTCCGTCTGGCGGCAGAGCTTCCGTCGCCAAATCCCAGACCCTCCAAGCTCTGCCGGATAAAACTTTCATTGTCGACAATGGCGCATATACACTGAAAGCAGGATATGCGCCAGAATACCCACCCCCTGAGGATGAAGTACAGGCGCTCTCGGCGTGTGCTACGATCCCCAATACGATTGTGAAGACACGTGGAAACCGCATATACGTCGGCTCGCAACTCAACACACATGTGACCGACTGGAACGAAATGTTCTTTCGTCGACCGGTAGAGAAGGGATACATCGTCAACTGGGAAGCCCAGAGAGAGATCTGGGAGCACTCGTTCTTCGACGAAAAGACGGCGCGAAGCAAGGAGCTGCGCATCACCGACCCGGAAGACACCACCTTGGTGCTGACGGAGGCGCCCAATGCGTTGCCCGTCCTGCAAAAGAACGCCGACGAGATTGTGATGGAGGAGTGGGGCTTTGGAGGTTATTACAGGAGCTTAGGTGCGGAACCTCCCCCCTCCTTTTTAAAAGTCTGAAACCAGATAGGCACGAATAGCTCATTTGGCTTTGCGTCCTGTTGCTGATGCGATTTTGCCGCTCTATCTAGGGCCGCCGTTGAATGCTTGGAACCAGTTGAACACTGTCTTCGGAGATCCGATTGTGCAAGAGGCGGAATCTGTTGTATCTCCAAGAGAATGTTTACTGGTCATCGACTCCGGCTACTCCCACACCACGGTGACGCCTGTCTACCGAGGCCACCCGCTTCAACGTGCTATACGCAGACTCGACCTGGGCGGCAAACATCTTACAAATTATTTGAAGGAGATGGTGTCCGTGCGGCAATATAACATGGTGGATGAAACCTATATTATAAATGAGGTCAAAGAGGCTGTTTGCTATGTGAGCAACAACTTCGTTGGCGACTTGGAGCAGACCTGGAAAGGCAATCGGAAGCGTGACCTCCCTGATTCGAAAGAGGGCGTCGCAGTAGACTATGTCCTTCCGGACCCCAACGCGGGAAAGAAGGGCTTCATGCGACCACACGATCCATTACTGAACGCTAAGAAGAGGAAAGGAGCGCTGTCCGGTGCCAGCGCTGAGGCATTATCCGAAGATGCCCTGGTCTTGGGCAACGAGCGGTTTACTGTCCCGGAAGTTTTGTTTACGCCCAGTGATATTGGCATGAAGCAGGCCGGGATCCCGGACATCGTTCTGCAGAGTCTTTCTGTATTGCCTACCGGGTTGCACCCGGCCTTCTTGGCCAACGTCCTGGTTGTTGGCGGGAATTCATTACTGCCGGGGTTCATGGGGAGACTGTAAGACGATCTCCTATGAAATGATCTACTTGTTTTCTAACCTAGTGTAGGGAGGCCGAGCTGCGCCAACTGGCATCCGCTGAATGTGTTGTGAGGGTGCGAAGCCCTCAAGAGTAAGCTTATCCCTTATCCTGTGACTCGAGTTAAAAGAGACTAATGAAATTCAATGATAGCCCGATTCGATCCACTTGGCTGGGGGCATCGCGACTGGCCACCAATCGAGAAGAGTTCAAGAAGGTCGCTATCACTCGTCAGGAATACCAAGAGTATGGTTCCTCCTGGGCTGGTCGGAAGTTTGCTGGTGCATTATAGCCGGTCGGGGGAGTTCGAGGTTTAATGCGCGATTGGCGTCTTCGGAGGGTTGAGCTGCAGCTTTTGGTTTGTTATTCTAGGCTGGCACCTTTCCTGTTTGCGTGTGTATTGTGTAGTAGCTATGTGTCCTTGATACCCTTTTTTCAAGTAAGCATTTTGATGAAATGTCATTGTGAGTATTGAACAAACATCTAATCATCTCTTTTCTCAGCAGCTCAATGGCGTTCTTCGTTTATTAGTTTGACCGACCCCAGCGTCTGGAAGGGGGATGAATTTTGACCACGCAGTGTCAATCGGTTGGGCAGAAAGGATGCGGGTGAGTCACATGGGATTGGACTGGATTGGATTGTCGCTTGTTGCGGTGAGGTGAGGCTGCATCCATCTCTAATCATCGACGGACTTCCTAAGGTTGCTTGCTTGCTACCTAACGTCCCCCCCCCCAACCCCTCCCTTCCTTCAACCTCTTCTTAGACCTTCTCTTCTCCTCCTATAATCTCTTTCCATACATCCTCAAACCCCTACCTCCCCCCACAGTTGGACACGTCGACACCGGCTTGACGGAAAGCATACCGGTACCCTCATGGTTAACCATCCTCCCCGACATTTGACCTTTGTTGACGCGCTCGATTGTGGCCATGGTTGGTCCAAACACTTTAAGCAGCGCCATTCCCAAGTTTCCCATCCAAGTGCGATCAGCGAATTGGCGATTGGAGAGACCCTCCCATTCCCCATGGTAGCGAATGATGAAGCCTGAACATGTGGCATTCGACCGCCGTACCCATGGCGTGGCCGCTTAGTTGTCGCATATGCCGAATTTCATCATGCGACAGCCTTCCGGAAGAGCATTCCGGTCAGCGTAGGAGAACAGCTTATATAGACTGAAATGTCGTTCTTCCCCCGGTTAATCTTCTTCCTTTTTCAGTTCCTCGACTATCCATTCAATATATTAAATAGCAGACTATCTGACATCGTTCGAATTATGTTATTGATATACGGTACCCAGCTTTAGTATTCTCGCCAAAACCCGCTCTTGCCAGACACGATCTGCGATTATGGATTCCAGTATTCTAGAATACTTCCCAGCAATCAATCGGTCCGACCTGCTTTCACCCACCCTCGAGACGATCAATCCTCGTAGGGCTATCCCGCGATCCGTTCTCAAGTCCTGAACCTGCAGAGTACTTGGTGCAGCCAAGAGAATGCCTTCAATGATGATCAGAAGACTGTCTTCTCGTGCTGTTGCGCAACCAGCCGAAGCTCTCCCGATGCCAGAAGGGCTTCGCACCATGCGCGGGTCGAGGTCATACAATGGGTCGTCAAGTGCCTCGTCCGGGACCGATGCTGCTCTTCCAGACCCGCTATCAGGCGAGAAGAAGAGTCGTACAAGGTCCAGGGTCAAGCGCTTCTTCAGCAAGCTTCGTGGCAAGCTCACCAAAGAACAGGCTAGGACTGAGATCATCGACGAGTGAGTTTACCCTATTGCGCGGTCGACCCCTTGAGTTCAAGACTAACTGACGTGGCGTAGACGCTGTGTGTGCTGCCTCGACATCATGCCCGCGGAGTGCTTGGCGACTATGCCTTGTCAACACAAATATTGCAGCCGATGCATGAAGCAGATGGTGCTCACGGTCATTTCCGAGGAAGGGCTGTTCCCACCCCGATGCTGCAAGCTGGATATACCAGTTGAGACGATCCTGCCCGTGTTGACGCCCAAAGAAAGAAACTTCTACATCTCGAAAGCGCAGGAGTATGCCAGCCCAGCTGCAGAACGTTGGTACTGCCCAGCGGCGACGTGTGGGCGCTTCATTGCGTCGCAGCATGTGAAGAGCGCATCCTCATCGCAGACATGCCCTTACTGCAGCACCAAGATATGTTCAGGGTGTCGCGACCTGGCTCATTCGTCGCGAGGATGCTCTCCGGATCCCGGCCTCGCTGCTGTTCTTGAGGAGGCCCGACTCAAGCAATGGCAGCGATGTTATGATTGCGGCTCCATGGTCGAGCTTGTCTCTGGATGCGACCATGTCACCTGCAGATGCAAGGCACAATTCTGGTAGTGTTCCCATTCTTTCCGTACATTTATCAACGCAACAATGAAGGCTGACTGACTGCTTGTTCCAGTTACAAATGTGGAGATCCTTGGTCTGCTTGTGCCTGTGCTGCGTCCGGACAGCGACCCGCGGATTTCCTGGCCGTGCTTATCGGACACACCAAGTTGAGCAGAGACCAGGAGGCCGAGCTGTCTGCGGTGGTCACTGCCATCCTCCGCAACGAAAGACTCCGTGATGAGGAGGCGGCGGCCAATGCCAAAGATAAGGTGGAGGGGGCTCGCAGGGAGAGCAAGAGACTTTCCCGATTGAGCATAGACTTACTGCGCCGAGACATCATTCTATGACGGCGATGAATAATGATTTTGATGCGACTGATTTCAGGAGGCGTGCAATGCTGACTTTAGCCATTCTTTTGACTTTTCCTTTGTCATATCAATCTGATGCTAACGACCTAGAATTGCTTTTATCTCTGCCGACAATTTGCCAGAATGCCAGAATTGTGATGAATATGTATAAAATATATATACATACCTTCATGCACCTGTAGAGAGATGTCTCCTTGTCACAATAGATACTAATCACTACAACCTTCCTCCTGAATCACAACCCACGCATGGTAGCAAAGCGAATGAAGAGAACCGAACCCATGGTGGCATTGATTGAGTGTATATATTGCGACGCACTAGAGGGTGCTCAGGCCCATCGCCGCCCATCAGTAGTCATAGAAGCCCTTGCCGGACTTCTTGCCCAACCAACCGGCATCGACCATGCGCTTCAACAGCCCCGACGGCCGGTACTTGCTATCACCGGTCTCCTGATGCAAGACATTCATGATAGCCAAGCAGGTATCCAGCCCAATGAAATCCGCCAGCGTCAGGGGGCCCATGGGCACATTGGTACCGTTTTTCATGATACTGTCGATATCCTCCTTGGCCCCGACGCCGGTCTCCAGACAGATGATCGCCTCGTTGATGTAGGGCATGAGAATGCGGTTCGCCAGGAATCCGGGGGAGTCCGCCGAGACGGCGGGGACCTTGCCCATGCGGCGGACGAAGGCGACGGCGGCCGCGACCGTCTCGGGGGCCGTCTGGAGGCCCGCGATGATCTCGACGCCCTTCTGCACGGGCACCGGATTCATGAAATGCGTCGAGACGACCCGCGCCGGTGCCTGCAGGTCCGTTGGGTCCGCCGTCGTCGCTGCGGCGATCTTGGTGATGGAGATGGACGAGGTGTTGGTGGCCAGGATGGCGTGCCGGGGCGCGATCTGCGCCAGCTGCCCGAAGATCCTCCGCTTCAGCTCCTCGATCTCCGGCACCGCTTCGATCACAAAGTCCACCCCGCTCAGGTCCTCCATCTTCTGGCTCGGCGTGATGCGCCCGCGCGCCGCGTCCGCCGCTTCCTGGGTGAGCCGCTCCTTGGCGACATCTTTGGCGAGGAGTTTGTCTGAGTTTTCGGGGATCATATCGCGGGGGGATCGTTAGTTATTTCGAGAACAGTACGGCGGAGAACCTCAGTAGGTGGGGCGAGCTCCCAAGGATGGAAGGGATTTGGAATTACCGGCAAACTTGAGGCCCTTATCTAAGGATGCTTGGGATGTGTCGATTAATGTTACTGGAACTTGGGCTTTTTGGGCGGCAACCAGCGCGATGCCCAGTCCCTATCATGGAAAGATTTAGTATATTGTATGAAAGTCATGTTTTTGGGGGAAAGGGAAAGTGCTGCAACTGACCATTTGACCAGCTCCTATCACACCTAACGACTTGACCTCGGCAGCCCGAGCGAGGGGAGATGAACTGAAGGCCCTGGAGGCGATTGAGGGGCCTCTGTAGCAGAGGGAGCGGATTGAAGACAACAACATGGCTGTAGCAGGAGCACAGAACTTGTCCAGCATAGAGTAAAGAGATGGAAGACGCCCAGGGTACCAAATGAACAGAGAATAAATCGATGCCTTGCCTACTCCCTTCGCCCTTCTCCGCACTCGTCTCCTTTGCTTGTGATGGTCCGCGGGTATCGGCCCATGTGAGCCGACGTCATCGGCTAGCCTCGGCTCAACCGGCCGAACCGTTTCGCCGGCCACCCGAAGGCGGAGACGCGATGAACACGTCAATGGCGCGCTCTGATTGGTGCACTGACCCATTTGCGCGCCGGATCATTTACAGATTGCCCGAAAGATGCAGCGATGGACAGCTGCTATTCAAGTCGAAAGCGATCAGGAGTCCAGCATCATCGACCAATATGGAGGTCGAAGAGCCAGCGCTCGCGGTGACCGAGTCCACCGTGGTGGATCCGGAAGTTCGAGCCCATGTCTACAGCCTTGTCACCGCGGTAAGTATGCAACTACATCACATGCACACAGCCCTTACTGTGAAATCCTGATTGACATTGTTTATGTTAGCTCGGGGGCTTCAACGGAGATGAAGCGGACAAGTACGTCCTGGGTGACGATGCATTGGCATGCTTGCGGGATATCAAGCGCTGGCTGAAACTCTACGACGAGAAGTACAACCGCATGGACGTTGCGCGATGCCTGGGAGAAGCGAACCTGGTCAACGGAGACCTGCTACCGATCTTGTCGACGTTTGCGAACAGCACCAAGCAGACCAAATATATGTCTCGGATCGCCTTGGCGTGTTGTATGTTGTCGCTGTGTTTTACCATCTTTACGCTAGGGAACAGGGTGACTGACGGGTGGTCTTGCAGTGGAAATCTTGGTGCCTCTGACTTGGCCATTGGAGATGCAAGGTGAAATGACGGCCGACAACTTCAAACACATCCCGTACCTACAACATTCGCATGTCGCATATAAGCGGGGGATTCTTAGCCATACCAGCACGGGCTATCTCCGCACGATCATCCGCATCGGCCTTCCGAGCATGGCAACCCCGCGATCCGAACGCGCCACTCGCGATGAGGGTATTCTCAAGTTGATGCTCTTCTTCCTGCGCAATATTGCCCTGATTACCCCGAACACTCGCCTGGCAGCTGAAGGGGACGAGGAGGAAACGTCCCGCTCGGCAACCATCAATGCCTTTCAGGATCAGGACGTATTCGCGCTCCTCCTCACCATGTGCTCCAATGTGGGAGACGACTTCAACCTTCAAGACGTGGCTCTCCTGGAGATCTTGTTCTATCTAGTCAGAGGTGTCGACGTCGAGAAGCTATTCATGAACAACACCCAACGAACCGCGGAGCGGACCGACGAGCTCGATGACCTGTTACGGAAGGAGTCGTCGCTGCGGAGAGAATATGCGAAGAATGCACCCACGCGGCACGGTCGATTCGGGACCATGATCTGGGTGAAGCGTGACGACGCCAAATACTCCACAGTGTCCGGGCAGAGTGTCCTCAAAGATGACCAGACGACCTTCCAGAAGATGGATGACAGCAAGAAGTGGAACAAGCCTCAATTCCGCCGGAAGGTGCAGGATTTGACCACGTACAACGACTTCAACACTCCTGTGCTCCTCAACTCCGCGGCGTCTGAGAACCTCCGGAAGTTCGTGGAAGAGTTCCTGGATTCAGGGTTCAACCCTTTGTTCACACACGTGCGCAAAGCAATCGAACGGGAAGCGGATCGGGTGGTCGACATCAACAGCCGTCAGTTCTTCTACACCGTGTCCTGGTTTCTGCAGGCGGAACGGGCACGACGTGCACTTCAGCGGGAGAAACGGGCGCAAAGCGAGAAGCCTGGGAAGGAGACCGAGCCGGATAGCTTCGGTCTGGTTGCCGGTGTGCTGGACCAGGAAACGTTCGTCTTCCTGAACAGAGCCATGCAGTATGCTGTCGACAGCAAGGACTGGCAAGATCTCATCGCCGAGATGCGCTGTTTTACGCAGATTCTGTTGACGATCCAGGACATGGTCCAATCGCCACTTGAGGAGGACCAAGATATTGCCGAAAATATCCAGAATCGGATCTTTTACGAGGAGACCACGCATGATCGCGTGATCGCTATTGTTCGCGGTTATGCCGATCAAGGATTCGGCTACCTGAATGCATGCACCGAGCTTACCCATGTTTTCTTACGTATGCTGGAACGCTACAGCAAAGAGAATGTCGACATGCAGGTGCGGTCTCGGCGGCGTGCCAGACGTAAGCAGAAGGAAACCGAGGGGATCATTGAGGGAGAAAACGACGAAGAGCACGGATCCGAGGATGAGGATATGATGGAGGCGGAAAGGATGTCGAAGGAGCGCAGCTTCGACTTCAGGCGTTTCGCCGCCAAATTCTGCAACCAGAAATGCGTCGACACTTTCATCAACTTCACCAAGCATTATAGAGAGCTCAACACGGAGCAATTGAAACGTGCCCACCGGTATTTCTACCGAATTGCCTTCAAGCAGGAGATGAGCGTCTTGCTATTCCGTCTCGACATCATTAATCTTTTTTACCGCATGATCAAGGGGCCCGGAGCCTTGGATTCAAGCAAGCCAATTTTCAAAGACTGGGAAGAATTAGTCCGTCAAATCATCCGGAAACTGACCAAGAAACTGGAACAGCGCCCTGCGCTGTTCGTCGAGCTACTCTTCAGCAAGATCAACGCGACCACCTATTATCTTGAATATGGACACGAGCGGCAGACGCTTCCGACCATCCGGAGAGCCCCAGCTGAGCTGGAGATCGATCCCAAACAAGCGAATACCATCGAGGAGAAGCTGAGCATCATGGTGCCTGCCTTGGTTCTAGATGGGGATGCGGAACTCGTCAAGTGGGTGAGCGAAGTTCTGGGGTCGGCCGTAGAGGAACGAGATGCCTGGGAAGAGCAGGAGAAGGCCCTCCGCGAAGCAGGTGCAGAGAGCGCGAGGATTCCCAACCCAATGATATGTATGTAATCTCTAATGTCCTCACGGGTGTGTGTATACTGCTACACATGTACTGACCGTTGCGCAGCTGTCAAACCTCGAGACGAGACATGCCAGAACGCCATGTTCTCGAACGCCAAGCTTCGTCTCTTGATGACGCTCGTCAAATTCGAGCGACTTGGTGTGGAAGACGTGGCGGGAGCCTCTTGGGTGATCCCCTCGACTGCAACGGCGCAATATCTGCGAGAGATGAAGTCATTCATTGACAAGTATCTCGCCAAAGCGGAGAGGGGAAATCTCGGACGTGACCCGCGCGAACTGATCCGCCGCAAATACGGTCCCAAGAAGAACACGAACCAGTCCGAGGCCCACGACGGCATCAATTTCGGGTCGGATTCGGAGGGCGAAGATGAAGTACCCGACGGGTTCTTGTTTCCGGCGAATCCGCGGTCGAAGGCGAATGCGCTCTTGGAGCTGAAGCAGAAGCGTAAGAAGCGCAAGCAGAATGATGACGATGAAAGTAAGCCCCTCGATGAGGCAACCCTCGAGGAGCGGCGCCGCGCCCGCGAGGAGAATGCTCGAGCTCGCATCGCGAAGATCAAGAGTGATCTCTACGTACATGCCAGTGACGAGGAGACGGACGATGAGGCAGACGAGAAGTTCTTCCGCCTGGAGGAACAGCGACGCAAGGCGCAGGCCGACCGCATCAAACAGGCCATGCTCCATGGGGTTCCTCCAGAAGCGCTGGACGGCACCGGGAAAAAGGGGCAAGGCAAGCGCCAGAACAAGCGACAGCGGAGAGTCAGTCAGACTGACGGAGCAGACGAGGACGATGATATCATCATGGGGGGCACGGGGGATTTGTCGCCGGAGTCGCCACAGGACGACATGCCCCGGGATGAACTGGACGATCTCCTGGATTTTGATGACGACCTCGCGTTCAGTCGTAACCGCGAGGACCTGTTAGGACCTTCTCGCGACGATGAAGCCTCACATACTAGCGAACCCGAGGTAGAAGGCGGCGCACAGGATGAGGAGGATGAAGACGCACCGATCGTTGCAGCTACTTCACGCCGGCGGATGCGCGCTGGATTTGTGGTCGACAGCGATTCGGAGTGAGATGGTCTACATGTAGCTTAATGATATGATGAGCGGGAGATCTGGGGGCTGGCGAAGCTTTGTGTTGAACATGGAAGCCAGCCCTCCAGCCACCTGTAAAAAATGCCACCGGCTTAAACCCCGAATACGAGCCATGAACAAATCGGCCAAGCGTCAATTACACGATCCCAGCATTGTAGCATTGATTTGTAAACAAAAAGTAGGTACAAGTGGACCAATCTAGAGCGATGACTCACAAGCGAAGTAAACCAACATCTATAAAAACATCTATAAATCTATCACACTTGACCTTCCTCCACACCAACCCCATTCCCCACCTACCACACCCACCATAAACTATACTAAACAACACCAAACCACCCAACATGCCAACACCCGGCCACGTCCACTACATAACGCTCGACGTCTTCACCAACACAGCCTACACAGGCAACCCACTGGCCGTCGTCTTCCTCCCTCCCTCCTCCTCCTCCTCCTCCACCTCCTCCAACACAACCCTAACCCAGCGCCAAAAACAAACCCTCGCCCGCGAATTCAACTTCTCCGAAACCATCTTCATCCACCCTGACCCCAGCAGCGGCACCAACACAACCCACCGCACAATCGACATTTTCACGCCCACCGAGGAACTCCCCTTCGCAGGCCACCCCACCATCGGCGCCGCCGCCTGGTTCCTCCACCTGTCATCCCCATCCCCATCCCCATCCCCATCCCCATCCCCATCCCCATCCCCATCCCCATCCCCTAGCTCCGAGAATCCACCGAAAGAAAATGCGATAACGCACCTCATCACCAAATCCGGGACGATCCCCATCGCCCGGTGCCCCGCAACCAGCCCCGCCGCCTCAGAGACGACATCGGGGAAGGCCAAGGGCGAGGGCGTCACCGCGCGGATCGCGCATAACCCGCACGTGCACGCGAAGCGGTTCCCGCTCCGGGAAGTCCTGCGGTTGCATGGGTCTTTGGCTCCATTCCTCGCCCAAAAGGACTCGGATCGGGGGGCGCAGGGGCAGCACCAGGAAGGAATCTCCTTCCCCGTGTTCTCGATCGTGAAGGGCATGTCGCAGGTCCTTGTGGAGGTGCCGTCGTTGGCGGCGTTGGCGGCGGTGACTACCTCTGCGGGCGGGGAGATGGTGGGCCCGGAGAGTGGGTATATGGATGTCGAAGGTGGGTGGGCGGTGGGGCTTTGTGTGCTTTATTTCTACGTTAGGGGGGTGCAGGACGATGACCAGGGCAAGCACAACAAGGAGGTGATACGCACGCGGGCGATTTTTGGGAATGTCGAGGATCCGGCAACAGGGAGCGCGGCGTGTGGGTTGGCGGCTTATCTGTCTTTGACCCAGGGCACACCGAAGGAAAGGAGGGGGTTTGACTTTGTGCAAGGGGTGGAGATGGGGAGGCGGAGTGAGATTGGCGTGGAGGTGGAGATGGGAGACGATGCGGAGACGATTGCGCATGTGGATCTCAAGGGAAATGCTGTCAAGGTGTCGGAGGGGTCGATTGCGATTCCTCCGGAATAGTAGACCATGTAAGAAGTGCTCTGCATGCATCACGTATATCCATTATGTCCCGTTATCCATCAATCATCATGCAATAAATACACGTAAGTAATCAACAACATCATTCCATCAAGTCATGCACAGGGGATATAAGAAAAAAAGGAAATCAAAGGAAATAGAATAGAGCATCAATAACAAGGACGGGAAGGAAGTCTACTTCCTCCAGAACATCGCTTTCCCCAACTGTCTCTTCATCGTCCATCCCGCCTCAGAAAACTTATCCTTCATCGTCGCGCCTCCACCGTACCGATAGGCCGTGGTGTTCGTCCGGCCCGACGAGCTGGCTGTTGCACTCGCGTTGGCGAGGTTGCCCGCATCGAACTTAGTCTTGCCTTCGACGATCTTCTGCACCACCAGGAGGATAGCGTAGGTGGTGGATCCGATGGTGCGGATGAGCGCCAAAACAACCACCGACCACAGGATAATGGAGAGGTAGATGTTCGTGCCGCCCGAGTCGGGCCCGTAGACCTCCGAGATTGCCATGGCGAGAACGACGTTGGCCACCATCCAAATGGAGACCATGTAAGTTCGCACGGCGCGGTAGTAGTCTTCCTGCAGTTGGCTCTCAGAGATGGGCGCCTCAGGAACCTCCACTCTGTCACGGAGGTTCCGCAGGGCGGCGTCGTAGCCGCTGTCAATGTCGAGTTGCTCGGAGGGCATCTCGATTTCGACCGTAGTGCCATTGATGGTTCGTGCAGCTCCGAGGTCAGTGTTCATCACGTTGTCACCCTTGGTACCCCAGGTCACATCATGGGTGTTGCAAAAGGCGTAGACCTGCAGAGTACAGATGTAGCTCGGCAGAAGGATAAAGTACTGCGCGGAGGAGGTGAACATGTGCCAGGGGTCCAGGTATAGAAAGGACGAGTAGAAGTAAAGGCCCACAGTTGAAAGCATGGACATGACGATATTCACGAAAAGTCCGTTACTAACAGTGACCTTTGTGTATCCACCAAACCGTGCCATAAACTCAATGACGATCAAGTAGAGCGTGCAAAAGATCGTGTAGAACATAATGATACCGTACACAATGATGCCCGACAGATAGAGCTTTTTGGCACTGCAGGATGTCAGAATTGCTGCCTGTGCCAGGAACGAAGGAAACTCACCCTTGTGGTCGATTACCCATCGAGATGATGAATTGCAGAGCCATGACCAGAATGCAGGCATATCGTAGGATAACGAAGATATACTTCCCGATGTTGTGTCCAAAGGGGTCGATCTTCTGGTCGGTGAGCGATCCAGCAATAAAGTAGAAGACCAAGTAGAAGTTCGCCTAGTTATGTAAGTCTCTTGCTGTCTATATCACCGAATGCACTTACCAAGCCGAAGTACGTGAAGAGGAGCTGCATAAACTGATAGAAACTCTCGATCTGCAGAAGAATCTTCCGGACCAGCGAGTGGTCCGTCTTCCATAGCTGCCTTCCATTGACGATCGAGTATACGGCTGCGAAGAATGCACCGTTCAGCCATCGCCGACGCTGGGAGATGAACTCAGGAATTGTATCTGCAAGCATAATTAGTCATGCCAGGTGGCTGCGGAGAAATTGTCACTGACCAGGAACATCGGTTTCACCAACAGCACTTTTCACGAATCGCAGAACCCATCTCTCTTCCCTCTTGGCCACCAGCTCCCAGCAGAGAATACGATCCTCAGCCAAGTACATATTCGCTGTGAAAACATCCGCATCCTTGCCGTGCAATGTCTCACCCTTGAAGTACTGGTTCAGGGGCCCATTGCCGTCGGCGTCGTTCTGCAAAGCAAAGAATCGATATGCACTGAGTGCACCAGGAAGGACAGTGATGTATCCAAATACTGACTCCAGAGGCTTGTCCAGAATGTTGGACATCTTGTACTCGAAGTTCTGGCTCGCAACCAGCGGGTTGAGGAGACCTCTCATGTTTTTACCCTTGCCCGCCTTAATCTCTCCAGCAGCTCCGGCCACATTTGAGTCCTGATCGAATGCTTTCCACAAGTGGTAGAGCGCCGTGGACTCTGGCCGGGTTCCAACGTCCAGAAGGATGCAAATATTGGGCTGAAGGGCCCGCCCAAACGCGTTGAAAAACCAACGGTGGGAGTTCAACTTCTTCTTGTTGTGCTCCTTGAGACAAAAGATAATCTGACAAGGCGTCATGCCCTTCTCAGCTCCCTTGAATTTCAGATCCGAGTCAAGGGATACTTGCGTTGTGTACTCATAAACGTGGGCTTGGACCTCCTTCTGATTGACCACATTCTTGGCAATGCCCTCCTGGTAGACACCCAGGGCCGCGAGAGCATTGAGCGTCCGGGGATGGACCTTCTTGCGTCCGTCTGCGATGATGCACACGACGATCTTCTTCCATCCATCCTTACCCCATGTTCGGGACTTGGAGCGTGAACAGAAATGGCTGATATTCCGCATGACACCGTGCATGGTGCGAGTGAAGCCAATCTCATCTTCGTTGTACATGGTGATGCAAATGAAGAGTTCGGTCTCCCGCATGGTCGTGCCAATCTGTTGACGGAGTTTATATCCTCGCTGTATGTAGTCGTCTGGGTCGCAAGTCACAGCGGTGTACCGCATGTGCGTGAATTCGCGGTCGTCTCGCCGGGGCAGGAAACTGTGCAGGATTGTCGGGATTTTACACTCCAGAATGAGTTCTCCGTTGATGAGCTGCACTTCCTTCTTCGACATCTGGGCTTCTCGGACACCGCGGCGGCTCTGCTTCTCCGGGGGTGGGCCGTAATGCAAGTTCGGATCGACGAGTTCCCCGCGTTCGTCGTATTCATCGTCCAAGTCAATCTTCGCCATTCCGTCCTTATCATCCGTGATAATCGTCGATTCGCTCATGAACGACTGCAGGCTGGCGCGGTTGTCAAATTGGGGGTCGGTACTGCGGCTGCCACTACCACCACCAAACACATCCTCGTCTGAGTTGCCAATGGGAATACTCGCGTCATAGCCGGCGGGGGGCGCAAACAGTGGCGCTGGGGGAAGCGGACGTCTGGGACTGCCCCCATATCTCGAACTCGGGGTTCCCGGCCTAGGGCTGCCGTTGAGGTCAGCACGCTCATAATGCGAACCCACCACGGACGGAGGTGCTGGCGGTCCGCTCCAGTTGGGTGCACGGGATGGGGACCAAGGGCGCGTAGGCGAGCCGGGGCGAGACGCATAGTGCGGTAAATCGGCTGCGGATGCTACCGGTGGGGGGATGGTAGGCGCGTGTCGAAGGCTCGATGTAGGTCTCGACGGGGAGTCTTCCGGATCATATTGATATTGGCTCTGAGCATATTGCTCTTGCTGTTCCGCTCTGCGATTCCTGTTAACAGTTCGCCTCATATAAAACATTTCAAAAAGCATCTTGGCGGATGTTTCTAGCGGTTGCTAGGCCCGCTAAGTGAACTTCGCAAGGGGCAGTTGAAACGGACAGAGATCCCACAAAAGTGTGGGCATCGCGCGTTTATACCACAAGTACAAATTGCGAAAAACGTTTAGGCTTCTTCAGTCCAGGACCTTGAGCTTGTTCCGGACCCAAGTTATGATTGGGTGGAGGGTGCAAACAAGGGGGGCTCAAGTATGGTGGTAGTATACGGGATAGCAGAAAAGCTCCGCCAGCATGCCGAAGAATCATAAAACATTGACAAATTTGGGGGTGAACTCAAATCACAGTGAACTTACCCTGCGTCATAAGTGAATGAATCACCATAGTGATACTCTGAGGTCATGCCACTGCCTCCACTCAGATCACTGTCCACCGCCGAGCTCGTGGGGAGCAGTCGCATTGTAGCTCCATGGAGACGTGACGCCGCGGGCGAAGAGTCGAGATAAGAGCCATCTCCATACGAACCGTACGCCGGTGGCTCTTCCTCCTGGCTCCGTGCCGGTATATAGCGCTGCGACATCGTGATTCTCCGTCCCACACGTTCAATTGTTCATAGTATCTATCCACCAGCCAATTGCAGCGATACGGCCGATCCTCGGGGTTGTCTCGTCTAATGCACGTGCCCAATGTGATGGGTCCTCGGGTCTATCGTTCTAGGAAGTCGGAGCACGATTCTGCCTATTCGGCTGCTATAGAAGATCGCATACAAATTAGCCTCGTCTTCTTCATCCATAGTCTCAACCGGTCGGAGGAACAAAAGCCAGAGCACTCACAGTAAGTTGCAGCCAATAGGTTTAGCTGGTTACCGAGCCCACACAGTCCCCAGTATGCTTTGGGAAGTTACCAGGAATGCGTCTGATAAGATCGTGCAAGTAAAGTATGTGGGAACCCTCGGATGAAGTGTTGAATGGGAGGAGAGACGCACAACGGTGTAAACAACGATCCCACGGTCTTCAGAAAATCAATTCTTCGACACCGACCCACGGCAGCAAGCAAACAAAACCATAACGTGTCAGCCGTGTGCTCCTCCTCTTAAGAGACCGGGCAAGCAAGGTTATGGGCGCCTAAACCTAGTCGCAGTCCGGGCGCTGACGACCGGCACACCGTGGAGAAGGTGGTTGTCACCAGGGCAACCAGAGAGCTTGGGGAAACGGGCGGGGCACAATCCTTGCAGCTTAGAAACATATTGGCCGGTGGGACTCCGGATGGAAAAGTACCGCAGACTTGGTAGGAACCTTTAGGAACCTGTAAGATTTAGCTCGAGGTGCTGTATATGAAGTTAAGATTAATCCTTGAAGGGATGTAATTGTGTCATTTACTTTTATGTTCCGGCGCTCGTACAAACAATGGAAACGAAGCCGCACGGGCTCTTGGTTCCTCAGGCACGCGGTGGAGCACATAATCTTAAAACCCAACGACCCAACCATCAACAGTGTTTCTGAAGGATATCGAAATTCCTCAGCAATTATCATTACCGAATCACTTTCAATTTGAGACTAAAGAGAGGATACAGTGGGGACAGATCGACCGAACCGAGACAAACTCACCCAGCGGACCCATGGAAAAGAAACGCCATGCTACAACCGCTAACAAACGTACATGGGAGGGGAAGATCCACTAGAGAAACAATAGACATCTGACCATAGTCAACATTACAACACCCGACCCCATCGTGAATCATATCCGTTTAAGGGGACCACAAAAGTGGCGTAGAACAGGAAGAGAAACACCATGTGCGCGAAATATGTCTTATTTCGATGGCAACTCCATTTTGACCACGGCCAGCATTACAGGCCAGGCAGTGCTCCTGGTGACATTGGAACACAGGTGGACAGCACCTATATTCAAGCCGTGGGCTCGTTAAGGAGAGGTTCTCTTTCACGGTCAGTGGTACCGGCCTCTCCAGTTCTACGGAGCAGCACATTGCGGCCGGTGTACTTGGTCATGGAGATGTAGAGGGATTCCACGAAGAAGATGGCGAAAATGACGATGGCAAAGATCCACTGCAACGAGATCACCTTGACACCAACTTGCTTGACCGCAAGTGCTGTAAACCATAGATTAGCATGGTTATCGGGTCTGGACCAGGCGATTATGTATCACTTACCAAGCGTCAGCAGACTCAAACTATAACCGAGGAGGTCATCCTGGGCAACGAGAATATGACCGGATCCCACGGCGAACAGCACCCAGATGAAGATGTTTGCGACGATCCTAGCGGGCAGGCTGTTGCTGTTGACAGCAACGGCTCCGTTCCAGAAGAGCGCGATGAGGGTCCAGGCGAAAGGAGCCGCGACAGCGGACAGGTGAGCAAGCGGGCTCAGGGTGCGGTGGCGCCAGTACGTTGCATGTTGGTTGATGAAGTGCGCGATCAGGATGATTTCCGCTCCCCAGAAATGGCTGCGGGTCCACAGAAGAATCCAGGCAAAGGTGAACAGGTTGTTGAGAATGAAGTGGGTTCCCACATTCGCTGCGCCGGTAACCAGCACAGCATCCCGCGAGAAGAGATGATAGACGTAGCCGACCTGAGAGATAAGAAGGATGACCCTGAAGGAACATAAGGTGTTAATAGAAAGTCAGCTGCCGACGCAGGCAGGAGGAAAAACTCACCAGTAGATGCGTGTGATGATAGTACTCAGACTGAAGGCAGTGATATGCTTGTTGGCTTGCTTCCAAATGGAATGGCCATGCTTCACATCATCGGGCGAGTTGGAGGAATAGTAGATGCCGACAATTAACACCAGCAACCAGGACAAAGGAACGAGAATGCGGTAGGCAGTCAAGGTCGACCGGCTATGGGACTCATGTCTGGCGAATGGATTATCTGGATTGGGTCCAAAATAGTCAGTAATGGTATGCATAGCCAAGTACAGCGAGGAAGGTCAAGTACTACTCACAAGGAGCCATGTTGAATCACAGGACTACGACGAGAATGATCGATACAGTACAGACGGATGAGGAGGAACAGGGAGTCGAGACCTGAACGAGTACAAAAGGGGATGAGAAGAGGAATAATAAGTGAAAGAGAAGAACAATCAACTGGGAGCGGTCGTCATCCCGTCATCGTCACGGCGGCTGCACCCCGCATTGCCTGATCTTCTGACCTGACAGGACAGGCCAACAACAGCCACCAAATACTATTTCCAAGGAACCGTTCCCCTGCCCACTCAACGCTGATTGAGTTCCTCCTTATTGGAATTGAATTTCTTCTACTTCACCGCTGCTACGAGACCACTTCGACTGCGCCTACTGCTTCTTGTGGGTTGTCAAAAGCGAATAGTTCATGTTAAGCTGGAGGAGGGATTAAGTGTAGTTATGCATTCGGTGATGACATCATCCGGTCTGGACTCTCAACTTCTCTCTCATTCTCTGACACGCCAGAAACGTTAAGACTCACTCAGCTGAGGACGCCCTACTTGGTAAGTAAAATGTAGGAAGAGACGATACTATAGCCATAACCCTGTTTTCACTCTCCCCGCCCCTTCCTTCAGCCAACATCCACTGGAAAACTCGCTAGGCTGCTCTTTTCACCAGTCGCTCTCAAAGAGCTGATCGACGTCTCCACGCTGTCGATCGGTGCACGGTCCTGTAAGCGCCTGCAGCTGGACTGCTTGAGGGTTTCCTTGCAACCAATGCCACTTTCTCAAGCTGGCTTCACCGGTTGCCTCCTTCATTGGCACGTCATCTTGCATTTCAGCCCACCCACAAATGCACGTGGACTTGCCAACCGACTGCTCTGGTTAACCTCTGTTTGGGGTGTATGATTGTATATCACCAAGAGCATCTAGATATTCACCACTCGTGTCTTCCCTTAGTCCCCTTCGAATGCTAGAGACATGAGTCTGCCAGGAGACGCAATCGGAAGAGGATCCACGGTGCTGTCTCACAATTCACTCTTTGCGATTCTGGCCACTAAGCAGCCCTGCCTTGTCTTACATGATTTGTTGCACAGCGTCCACAAACCGTTGGTGGATAGAGGAAGGCGCAACAATCATCCCATGACATCCCGCCAAAGTGCGCCCCAGGCTGCAGTCAACCGGACGACCAGCAAGGTCGCTGACAATGCAGCCAACCTCTTCGACAATCAACATCCCGCCCGCATGGTCCCAGATCTTCGACCGATAAGAAGCCTTGCGTGGGATTTTCATGGAAGCATTGCATCCTCCAACCGCAACCGCGATGTATCGCAACTGGGTCGCCCAGAGATCTGTCTTAGGCGGCCAAGGGGCGCCCAGGTGAGATGCAAGGCGGGCATGTACGTTGATATCCGATGACCCACCGGCACAATCGACAAAGACAAGGTCCTTGGGGTCTGTGATGGCAGGTTTGGGCTCGAGCTTGTGGGCAGGGAGGAGAGCGCCCGTGTCCATCTTTCTCATGTACGCGCCGTGACCAGCAACGGCGAATACCTGATGCCCATAACCTTCTCGATCTACTATATCCTCGTGGATGTATCCCTTCTCCAGATTCATATTTGGGCAGCCCAGAACACCAACCTTCTGGAGTCCATTTTCCAGCAGACACAGGCAGACGGCGTACTGCTGACCTTGAATGAAGGTCGCCGTCCCATCCACTGGATCCAACACCCAGGCACGATTCTGCGAGCCACATGTACCCTGGGCCCCCAAATCGATGATATCCAACATTTCCTCCTTTGTCTTTGGAGTATAGAGCTGCGCATCGCTTTCCTCGTCGGTCAATCGAGTAGAAGCGACCAGCTCCCACGTTCGCTCGAGGAGGGCCGGGTCGGATCGCAGGGCACTAGCGCTTTCCTCACCAACAAACACGTCATCAGGGAAGGCATGATGAATAGCGGCGATAATTAATGCTTGGGCGGCGAAGTCGGCGATGGTGACAGGGGTAGAATCACTCTTGTCGAACGACCCTTTGTCGACAGCCTCGAGTAGCTTTTTGGTCGCTAACGTAGCTCTCTGCACCGTCAGACAGGCCAATTGCAGTTCTTTCGAGTAGGGAATGGAGGAATCCATGATGAGGTTGCGTGTAGTGTGCGTTTCAAAAGGGTGAGCTTTTCAGGGGCTGCAAGAAGGTATAGAGAGCGTGGCCAAAGGCTGGTGCAGGAATTGATCGGTACCCGAAACCACTTGGAGTCTGATCGAAGAAAGGAAGGGACGTTGAGCAATAACGGTGAGAGGGGAATCGCGACCGCCTCGTACTCAGGTGCACGCAGGGACTGAAACCCGGTGTGGGGTCTTGTTCGTCGGAGAGGGGCGCCCGGTGACGTAGAGCAAAATGATTATCGTGAGCTGGGAAACCTTGAGAGGCAAGCAAGGAGTGATGGGACAGCAGGAGAAAGAGGGACTTTATCTTGCCTGCAAGAAGAGGGGCTCGGAGGCGAGAAAAAGAATTATGACTCCGACGAAAACGGAGTGGGAATTTCGAAGGATTATGATCTCTTCTGCACTGCAAGCCAAGTCAGTGATCGCCTGGCGGAGAGGACTACTCTTCTCCTTTGGGTTAGCAACTCGGGTCTGCTTCGGGCTTGGTGGAATATCCGTCTGCAGTGCTAGCCAGCAGTGGTTCTTATCTTATCGTACCTCAACAGCCATACTCTTCCGTGGTGAACGTGAAGATGACTGATGAAGTTATGCTGATTCCAAGACTGAGGGTTACCAAGCAAGTCAATGACATGGTCACAGCTTGTCTTTACCAAGAACCGAACCAGGAACTGGAATCACCCGAGGTTTATAGCCAGTTCAAGTTACGCAAAGGTGGCCATAGTACAAATCACTTTAGCAACATGGGATTCAACGCAGCAAATCAAAGAATCTAGCTTTCAGATACCATCATCTATATTTGCCAACAAGTGAATATAGGTGCCATCTTGGAGGGTATCAGAGCGGAGCAAAAGCCAGTTCGTAGGCAAAGCCTACGGTCAACCTCGCATGCTCCAGCATGTGATCGAAACTCAGATACTTGACTCGATCATCGGTGGTGTGGATCTTCTTGTTGCTGTTCTCCATCTCAGACTCAGTTGCCATTGCAGAGGGGTACCCGTACTTGCTCGCCGATGTGTGGTCAGAACAAGCGTAGCCGCACTTAGTCTCGATATGTCCGATCTTGCAGTACTGCTCAGGGCATATTAGCGACCGCTCTAATGTCGGTGACAAGGTCTTCAACCTTACCTCTTTAATGACATCCTTCAGGAATTGCGTCAGCCCCCGATCGACGTAGTCGACCATGATTCCGATAGCTTCCTTGCGGCCTGCATCAAACGACCCTTGAATGTATCCGGTCATATCCTGCTGGAGCATGGCCTTGACATCCCGCTTATCCTTCTTGTACTGGGAGAAAATAGCCTGGGAGCCCAGCATACCACCTTCCTCCGCCGAGTACCAGTGGAACTCCACTGTGTTCGGGGCTTTACCCTGGGCAACGGTGTCTGACTGCAGCAGACCCCGCAAGCCTTCAAGAATAGTAACGGTACCACTTCCATCATCATCCGCACCCGGCGCCGCCAGAATCGACGGGAGGAACAGATTGATGCTGTCCTGATGAGCACCCAATACAACGGTCTTGTTTGTCTGCCCTGGAACTCGGGCGATGATACTGAATTGACCCCATGGGTGGGAAAACTGTTCCACGGTCGCGCCATGCTTTGAGGCGCCCGTCTCCTTGATCACATCAAGGACCTGGTTGTAAAGCCACGTCGCTGACTCGACGCCGGTCGCTGACCGATAGTAACGAGTATGGAAGGAAGTGAAATGCTCCAGATTCTTCTCCATATTATCCTTGGATAGATTGCGGAGGAGTGGGGCGACCTCCTCCGAGTGTTCCATTTGCACCGGGTAGTGGACATAGCTGCCGGCGTTCAGTGTGGGGTAGAAGCCAGTGTTTCGCTCAGCGGTGATATCGATGAAGTTTACACCATCCTAGACCGAGCGTCGAGCAGAGCGGTTAGTTCTCGGAAGGCATAAGGGAATGGGCGGGACATTTGTGTAATCGGTCTCAAGCGGATTGTCTTACCAATTTTAGATCCCATTTCTCTTCCTCTGTCACCCATCTTGTCTCATAAGGAGCAAGCTCGATCAAATAAAGTTCCTGCCCGTGGTGAACGCTGTGTTCTGTTAATGGTTCTTGCTGCGGTAGCACAGCCCCCAATACGGCTGTGGAAGCTGTCACGCCTAGCGCAAGGGTTGCGATAAGCTTCATAACGATGTGACGATATATCAAAGCAAGCAGTTGCGATAATGAGGAACAATTTACGGTCGAGTGATGCGGAGAAAGGGAGCGACAGGCGATTGACAACTAACGATGAGCACGACCGTAAGGAGTCGGCGGGGACGAGGGCTGCCCGAGCAGCGTTAAGATGGGGATAGGGGCGGTATTTAGGGGACAATGCAAGAAGTGAGCAGAGGTTCCGCTTTGTTACTCGAAGAACCTGTTAATCCTGCTTGAAATAAGCGGATAAATGATGGCGATGATGTTGCGGCGGAGCAACAGAAGAAACGGAGGTGATGGGGTAAGGTACCTTAAGTGCTCCCCTCCCGCCATGTTGCGTCAGTGACGAACGCTGCTTAAATAACATTGCCAGGCACAACATCCACACGGGTTGGGCGAGACTACACTTGAGTTCATGTTGGTACGACTTGGCAGAACTAAGGTTTCCAGCAACCACCTGACCTTCTTCATTGATTGACTCCTACTAGCATCATGGCAGTCTAAACCATTCGGGCTCTGTAGGAGCCTAGGAGGATGAGAGACAGGGATCACACTAGCCGCCCAGTGGGGTTGGACTTCCAAGGTATGGGTGACTTGCATTGGCACTTGGCATTTAGGCACAAGCTAGGACTGCTTCTCCTGGTGATCTGAGGCTGTGTGAGACTACTATTCAGAGAATCATGCTATTGGACTGTTAGCTTGCCATCGAAGCTTGAGCGTGAACCCACCCCAGAGTCTATAACCAGTGTGCCTGGAAGATTGAGCGATACAGTGAACAACAAGTGAGATCATGCGAAGTCATCCACCTAGCTGAGTCATATATTAGGTAATAGAACGTGACTCCGGGTCGTTCAGGTCCCAAGCATAAACCGTCAGCAGGCAATCTATTAGTCTAGTCACGAGAGGGAGAATAAGAAGAGGCTGTTGGCCCATCAGACATATGGATAGGATAGTGCTACGAGTTGTAATGGAAGCTTATCATGACCAGCATTCGAGGTGGGACTGTGGGACCTCATGGCTCTACGGACAAGCATAAGACATTACCCGATGAACGACCATTCCGGTTTTTGAAGATGGAAGGAAGATGGTAGTTCATGCACTCCATTGCTCCACAGAGCTTCTGATGAGAGAGGTGTGCTTGGCTTGAAGTACTAGCCTTGGCCGAATGCGTGCTGTATGATTTAGAGAATTGCACAAGATAGGAAACCCTTGTCGCTCTTGACTATATGAGAAGATCCAGTTTGATCGTTACTAAAGGCCTCAATCTTTCGGGGAACCTTGCAACACAGCCATATAATGGTACGTTCATTGCTGTTCGACTCACGCATGGCTATAATCTAAACCGTGATGGAGAGCTCGTGATTCTATCCTTCCCTCTGTATAGACAGAACTCCAATGTGCCCGACCACTTCTCTCTTTTGATTGACATCACAATGTCGAGCATTGAGCAGTATGCTGGACGATATAGAGTAAGCTAGGTACCTCCATTGTCAAATTCACCGATGGAGATTTGGGACGCAACAAGAGACAAACAAATAGTTTATGTCGGGGTCTTTCTGTATACTGGTTAGGGTTACTGTGCCCTGACTGTCGAGTGTGTCCTCGTACTGCAGAAATCACTCGACAAGGTTAGTGAGTACTCGTACTCATACTGAGTACAGGTAACTCAATATGTACCGTAGATCAGGCCCCATGAACTCCACAATCCCAGCACTTCTCACCAAGGTAATCACCCACCTGAGACACCTGGACTCTAGGCAGCATAAGATCGGTCCAGTTCTCACGTATTCAATATACCGATTACATCCATTACATCACCCAGTGACTCCCAAAGTCAGTCACTGTGAGTCATCCATGATTGCAGTCCTGAGGCGAAACCTGGAGTGGCAGGTAGGGCTAGGGTTGAACTCAATCTCCTCCAATGGCCTTCATCTGATGCTTCTCGTGTTCCATCAGAGGGAGGTCCATGGACGGATGATTGACTTCGAAAAATTCTCGGCGGCTTACCCATAGTATCTTACCGTACGGAACTCAATAGCTCGCCCGCCGCCCCGGACGCGGACGCGACCGGGAACCGCAGTTGTCGGTTATCTCTCTTATCTTGCCTGTCCTTCCCCTTCGCCTCCCCGCTCTCCCTTCTCCCTTCTCCCCCTTGACGCTTACTCGTTCGTCCTTCTACCTATTGTCGCTGCTGCATATCCTTCCTCGGTGTCGGTCAGTCTAGCAGATATCATTGCCTAAGGCTGCGACGCTATCCGTGTGCTGAGCCTTCCGCCATCTACTCTACTTCCATCGTACCATTTTCGGCCGCTCTCGCGATCTGATTTAAACGCGTTGCGCTCGCGCGATGGCGATTCACCCCGGTTTCCCATCTGAGGCAGACCCAAGAGGCAATCTGTCGCCGCAGCAGGCCCGAGCCATCTCGATTTGGACAGAACAGGCTGCTGTCTCGCTGGAAAACTTGACCATCTCGGAGCCGGTCTCGTCCAGCGATCGAGTGGTTTCGTTATCGCAATCTACACCGACGCGGACATCTTTTCGTGGGACCACGGTATCTTTGTCGATTCCTTTGGATGACCCAGCACCGAGAACAGAAAGCGCGTCTGCGGCTCGCGTCAAGCTTCTCGGTCAACCCCCAAAGGATGCTCAACAGGTGGCGTCGGTCAGCTTCCGTCGTCGAGAACCCTTGCGACGCGACAGTCTCAAGAGGCGCGAGGCTCTCCTGAAGGGGAAGGATGGCAGCCGTCGCAGACAACGTTGGGAAAATGGTCAGTCCCCTTCAATTGCAGCTGCATGCTTGGAGGTCCCGCGCTAGACTTCATTCGCTGCCGTCAGCTAGTGGATATATCAGATTCAACTAACCGCTTCTGAAATCAGATCGTCTACTGCACAATCCCTGGGCTGAGCCGCCTTCTTCTAAGGACTGGAATATCCAGCCGACCTACACCCGACACAACCCCATGCCATACTACCTTGCGCCCTTGTGGGATTCCCATTATGCGCAATTGGACCAAAATCCGAAGCAGGCCGGCGCTGGCACGGGGAACGAGAAACACCGCGTACCGAAGGAGCTGCGCATGAAGCTCAAGCACGCACGTGGCGCTCGCGGTATGCTCCAGGACCTGGAAGAGGACATCAGACAGTTCATCCAGCGATGGAGCGAAAAGCAGCTTCTTCTCCAGAAGGAGGGGCTGACCGATGCTCCTCAGTTGTCCGATGAGGATGACTCTGAGGATGAGGTTGTGTTCGTGGGTCGTAATGGGCTGATGCATGATTCACCTCAACGGAAGGCGAAGTTGCAGCAGATGCGAGAAGCGATGAAAGCTCACAACGAGCGTGACGGCGAGAAGATGGTGTTCGAGAGCCCGGTCGATGATCGGGGTGCTGGGTTTGGGTAAGTTTGATGTCAACTGTCGGAGAATCTTGCTGAGCAAACCCTTGCTAACGTGTGTCTTGAATAGCCGCTGGCTTGTCCACTCCATTGCATCTTATTATGGGTTGCACACGTGGTCGGTCACTGTGGGTGAACCAGCGCGTCGTGAGGCTTATGTTGGCTTCCGTCCGCCGGCCCCATCCACCCGTCCCGAGTTTGCACACCAAGCGGCCGGATTCGGAAGCTGCCGCCGCGAAGCGATGATTAAGCCTGGAGATGAACTTCCGCAACCGCTGTGGGCCCAGGTTTAAGGCCTGGTGTAGATGATTTGGGGATGGAGGCCAACGAACAGATCGAGATTCTCTGGTCGGGATCAGTCTCTCTTTAGATTTATAGCGTGGGCTTGGGCTGTACGATCTAGACCTTCCGGGTGAAGCTGTAGATAGGTTGGTTTTGGGCAAAGTGTAATAACTTTTTGTAATAGTCGTGTAAGTTCAAACGATTTATTCCATTTTTCGCCATCAGCAAGCGCCACGGGACATTTGCGACTACGCCTCGCCTGATGTATACTCATTGGAGAGTTCTCGATGGTCTCAGACACCCTCGCGAGCACTTGCTTCAATATGAGACATCGAACGCACAGCGTGGAGCACATATGCCGCGATCAAAATTAGGAGCAAGACCACCCGTATCCTGAAGGAGCAGCTGTAGCAAAAGCCAAAGAAAGGCCACGCCCAAAGATCCTCCCAAGCATTCGAATTTGTCATCAACACAGGTCCTGGAATAGTCATGGACCTCCCCAACTGCTGACCGACAAAAAACAAACGGACGTCATCATCGCCATAGGACAACTGAGTATGCCGGTGTCTTTCTCTACGAAACCGAAGGTACGAGACCGAAGGAGCCTCGGTCTGAATCCCAACTCAGCTAGCTGCCTTGGGTGGTCACGCTACCCTCGATAAATGCACCCTGACCGAAGCTCCTCCTCTACGGGGTTTAAACACTGCAGGTGAGATTTTATGAGGATGCAATGCACGTTGCTCTCATTGCCCCAGCACCCCCAGTTCCACCCAGTAGTCAGTGGGAGTGGAGCATTGTAGACTGTGGGTAGACTTACAATGCAGTATCGCTCGATCGCCTGAGGGATATGCTTTCCTTCTTGACCAGACGATGACATCAGGTCACAATGCAGCGAACGGAAAGGAATTGCGATGAAGCAGACTCTTGGTTAGAGGGGAGGAGGAGAGCCGTCTGGGTGGCATGACAGCTGACAGGGTAGTAAGCTTGCTTTTTTACTTCAGCTTACATATGTACGCACTTGCAGTCTTGGGTTAGGTAGGTAGTTATTGAAAATGGTGCCGTTAGTAAAGTGAGTCCCGAAGTGGTCATAGTGGGGGAAGGTTATTTCAACCGGTTGTGTAGATGTCTGCCTATGCACTGTACTGTATGCCTATGCGTGACGTCAAGAAACCAGCACTATCCATGCTTACTTTTATCAGGTTCTTGTTCAAGAAACCAAGGGAGATGGCTAGGCACTGCTTGAATGATCTACCTAGCCTGCACCTTGGTCTCTCTTGCGCTTGTTGTCGGAGGTCGAGTTCCAGGGTTGCTGCTGGCGATGATGGCGATGATGATGATGATGATGATGCTTGGGAGAAAAAAATTATCAAGATGCTACGTAAGGATACATGATGGTTGTCGGGGGAAGCTGTACTCGGTTTCTTGCTCTTTGCGGGGCAGTGGCAGCAGGGCGGGGATGGGGGTCGAATGTGATCCAGACTCAAGTGTGATATTTGATGGAGGGTGGGCAAGGAAATACGATGGCATTGTTATAGGCCAGCTTGTACTTTGTCATATGGTGTATCCTCACGAGTAGAGGGGTTTGATGCGCGGTGCAAGGGACGCGCGCTGGCCCGATTTTTCCTTGTCGGGCTCGGGTCTCTAATGTGATGTGGTGAAACTGGGGGACTAGAGGCAACGGGGTCAAATAGTGGAGTGGTTGGACCATGAAAAGATGTCTATGTCCATTTGCTTGGGTTATTGACGTTGTTATCAGTTATATGTCATGATAGGAACAATAGGCAGATGTTTCCAATAGCAGTGGTCGGCAGCTCACTATAATGAGGGTTAAAATCAGGCCATAGTCAAAAACAAGCGAGGCAAGGGCATTGACCCTTTCCCCCTCCCCCCCATCCAGTGGGGGGGATTCCCTTCAGTCTCCCGAAACCGGGATGGCACTCGTATTTGATTTCCCATGCACGAGAACCTCGTGCAACCAAGCATCCAGCTCTATCCTCCCTGGGTTGACAAAGTCCATCATTCGATTCTGCATCTGGGGAATATTCCCCAGAAATACTCACTGTACAATGACATTGTCAACAGTGGTGCCGTTGTAGATAGTCGGGGACAGTTCGGTGCACAGGCAGTCGGTCCGATCCGGCTATTCCCCATCAGGGTTCCATGGGACCGTGGCCAACGATCGTTGGGTCATCAAGATCAGGCATCGATACGAAGTGTAGTTAGTATGGACTACCTGGCACTGGCATGCTATTATTTTACTGTTTCGTAGCTAGAGGACTCTTACTCTTCCCTTCTGCCGCAGTTTGCAATGCACATCGTTGCTTTGCTTTAAGCCCTATCGGTGTCGAGGGGTGGCCTCTAATGACCACTGGCACTCGCTCGCACCCCCACTTCCTGACGAACAGGCAGGCCCTTTTGCGTGTGGAAACGGTCAAGTAGTCGCAGATTCCCTGCAGGGACAATGAACAACCTGGGCCGGCTCAGGACTACCGTCACAGCCCGATGATTCTGTAACTCCGGAGGCGACAGCAATGGTGGCCATCCGCAATCCTCCGCGTTCGCTCATCCTACAGGCCCGGAGAATATCGTAGCCAGTACAGTGTACTGTAGCAGGTAGGCACTTGACTTGCGATCATCTTAGCCCGAGGGGGAGCAGCGCAGCCAGTAGCAAACTGATTGCCCATCAGTGAGATTCTAGAACGAGACGATCGCAGCGATCGAGCTAAGACCTCTTCCGAGAACCACGTATTGGATGAACCGAGTTGGATTGTCTTGCTTGTGAGAGAGGACGCCTTGATCCACTGCACGAGTAGTATCCGTCCCCCTCCGCCACGGCTTAGGCGTAGAAGCTGGGCTTGGAGATAAAGGCTTTGAGGCTGTAATGGGGACACATTCTTGCTGACGAGGTGAACGTGCGCGAATTCAAAAATGACCACCACCAGAACCGGGAAAGAGAAAGAAGATGGACGAGGAATCCCCTACGTAAATCGGCATAACTCCAGTTGGTTGGGAATTATAGTCCCTGCCTGCCATACCTAGGTAGGTAAATAGTTCGTTCACTTCGATGAGGCAGAATCAGAGACAAGAGCACCCGATCAAGCCACGGGAAGGGTTGTTGTTGTTGTTGTCGTTGTTGTTAATGTTGTTGTTACTCCGTAATTTGTTGTTGGTTGGTTAGTGAGTTAAGTTATTTAGTTGTTGGTGTTCATCGTCATTACGGAGTACTTCCTACTGAGCCGACGTGGCTGCTTCTCCTGCCTTTTCCTCTTCCCCGTCTTTTCCTAATCCATTCAATCATGATCCATCCATGAGCCATCCATTCAACTAACTTATCCGACAACACGCGCGCATCAGCACTGGGCACTGGGCATCTTTCCGACTCTTACCCTCTCACACGGACGGCCCTTCTCCCTCCAATCGGTTTTTCTTCATTTTTCTGCCTTCCTATTTTCTTTTTCCCTTTTTGCTTTTTCCCTTTTCCATTTTTCTTATCCAACGTGTATGCTACTCGATGAAACACTCAGTTTCGGACCTGGCGTCATCTGCTATGCTCAGTTCCATCTCCGGCCCCCCTTCCACATTTTCCTCCCCCTCCATCCCCCCCAATGCCTTCCATGCCTTTCATGCCCCCATCATCCATTCATCCACCCATCCATTCCTTTCGTACCCCTCGGATCGTCCTCCCAGACTTGTTTTGGGTTAGTTGGAGCCCGACTCGCACTGCCCGCCCTTTTCTCTTCTTTGTGACGGATGGAAACGAACTGAACCGACGGCGACTGGATCAATGGACAAATTCCCCTCTCACACCCTCTACTTTACCGCTGTGTTTATTGTCACTATTATTCCCAGGTTGGTCTCTAACCTACAATCCCAAACTTTCCCTATCAGCTTTCTACCCGCCTGTCCCTTCAGCCTGCTGTCATTACCAAATGACCACTTAGTTCTACCCTGCTTGGGATACTTGCCTGCCTCATTTCGGTCTGGTAAGCCCTGCGCAAACGAGGGTCGGGTTGACTGGACGTGCGGCTGGAAGTCAAACAATCTCGAACCACGAGATCGATTCCGGCTGTGGTGTGAGTATACATACAGACTCTGCCTCTTACCTGCGTGCTTGCCTCGCTGGTCTTTCGAGTTTTCCTTCTGCATACCCAGCAAATTCTCCCTAGACTACCCCGTGATTGGGACTTTCAGTGTCACAGCCGAGCTATAATCTGGTTCTGACTCGGGCATCGAAGCGCGACCAGCGTTGTCCGGCTGAAACAAAAAAAGATACCCAAAAGGCACTACTACTATTACTATACGCCCCGTACTCCCACCGCTACCCCCTGCACATACATTCATTCAGCAGGTTCCTTTGCTCTGTCCTTCACGACCCTATCCTAGCCGATCATCCTAATATTACTATACTAGAGTCACCATGGGTTCCTACAGTACATCCTCCTGTCAGCGAGGTCCAAAGTCCGGCGGAAGTTCAAGTTCGACCAACAGTGATGCCTCGGACCGTTCGAAAAGCACGGCCCCTACGATCTACAGCGATCGACCCACCCCTATGACGGGGGTAACGATGGCTTTTGATGGGGAGGAAGACCCCAAGGCCTCGGTTACGACCTACACGTCCACCAACCCCTCTGTGGGTGATCTTCCCGAACCGCCGCGCTACCAAGTAACCGACCGTAAATTGGACATCTTCTCCCCGGATGTCATCCCGTCAAATCCGTCCACTTTTGGACAATTGTTCCCCTCGTCACGACGGCTTCTGGTCCGACATGACGATGCGACGCTGGATGGCAACATGAACCTGCGGGTCGACACCATGGTTCCGCAACGTGGAGGGTACCAACAAGCCGTCACCTTGTTTCATCTCCGCATGTATGATCTATTTTCGCGAAAATTCTCATTCCGTCGCTACAGTCGCGATTCGGGACGAGAAGTGTGCCATTCAGAAAGGAGGCCGGTGCCTGGGTCCGACCGGCATGCAGTCTTTCGAAAGTCGTGGAGCAGCGTGTTGGCTAGCTTGCGGCCGGGGTCGAGTGGACATGGATCTGTACCCGTTGCGGAACATAGGCGCCAGGACTCAGGATACAAGTTAGCGGACGACAACGAGGAAGAGTGGGCGGACCAACAGTTAGAGACCAAGACTGCTATGGATCGCCATCAGTCCGTACTCACCGAGAGCACGTTGTTGGAGTTTTCTAACTATGCTCATGTAGAGCTGAGACGACGAGGTGCTGGGCAATCGAAGCGGTATGAGTTTGAGTATTGGTCCACAAGATACCAATGGAGACGGGAGTGCCGGAGGGAGGGCGACCTGCGGGAGTTGTCGTATCATCTGATCAACCTGCGCACCTCCAAGCCAGTCGCCCATATCGTACTCGAAATCCTCGCTCCCATGGAAGCCGTCGAGGAGGAGCGCAAGGGCGGATGGGTTCCTCCGTCCTCCATGTGGATCAGCGATCCGTCCGTGTACGAGAAGATGCCTGACGTTGCCGAGTAAGGATCCCTCCTGGTCCTCTGCCGTGTTTGAGTTTGAGGCTGACTAGTGCACAGTGTGATTGTTGCCACCGGGCTAGTGGCACTAGTCGACGACTGTATTCGTCGGAAATGGCATTCGAAAAAACATTCGCAACTCATTCATCCCGTGCGATCAACGTTGTCGAAGAGCATTGAGCTCATGGGTCCCAGGCGGTTCCTTGATGAGGTGTTCCATCGACGGGGATCCGCCTGAGCTAATGTCTAGGGCGAGTTGGACAGTGACATGACGTGGTGGTCCTTCATTCGGATACTCGCGTCGGTTTCTCCCCCTCAATGAATCTAAGGAACTCAATGAAAGAACCCTGGCCATGGCGTCCTCTTTCCTGGCCTCAAGGTCATCATCTTGCATATTGGTGGGCCGACCAGGTGCTTTTGTCAATGAAGACATGGGTGCGTTGGGCGGTAGTCGGAACCCCAGTCCGGCCTGATGTCTATCTGTCTATCTATCTAGGGTCTAATGAGGTGTAACAGGAACCGGAGGGTCATACATGCATGAATGCATGTTATATTGCTAGTGTCTGGCCTGTATGTAGAAAATCGGTTGGTTCATAGTTCTCAGCCTCGCCTGACTAGGCTGATAGCTATCTTCGACTAAGACTATTTTGGGATAATCTGAGTGTATCTAGTGGACTGACGCTTACGCGAGTCACATTTGAATGATGCATGTACCACGAACCTATGGGAAAAGAAAGAAAGTCAATTTGTGCAAGCTGTCACTCGCTTCTGAGGGGAAGTGGGGAGCATGGAACTATCATGGATGAATTTCTGCCTGACTTGTCTTCTACCCCGGTCTGGACCAAGATTAGCCGTGCAGATGAAGGAACTGTGTGGTGGAGTTGCCTGCGTCAAAACTGTTGGCTTCCCGGTGTTCCATTAAGGGAGGGGTGGAGAGGAGGAGGATTGCGCCCAAATCTATCCTATCTCTCTGTCCCTGAAGTCTCTGGTTTGTACTGTACGATGAGGTTGGAAATTTCAGAGAAGCTCTCGAGAGGAAAAAAGCTACTGAGTAGCAGCAAGATTGCCTGAGGCCGTTGCGGGGCCAGTCGAGGTTTGTTTCCATGGGTTGATTGATTGTTTTGTCGCCGGGCCTCGGAAGCGTACCAGTCTTTGTCTTTGTTTCTCTCCTTCCTTTCCCCCGTCTTCATCACTTCCTCTCCATTCTTTTCTCTCCATTTAGCGCTGGCTGGCTGGCTAGCGAGCTAGCTATCATCGTCTTACTATTTCGTTTCTCGCCTAGCCTAATGGTTCGTCGCTTTCTTGCTGGCCTATGCAGGTTCTATTCCCATTGTCATTATGGCATGCTTTCGCACAAGCCGATCTACCTGTCATGTTGCAGATTGAAAGAGACACCTACCTCTCTTTAGCTTCATGATTCTAATTCCAAAACAGCCGCATGGGCCAGACTTCAAAAAACAAAACCAAAAATCTTGAATCACAATCAGAAATGAGCTGAAGATGCGACAAGGGCCGAATGAAAGCACACGTATGAATGCCCAACTAACGCGCCAGAAAGAAAGCAACGAATCATACTGGCGTTGCTGGTGAAAATTGGTCTGGGTCTAGTAGACCCCGATGCTCTTCCCTCTTCGCTGGCATCTGGTGTCTCCTGCACAGACAAATAATTTTTCCTCGTTCCCCGGTACCTCGAGCCAGCTGGGGTTGGCCCACACTAATTCTGACTTGACTCTTGATCCTCTCTCGGCTGCAATCCCTGTCACCCGTGAAGGTTTACTTACCGCGCGATAGTCACAGCATGCGAGCAAGCCCTGGTCACCCTAGCGTCTGCAGCTTCCGGCCTTCCCCCCAGGGATGAGCTCATGCAGAGCGGCCCGGTCTGTAACCGTTTGATTCTAGGGCTGAGGGGAAGGCGACGACTGGATGAAATCAGGGCTACACTTTCGGTCCGAATTGAATGAAATCATTAAATCGTTGATGAGCTGGCAGCAGGCCCCGAGGGCCCGCTTCGAATTAGCTGAGTGGTCCAATGGAGGTTTACCTCGATCCGATATCTGGCTTCCATTCGTCCTTTTCGACCGTCCTATGGGGCTTCCCTCCGCTTTTGGGCAACTAGGCCAGGCCGACCTCCACCAGTGTATTCCTTCCAGAAGGGGCCGGGGGTCCCTGTCCTGAAGAGCTTCTATGAGGCGAAGTGGCTTGTTCATACCCGATATTCTCCCATGCCCTTGCGGAAACGGAGAGAGGAGGTTATGCGAGAAGAAAGAGCGAGCAAGCGAGTGAATGCGCAAGCGCAACAGCACCAGCATGCCCCCCCTAGCAGCGGGAGTAGAGCCGCGAGCCACGACGTCGATAGGGGTTGGTGGTCTTTCTTGCGGACTTGCTGAGTTGGCCAACAAACTGGCTGCGAACTGACATACTTGCCTTGTACAACATGCCGTCTTTGTCTCTGATTACAATTGCTGGCCAGTCGATGCATCGGGCTTGGGTGGGGGCTAGCGGCCATCCTTCCTGGTCTCTGGCGTTTCTTCAAAGGGCACACACTCTCAGTCGTCGTGCGGCGGGCCGTTCCAGCTTGCAGCCTCAGAATGATCCGCAGGTTCTCCATGCTACTTGACGTGCCTTGAGTGGAGGGTAATGGAGGGGGGGAACTTGCTGACGCCGTGCCATGTTTACCTGCCTCACATGCATAAGCCCGTCTGTTAGGTTTGATGATTAGGTGCCGTGTTTGACACGCCGAAACTGTCTTGCACAGAAACTCCCCTCTGGGGCTTTTAGGGATGGCCCACAGTTTATATGACTCCCCGCTTCCCATATCCCTCGAGGACTGTCCCGATGGTTTTTAGAAAATAATAAAAAGAAGTCCGAGACTCACTGCAAGAACCACCTGGAAGGGGCCACCGCAGAAATTTCTTATTGCTTATAATATTCGTTTGGTCTCTCCATTATCACTATCTGGTTGTTGAAGACCCCACCGTCAATTGAGTTCGTGGGTCGAATCTCCTGGCCGTTTCGTGATTGTCAAGCAGGACAAGACCCTACCTAACCCGATTGATTTAATTATCCTGTCGGTTACGCTTTGCATTTAGGCCCGACCCAACATCCAGCATTGAACCGGGACGACTGCTGGCTATTGTTAGATAGTCCGAAGAGTGACAGAGAAGAGATTGCTCCGCCTCAACGCAGTCCAGAAACCAAGCCCACTGTGGTTTGTGCCTGTCACTCCGTCCCGCCAGCAAGGGAAAAAAACCCGCCGCCAGCCATTGACTGACGAGACTCTTCACAATGTCCGGTGCACATGCTTTGTATCCGGACACTACGCCATCCCAGGGGAAAACATGGCAAGCGAGGCTGGAGGGTATGCCCCACTTTACTGTAATCCCTCAGGAGTTACGTCGATTGACTTTTGATCCGATCAACTAACCCTGGTCCCTCTGCAACCAGATCACTGCAAAGAGAGCGGTGTCCCTGGCCCGAATTTCGTGATTGTCTCCGATCGTCGAGGTAAGCAGACTGTCTTCCAGTTCGTCCTGACTACCTTCGCAGACGTGCGTTTCGGCACAGAGCGAGGACGAGCAAGAGTGGAGTCGATGTTTATGCCTACCAGCCCCTCTTCCCCCTCTTCACCGACTTTTGTCCTTCTGGCCGTTGAAAGTGGTACCAGTGACTGACAGTTCCGTCCACTTTATTGCAGGGGGTCGCACGGCCTGGTCCAGCTCAGTCACCGTCAAAGGCATGCTATTCAAGGCTCGGTTTTGGTACGATGGCAAGAACCTCGACAATGCCCGGGAAGACGCGGCCGAACTGGCCGTGAACTACTTCCAAGGGGGGAATCAAAATTCCAGGCCGGGAGGGTACCCTCGGGGGCCCGGTCGTTAGAAGAGGACTTCCTCTCGTGCGTACGGACGTACTGGAAATAGGCGTATCTCGGGACGGCTTTTGGTTTCTGTGTTCATTCTCTGTCGCTACGCCCTATACGTTCGTTGTGTTACGACGCGTCCCGGACTGAAGCGAATTCATCGAATCTCGCCAACATGTACAACACGGAAACTCGGCGGACGACAATCTCTTTTTTTCATTTCTTTCTTGTGGGAAACGAAATTGTTGGGACGGGAACAGACCATAGGGGCGGATGGCGGATCCGGACAGCAGCATACTATTCTACTTCTTTTTCTCCTTTTTGGTGGGGGAAGGACGGGGGTGGGCAAGCAGATTGCGGGAGAGAGATCTCAGCAGGAGCATTATCCTTTGTCCACGGGGTTGGGGCTGGTGACGATGACGGTGGCTGAATGGCATTGTTCTCAGGCACTGGATGAACGCATGCATCCGCCCACTTCTTTGGCTTCTTGTGTACTTTCATTTTTCTGGCTCAATGGCTCGCTTGGACGTGCTATGGGAGACTGTGGCACGATCTCTTTATTGAATTGACGACAGCACAGCTAATTCATGATGAAGATTAATGATTTTTGGAATTGTCATTCTACTTGCGGCAGGGCTTTGGTGCTTCTGGGGAGGTGTGACAACGTAGTATGGAACAGATCCAAACAGAGGGGGGGCAAGGCTACACAACCAGGATATGGACTGTATCAGCATGAAGAAAAGTAAGGATCTAAGTGATGTAATATGTTATTTGTCGAGGGAGTTTTATTCATGGATGCTCTCTTCTACCCCATCAATTGAACAATCGCCTCCAGCACCGACAAAACAACCTAACTTTTTACCTCTCCCCTGAACCCAAACCTAACCTTAAATTCGTAGAAGACAATTCAATTTCACATTTATTTTCCTATGGTGACCGACCTGCAAATGTGTGTGCGGGTGACCCAAGCCAGCCAGCCAGCCGCACTTACCCGAAAACCTGAAGATAACCACAGAACCTCGGAGAAATTTTTTTTGTTTTTTTTCTTTCTTACAGACTAAGTTACGAGTCACTAAACCCAACACACGGACCATTCCTCGTGCCTTGCCTTTCGCTCTTCGCTCTCCATAGTGGAAGACCACCCGAACCCAGTACCATGGTTCACTCCGCACATCATCAGATTTATTTTAACCACGCATCGTTAATCCCCGGCCCCAGCCCTCGTAGGCTGGGAAACTAAGTTAGTTTACTAAGTCACTTAGTTTGTGATCCTGGTCGAGATTTGAGACGGACGGTGGGGAAGATTGTAGGTTGGTCCGCGCGTCCACGTGTTCTTTTGGTGGTGGTGGGAGCCCGTGTTTAAGGGGGCTCTGGGGGTGTTTTGATTTTGTTCTCTGGGTGGTATGAGTGATTACTGGGTTGAAGATAGAAGTTTATGTGTAGGTGTAGGTTGTGGTTTGGGGAAGGGGGGGGGGGTTGGATTATTGCAATGCTATGGTGGTTGAGTGGGAAGGGGATTGGATGAGATCGTCTTGTTATCGAGGAGAGGGAGGGGGGTTCGTCATTCAGGTAGAATTGTGGTTGCATCATTGCATGGGGGATGGCAGGGATGACATAGAAGCGATGGGATTGTTTATTGTTGTATATCATGAAGGTCCTGGGCGTCCAATTGCTAGACTACATAGCAGGGGGGAAAGTTTCGGGGATTGGCTCGGTTGATGGCATGATGGTAGTTGTGCTCGGTTCGATTTGTCTTCTTGTGACTGTACAGTACATTCAGGTCAGTGGAGCATTCTATAGAGCAGAGACAATAGGCAGTCAGTCTTCAACTACAGTATAGTTAGTACTTTGTCCTCAGTGACAGCAGACAGACACCCCCCCCCCCCAATCGGGCAATACAGTACACGTGATCTCGCGGCGCGTCGCGGCCGCGTCCCGCCAACCACCATCTCCATAACTATACACTTTTTTCCTCCCTCCCAAACCTCGAACCACCACCTCATTCCTCAGCAATCAACTATCAAAAAGAAAAAAAACACAGACCATCAAAATGCCACCCTCCGCCGAATCTGCCCCGACCCCTCAACCCGCCCTCACCCCCCCGTCCACCACCACCACCCCTCTCCCCCCTTCTCCCCTCAACCCACCGCACGACCCCTCCCACGAAGAACACCAATACCTCAATCTCATCCGCACGATCCTCTCCCAAGGCGAAAACCGGCCCGACCGGACAGGCACAGGCACGCGCTCGATCTTCGCGCCGCCCCAGATGCGCTTCAGCCTGCACAAACCCAACCCATCCGCCTCCACCCCGGGACAAGAAGAATACACATACACCCCGATTCTGCCCCTCCTAACCACCAAACGAGTCTTCCTGCGCGCCGTCCTCGCCGAACTCCTCTGGTTCATCTCCGGCTGCACCTCCTCCCAGCCCCTCTCGCAAGCGGGCATCAAGATCTGGGACGGCAACGGCAGCCGCGCCTTCCTCGACAGCGTGGGGCTCACCCACCGCGCCGAAGGCGATTTGGGCCCCGTGTACGGCTTCCAATGGCGGCACTTCGGGGCGCCCTACATCGACGCCACCACCGACTACACGGGCCAGGGCGTCGACCAGCTAGCGGAGGTGGTGCGCAAGCTGCGGGAGACGCCGTTCGACCGCCGGATCATCATGAGCGCGTGGAACCCGGCCGACATCCCCAAGATGGCGCTGCCGCCGTGTCACATGTTCGCGCAGTTCTACGTGAGCTACCCGGGGGGGATCACGGAGGACGGCAAGGGGAAGGGCAAGGGCCATCTGCATTGTTTGTTGTATCAGCGGTCGGCGGATATGGGGCTGGGCGTGCCGTTCAATATCGCGAGTTATGCGCTCTTGACGCATATGTTGGCGTTTGCGGTGGATCTTGTGCCGGGCAGTTTGACGCATACGTTGGGGGATGCGCACGTGTATTTGGATCATGTGGAGGCGTTAGAGGAGCAGGTGACAAGGGAGCCGACGGCGTTTCCGGAGGTGAGGATCTTGCGGGGGGATCGGGGGAGTGGGGTCGTGGATGGGTGGAGGGAGGAGGAGTTTGAGGTGCTGGGGTACCGGCCGCATAAGGCGATTAAGATGAAGATGAGTGTTTAGTGCTGTTCTTGGGTTCAGGTGCAGTGCAGCTGTTACTGTATAGACTGAATGCCTTAATATGATAGATATGCATGTATGTATGTTGATGAAAAGCAGGAAGCAAGCAAGTGGTATATCGGTCCTTATGTACTCAGCATGCTAAATCCCATGCTAAATCCCATGCTAGATGCGATGCGATGCGACGCGATGCGATGCCCAACTCCAACTCTAACACCAACGCAAATATCCAAACCCATGAAACAAAACCCCCAAAATCACAGCTACACCCCCCCTCCATACCTCCATTAAACCGAGACACCTAAACTAAAGAATAACCCCCGCCCCCCGCAACAACACCAACGTATCCCCAGCGACCACCTTCTCGCCCAACGTATCGCCAAACTCCAAAAACACCCCGCCATCCACATGGAACACGCGCAGCCGCTCCTCCTCCCCAGCCACCCGGTTATTAACATTCTCCACCCCGAGCCTCCGCGCCGCATCGTCCAGCACCCGCCCGACCTTCCACTTCCCATCGAACCAAAACGCCCCTGCTGCCCCTGCGGCCCCTGCGGCCCCTGCAGCCCCCGCAGCCGCAGCAGCAGCAGACTTAGTAGGCGAAGCCGCCGCCTCAACAGAAAGATACACCCTCCGCTCAGCAGGCACAGCCGCATCCCCTTTCGCCGTCCGCTTGAGCGCGTTCACCGCCATCGCCCGATTGACCGGCTTTTTCTTGGTAGTCGTAGTCGTAGCCGTAGCGGTAGCCCCCTTATCCTTATCCTTATCCTTCGGCCCTAGACTCCTCCCTGCATTCCCCCCGCTACTCCCAGAAGAAAGCGAGGTAAAACTCCCCCGCACTCTCGCGAACATCGACTTCAGCGTATCTTGCCCAGTCTTACCACCACCACCACCACCACCAGGAACGAAAGGTTGACAAGCATGCCCCTCCCGCAACCGATGCTTGAGACAATACTCCCTCCGACATTCGGGACACCGCACGCCCGGTTCAGAGAGGGTGTGGATGAGGGTTTTGCAGGACAGGTGGCTGCATTGCGCTGTGTTGTGGATATTCGGTTTGGTTGAGGGGGTCGAGGATGGGGTTGATGCTGGGGTTGAGGATGGGTTTGTGGTGGTGCTGGTGCTGCTGGTGCTGCTGCGGGCCCAGTCCCCCGCGCGAGGGCACTGGTGGGCGGATTCGGTGCGGTGGTCGAGGCAGAACACGCCCTTGCAGGAGGCGCAGCGGAAGGGGAGGAAGTCGAGTTGGTGGCAGTATTCTAGGTCGCAGTGGTGGCCGATGCTGTCGAGGTCGGTTTCGGGGGGTTCTTCGTTCGGTGTGTTGCCACTGCCGTTCGTGTGGAGGGGGAGGGTGGACATTCTTTCTTTCTTGGGGGGGTTTCCTTAGGGGGTCTTTGGTTGCAATCTTTGTTTGGGGATGGGGTGTGAGGGAGGGGTATTATAATGAGTGAGTAGTATGAAGGTTCAATTTAAATGAGAGATGTTTAAAAGAAGGTGGATGGGTAGCTGAGAAATGAAATGCAATATCACTGAGTCAAGTCTAGTGGACGATGGTTATTAATGATCTTCTGGCGGGTGCTGGAAGATGCAGAGGGACAGTCCCTGACTCAGCGTGGCGGTGCAGCAACGCGATTATCTGATGGCGGAGATTAAGACGGAGATAATACTAGCAACAAGAAAAAAAAGGCTAAGGTCAAGGGGTATGGGTATATCACACACGTCAAAACAATTTACGCAGTCAGGCAAATCTCAGCATATGCCCAGTCAAACACTTAAATCATCCGTCCTCCGCTTGCTGTCCTCCCTTTGCCTCTTTCTCCACCCCAGTGCTACCCGCCGGTGCAAACCGTATCGGCCCCCGGGACATCAACACAGGCAACCCATTCCCCATCGGCTCGGACGCTGGTGGTAGATACAGCCTCGACTGCGGCTGCCCCGGAGTCAGAGGCGGTGACATCAGCACGGCGGATTCGTCGGAATGCTTCCAACTCCCTCCTTGTGCAAAGCCCGTTCCTGAGACCGGCGACGAGACCCCCGACAATGGGGACATGACTGAAGCAGGGGCTTTAGCCTCCTGTCCGGTCTGCTGCTGCTGCTGCTGCTGCTGTGGTTTGATCTCGTGCCCGGTCAGCTGCGGCTTGACTTCCTCCCTAATCAGTTGCGGCTTGGCCTCCGCCTCACCCAGATGTCTATCCGCCTCACTCCCCACACCTCCATCCCGACTGGCCACCTTGGCCGCAGACGCAGCAGAGCTCTTCCCTCCCACTCGCTTCGGCGATCGAGGGGGCTTGGCCGTCTTCGAAGCGACCTTGGCACCATTCGCACGCCTCCGTTCCTCCGCGGCCCGCCGCTCGCGAGCGGCATTCTCTTCCGGGGACGGAACCTTCAATTTGATATGCAGCTTGCGCACCCCGGCAGCCAGATTGTCGACATCATCGTTGAAGCTCTTGTTCTCCGTGGTCCTGTTCGCATCCTTGCGCTCCTTGTTCTCCGGACTAGGCTGAAACTCCGGCGGCACTCGAGGCACAGGAGGCGCAGCATACGCACCCTCACGTTGAGGCGTGCTGGATCGAGAGCCACTAGCCTTCATCGCACCAGTGGCAGCTACCACCGCAGCCTTGGACAGCTCTCGCGCATTGGAAGAATCGCTGCCGACCGATTCGGCCACCGCACTCTTCCTCCGCGCGGTCCGTACCACAGGCGACGTCTGCTGCCCCCGCTCCGGAGGGGCATCGATGGTCGTCCTGCGCGTGCTGCGCGCTGCCGGCCGTTTCGGCGTTTCAGCCTGGGGGCTGGGCGGCAACGAGGGCTTGGGCTTGCGCACTCGCAGTTTCATCCGGTTGTCCTCCGGCGGTGCAGGAGGTGCACTATTGGCGCTGGGGGTCGCGCTGCGAGCCGCCGCCGTCCCCGCCTGCCGCTCCCGGCGCAAGCGCGATGCCTCTGCGTTCAGCTCCTCCGGCCGACAGCTGGTCGTCTGCCGATACGTCGGGATCAGCACCCTAAAAAGCTCGTGGGTGGAGGTCGCCCAGCCGACCGGCGGCAAGGGCGGGCGCGCCTCGGGCTCGACACTGTAATAAGAGCCTATCGACCGGCGATCGCGCGAGGGATTCACCACCTTGGCGGTAAAGGACTGGGTGGGTTGGAAATAGGTCGGCGCCGCTTTCTCCCGGGGTTTGGCGGGCGCCAACGGCGGGTACACCAGCGCTTCCAGTTCCTCCAGCATCTCCGGCGACCACCACTCGTTGTCGTAACCAGGTTGAAGTGACACCACATCCACCGGCAGGGTGTCAGACAGGCCCAGACGATCGGTCATCTCAGATGCCAAGCGATCGATCTGTTGGTCCTCGTCGGTCTCCCTGGTCTCGCTCAGCCCCGCCAGATGGCTGAGCACGCCACTGGTCAGCGCGCGATTGCTGTAGCCGCCCTCCAGGACACTGATGACGCGCCCGTCCGTCCCCAGGCCTTCTTCGTTAGCCAGCCGCACCACATCGGCCGTGAATCTGGCGTAGAACTCGGTCGGAACGTTCACCTGATGCCGCTGCATGCCGGCCCCCTCCCACTCGCTGGCGTCAAACCCCGCCGAGAGGAAAATGGCCGCCTTGGGCGGGGGCCCATTCGCCGCGCTGGCCAGTCGCTGCGTATGTAGTCGTAGGAACGCGCGCGCTTTCTCCAACAAGATGCTATACTTGGTCGTGTACAAGTCCCAGAATTCCTGGTTGGTCTTCCACGGCTCCAGATGAACATTCCAGATCGATTGGCCGTGGGCCTTGTCGATGCACACACTCGCATTGCGCACCTTGTCCGCGTCGCCCGTCTCACAGGGATACGAGTTGATGTCATGCAGACTGAAGTATCCCACCATGGTTTTCTTGTGCGCCGCCGCGTTCCGGGCGGCGGTGCCGGCTTTCTGGTTCTGGTCCCAGGCGATCTCCTGCGAGCCATCCCCGTGATGGAGATCGAAGTCCAGGATCGCGGCGTGGGTCAAACCATGGGCCATCGCCGCATGCGCGATGCCCACGTGTACATTGTTGATCCAACAGAACCCCGACGGGTGGTCCGAGGAGCAGTGGTGGCCTGGCGGGCGGATGCAGACAAAAGCTCGCTTGGTCGGGCTCGTCCCAAGGACCGCATCGACCGCCTCTGTCACGCCTCCCAGGGCGCCTTCGAATGCCGCCAGCGACTCCGCGCAGAGATAGAGGTCCCCTTCATGAAGGGCGGGCGCGTTGTTGGCGGCAGTAGTAGCAGCAGCGGCACCGTCCTTGCCCGCACTGCGGGGCCGAACCAGCTCCTTGCCGTTCAGGGCCAGTCGCGACTCCGCCGCATCGCACATGCTCCTCAAATCCTCCATCCACTGCGACCCGTGCACATGGGCCACGGCGGGCGACTGCAGCGACAGGGTGCGCGCGGTCCGGCGGATCTGGAAGGGCGGCACGGGCAGCTGGCGCGGATCCAGTTCGGGGTGCGGCGCGTGTCGACCCCCGGCATGCCGGCGCGCCAGGTGCACGTACGCGGCCGCGATGCCCAGCACGGTGGCTTGGATGCGCTCCGGGCGTTCGACGATGGAATTCAGGGCGGCGCGGGAGGTGCGGGGGCGCGCGAAGCGATGGCCGTAGCACGCATCATGTAGCAGCACCAGGGTGGAGGCTTGGAAGTCGGTGGACTGATGCCAATTCATCTCCTTCTGCAGGAAATCGGCTGCGATCGACGCCGCCGTGGGTAGGGAGCGCTCCGGCGCGGTGGCCGCGGGCATGCTGCTGGCTGCGGCGGCGGCGGCGGTCGGCGGAGATGACCCCAAGGGCGAGGAGGAGGAGCGTCGCGACGCGGTGGTCGGACGCGGAGAGGCTGAGGTGCCTCGGTTGGAGTGCAGCGACGCGGTCGATAAGCGCTTCTTCAAGCTCCGGTTGGACTTGCGGCGATCGTCCGCCAGGGAACCAGAGCTGGGGATGCGCCGAGGGGGCGGGTGCGAACACGCGGGGGGATCGGGGGGCGATAAGCGCGTCGATACACGATCGGGAGGAGATGGTGGATGCGGAGTAGCGATGATGGAGGGATCGGTTGGGGGAGTAGCAGTATAATAAGAGGATCCAGGATAAGTAGGGCTTGATGTGTTTATCGCAGTTGTTGTTGTGGTGGTGTTGGTGTTATCGGACACAGTCGCAGTGAATGACGCAGGCTCCGCATTGCGTTGTGAGGGGTCCATGACGGGCCCATTGGATGAAGTATAACACAAAGACAGAAGACGACAATCAGAATAGGTGCCCAGTGTCTGACGGGGTTGTGAGATAGAGGAAGTTTATAAGAGCGACGATAAACGAGCAGGTTAAGACCAGAGAAAGGGAGGCGTTGCTGTTGAAAGGGAGAAAGCGAAACAGGGAGAGGGAGAGGGAGGAGGAATGAAGGTGGTTTGTTGTTGTGCTGTACCTTTGGGTTTGGTACGTTTGGATCTTCCCCTCAGGGGTTTAAGTCTTGTGTGCACTGCAAGTAGAATCCATAATCCATAGTACATTCCACCCCATCAATCCACAATTTCTATGCTTCTAATAGGAAGTTGACAGCTGACTTCTCTCTCGTTTCCTCCCAAACACGCATTGATCAACGAAAAATTGATTGTATTGTTGTCGGTCTTTAAAAGTTTCTTTTCATTGTTTATTGGTCTTGTGCAGCCCAGCCCAGCCCATAGACGATGAGGGGAATCTCTTGATGCAGTGTGTTAATCACCAGTCCCTCCCAAATGATATACTCCAGGGTAACATGCATAACTTCACACTTATCAACCAAGCGTTGCTTGGAAATGAAGGGTAAAAAAAACAAAAGCCAGATAACGCCCTGAACCCTCTTTCCCTGGTGTATTCCACCAGGTTCACCAAACGCCTGTTAACCCCAACCCATACTCGAGACCCTGTAACCCAAAACCGGGCAGCCGCAGCGCCTTGCCAGCAAAGCAAAGAAAGAAAATATCAAAACAGCCACCAACACCGATACATAACAAAGGAAAAGCAATTGCAGCAACAGAGGTTCAAAACACAGGAAAAAACAGTAGTAAACGAGAGACATTCTTCTTGACTCAATATCCCTCTAGATCGTGCGCGATCGGAAGTGGAAATGGTACCACTTGCGCCGGCGGGGCTCCAGCGAGCTCTTCTCGCTGCTGGAGCCGCCGCTGGAGGAGCCGTCGGAGCTGCCGGTGGAGCTCGTGGAGGCACTCATCATCGACAGGCGCTTGCGCTCCTGCTTGCGCTCGTGCTTGCGGCACTTGCGCTCCGACTTGAAGCCGCGCGTGGCGTGCAGGTGGCAGAAGCATTGCATGTGGACCGTCTTGATGTCGAGGCTGGGGCAGCTGTCGCGGCTGCGCTCGGTGCAGTAGTGTTCGCCGGCGGCCTCCTCGCAGTGGCACCAGGAGTAGATGGTGAAGTATTGTTGGCACATTTTGTTATGTGATGTGATGTGTGTGGTTGTAGTGGGTGTATGTGGAAAGTTATAGTTCGGCGGTGAGAGGTAGTTATAGGTAGGGCTCGTCTGTTTAGCCGGAGAAAGCCTGATAGTAGACAAACACCAACCCAGGTTTGCTCGCGGAGGATCGACACCAAGGTTAAATATGTCAATCAAAGAAGAAATGGGCCCAATACAGACACCCAAAAGATAAAAGCCGAGACGTTCTCCGGTAAGTGCCCAAATCGAGGGTGAATAATGAGTAATCGAGTCAGGCAGTCGGTGTGGACAGCCCTGAGAGGGGGAGGGGGAAAAAAGGTCGCACTGGGCGTTCTTCGTTCTTCCCGCGGCCTTCCGGGCGTTTCTCGGAAGGGAAAGTAAGATAAAGTGACAGTTTTGCAGTGGAGGCGGAAGTGGATATTCCGTCCAATTTGTCGGAATCAAAAGTTTTTTTTTCCAAAGAAGAGAGAGGAGGGAGAGTCTATTCGTTGAATCTTTTCCCGTGTTCTGTGGTTTGGGAGGGTCACTCTCGGATAGACGGCCGTGAGATTCGTATAGGTGGTTGACGAGGTGCTGAGTAGTATTGGTAATAGTGTGGGAGTGACACCCAGCAAGACGAACTATATCGAGGATCTATACTTCCCCCAGTCACCAGGACGAGTTGATGTGTGAAGACTGAGATAGAAGATAAGACCACGAGGGGAGGAGGGGGAGGGGGAGGGGGATGAGAGGGGGGAAGGTTCGGTATATTATATTGTCTGTCAATCGTCTTGTTCTAAAGAGGAAGAGAAAAGGAGTTCTAGCCAGAAGGGGGAGAGAGAGATGGAAAAGAGAGAGGATTATTATGTAGTAAAATTAGATCTCGAGTCAAGCCGGTCAGCGATTCGCAATGAAGCACGTCCCCCAATGGATCTTTTATTTCCTACTGAAAGAGATCGACCCGATGAAAAGGATGACTGCATGAATGAATGGATCATGACATGGGGGGATGGAAATGTGGAGGGGCAATGGTAATCCTCAACATCATATCATGGGTCATCAACATCATCATCATCGGGTTGACTGCTCAGCTGTTCTGCAGCACTTAATGGATTGATTTGCTTTTGACGTCAGGCCCGAAGCGCTGCGGTGGAGTTACGGCGTTTATTTCCCCTCAGCAGCAGCAGCAGCAGCAGCAGTCATTATGCCAACAGCCACTCACCCACGAGGTACATCTGAACCTCCGGCATACGACGGAAGAAAAAGTTAAAAAAAATAATTGACAAAAAAGAAAGCCCCAAAGAAGCCATCAAGTTCATCGTTAGGTCGCATCATCCGGGGGAAGAGTGTGTAATCGACCCTTTTGGGGAGGGGGGAAAACCACTGGAACTCCTTTTTTCCGTTCCCTCGGGACAGAACAGGTACAGTAACTACATAGTAAGGGTCAAAGTAGGCGACAAAAGCCGCAAATGCCACCCCGAGTCTTGGCCGTGTGTCTGGACCGTCTGGATCTTCGATTCTTTCTAATCAATAGGGAAGAAGTGAAGAAAGTCGATCGGAACCACGGGGTAGTACAGTTCAATGAAGCTGAATCTCAACAGAAAAGAAAGCTAGCTGCTGTGAAGCGGAGGAAGTGAACATAAACATAAATTATTTAAGATCTCATGTCAACTTAATTGAACATTCCTGACAGTGGAAACCAGCATAAAATATCCGGTATCGGACCGAGCCAGGGGGGGCAAGGGGGATGAATGAGTTAAGTAACAAAATGAAGCGAATTATGCATCAGGGGGGGGAAGTGGTTCTTTCCGCCCCCTCCCCCCGGAGCAGATCATTAAATTATCCATCCCTACTCCTCTGTACTTTCCCTCATAACGACGCGGTCTCCGGTCTCAACGGAGTTACATTGACAGGACGGAGTAGTGGTACTGTGACTAACCATGTAGTAGCCTAGCTAACTAACTACTTACTACTCAAGAGAAAAGAGCCGACCCGACTTTTTATAGTAAATTACTTTCCCCCTGGTCTAAGCGTGCATGCCATATGGGATTTTGATTAAACCCCCTCCATTGTCAAACAGTAGTTCGACGGGAAGTTTCTCTAGCTTCTTTCTCGTGACAGCCACGAGGGTTGGAGAGACTAGTAGACAAGTAGACTATTGATTGATTAATTTTGATTAGGTGGGATTTGACAACAGCCGAACCGTGAACGACCTTCACTCAGTAAGACAAGCCCCATCAACCATCGGGAATAGTTGCCTATGGAAATGAAATTGGACTGGAGCTCGAATGGAGAAAAAAAAAATTCAAACTAGATTAACAAAGGACTAGGAAATAAACGGGGAGACCTAGCCTGGTGGGAACAATATAGTCTTAGACAGTTAGACTATTTATCCGCTAGACTTAGAGAGGGGGGCGCAATTGTGACAAGTTGAGGATAAGTTATGGGCCCCGAACGGAGGTCGAAGCCCGAGCGGGTTTTGGCTGTGCTTCTAGTGCGATCGGAAGAAAGCAGGAGAAGATGGACTGACTGACTGACTGACTGACTCGCTTTTCACCACTCACTCAACTCCATCCAACTCAGCTCAGCACACCTCATTCACACTTGAGCAAGAGGAACCAACAAAAGGTTCTGGATCGTCTCTCACGTCATGACATCAGCGGATTTTCTGGGGGAAAGGGCCTCTTGCTACAGTGACCAAACCACATCATCACATTGCATCCATTGTGACAGTACATCCAATGCCAGTCAACAGCATCATTCATGCATTTTTTGCCTCTTGGGGCAAATAATGCATGGATGATGACGATGAACGGGTGATCGGGCATGACGAAAGCGGTCTTCCAATTCAACCCCCGTTTGTCTCCTTTAGGACCGGGTGGAGACCACACCCGCCTAATCAGGAATCTGTCGGAGCCGATCTCCCGGTATCACGTGTAAGCTTGGACCCGAGCGGGCTTAGTCTGCTCCAATGATCGGCGTGCAGTGCAGCTGACTCAGCTGAGTTGATGGTCGGGTCGATCAGTCGGTGACCTAATTGGATGATCCCTTCACGAACTGTGGACGGTAACCCCTCTTTTCTTCGACTCAGTCCCTCGTCTGTAGCCCCAGAACAGCCTTACCTCGACACCTCGACAGACACTGCATCATCGATCAGATAACATCATCGTCTGTCGACATCATATCTGACTATCCTGAAGATAGAGTTTGGGAGGCGTCTCGACCTGATCAGGCTCAGTAACCGTGGACAGGGTCAACACGTATGAGTACCTAGTACGATTCACAGGGCACATGAAAAAAACAAACAAAAATAAACAAAAAAAAAGTACAATAGGCATCAGCGTCATACCCGACCAACTCCACTATGCGATTTACACAGACCATCACAGCAACGCGCGTACACTTGCCCACATTACCCATCCGCTAACATCAGAAACGAAATTACTGCCCACATGCAAAAAGGTATATACGGTAGGTGGTCAAAAGGTCGGAACAAGTAAAATACATAAGTGCCTGCGGCCATCATGGATATGCCCGCGCCACCATCCCGGAGTGAGGAAAGACAACGGATAAGAAGTAAAAGGGGAATAAGTAAATTAGTTTTGATGAGGAGGAGTAATGAACCGAACCCGGTCTTCCGATGCTCTCTCTCCCTACAATACTCCTTGTGACAGCCGTTGCTCCATCTGCTTGGCCAGTGCTTGCGGCACGGCTTCTTGCGTGGCTCGGATAGTGACTCGGTACATCTGTAATTGGTCAGTTGGTCATCGATCTTTTCTCGAAGCAAAATCTAAATCTTACCTTCCGCTCATAGTTGGGCTCCAGTCGCAGAAGACAGCCCGTCTTCCCGTTGACGAATTGATAAACAGCGCAACCCACAATGTTCTTCCCGTTTGGATCGACGTTGTCCAGGATCTTCCAGCCAAATCCTTCCACCACCCGCCGAGTGAACGCTTCGCTAACATCCTTGGCCCGCGCCGTCACTGCAAAGGTATTCTGCGCCTCCAGCGGTCCTCCGCCAATCTGCCGCCACCGTTTGAAAAAGTCTTCGGCTGACAGCGCCGATGGCTCCATAAACCGATGCATCAGGATCGGCAGCTGCAGCGTGTAAGCTTGGAGTGCGCCAGCAAGGTACGAGATGCGGATCGTGGGCGCATCCGTGAATGGCCCGTGCGATTCCACCAGCAGCGTTTGCTGCGTTTGCCCCGCCGCCGGCACAGACGGCTCGGGCAGACTTTTCGTGTCAAGCTTCAGATTCGGGGCAGCGCGGTTGTCCAGCGTGGTCGTGAGTGACCCGACCGGGTACGAGGACTTGTTGGAAAGGTAGATCTTCACCACTCCCATATGACCCCGGTATTCCGATCGCAGGCCGACCTGGATCTGCGCATCCTCAAAGAGAACGCCTTCGTCGGTGAAGTATAGTTTGTTGTAGCCAACATCCCAGTCGGGCGTCAGATGGGCCGCGCTGGCCATGTTAGGAGCAGCAGAGGCGCTGAGATCCAGCCCGGTTAAGTCGCCAGACGCACTGGGCCCTGCAGCTGATCCGTTCGTTCCCGTCTTGGTGCCGTTGACGATCGTGGTGAAACTGCGCTTCAGTCCCGTGTTTTGCGCCATCAGCACCTCCTTCTGGTCCGCATTGGCATCCTTGCCGCCCACCACCCATGTCTTCTTCTCCGTCGTGCCCGCGGTTTTCTGGTGGAGACGGGAGAGCAGGATCGAGGCGCGTTCGGAGAAGGGGGGCATCTCATCGCAGACCGTCCGGAGCAGATCGTCCGTGGGAAGCGTCGCCAGCGATAGATACTCAAAAGCACGCTGCTGTAATTCCGAGTCGGGAGAATGGCTGTACAGGCGGAAAATGTGCAGGAGTTGGGGTTTGATTTCGGGGAAGAGGTTGACAAACTTGATGAATGATGACAGAATCATGGCCCGCGTGTTGTCAGTGCTGGTGATCATCTTCGCCTGCAGTGCCAAAAACTGCTCGATCGGGCTCGAACCCTGACTGTCCGCAATCAGGTGGCCGAATTCCCCCAAAACATAACAGCCGATCTTCACCAAGCTCTCGTGGCAGTCGGTCTTCAGATATCCAAGGAGGTTGTGTGCCGCATAAGCCTGCAGTTCTTCGTTGTTGGTCACGATCTGAATCACTCGCTGCCATACCTCCTCGTTGACGTGGTCACCAGCCAACGACAGCAGCTTGAGTGTCATGTCGATGTACCACTGGGCATCCGTGGCATATTTCTCCGTGAGAATGGCTACCTTCAAGACCATTTCCTCTCGGATCGCATAGTCGGCCGTCTGGAGATAGCGTAACAGCTCGTTCACGATTGGGCCAGCATTGGTCGTGTCGCACATACTGTAGACTAGATCCAGACCCTTCCGCCGAACACTGATGTCGCGATCTCGCAAGGAGCCAAGAATGATACTCTGGTGCTTCTTGATGGGATCGAGGGTCTCCGCCCGAGCAGCGAAGTGCGTCAATGCTTCCAACCCCAGATAGCGGACGTTTGTCTCACGAGATTGGATGTACTTCCCTAACCGAGCAGAGATCTGTAGCATCAGGCTATGTTCGGTGTCCAGGTGTATAAGAAGGTTGATGGCTTCGAAGAGGACCGCATTCTGGGCGTTATTTTGCTGAACGTTCTTGGGCGCATCCATAGCGGAATTCATGATCTGCTGCAGAGATTCACGAATGATCTCACGGACATGGGTGTCGCCTGGAGTTCGGTTAGCATGAAGGGACCACGCAGCGGATCGTTGGGATGATCACATACCTGAGGGAGGGTAGTACTGCAGCAAGCGCAGCAGCTTCACTTGGATCCACGGACATGGCACACGATAGTAGAGATAGTCGGGCGCAATATCATTGTCGACCACAATCCTTTTCAGTCTGAAAGCAGCCTTGACATAACACCCTGCGTATTCCTCCGGCTTGTCCTGAGCCAGTGCCATGACCAGCGATGTCACCGACAAAGTGACACCCATGTCGGGATCATCCATGATGGAGATTATACGTTCCGCCCACTCGGCCTGTACAATGCCCGGGTACTTGCGATACAATCGGAGAAGGGTAAGGGCGGCCTTCTTCTTCACGAAGGCTTTGGAGGTCCTAGTCACGAGAGTCAGCAACTCCGACCTGAAAATCACCAAGAATCCCTTTCTTCGGAACCGTCAAGCAGTCAACTTACGGCGAAATCAGTAACCGGTGCACATCCGTCGAGAGCGCCTCGCCCATCTCCCGTCCACCGACGTTGGCCACCGCATGGAGCGCCAGACAGTTGTTCAGCTCATTGTGGTCCAGCAGATCCTTCCGAATACTGTTGACCACCAGGTGCAGGAGTTCATGCTGCTCGTGCAGGAACAGAGTCACAGCCAGATAGCCAATCTGCTTCTCGGAGTATTTGGTGGAGGAGATGAGGTTGACGGCCTCCAGGTGGCCGAAGTCGACGTCGTAGCCCTGGATGTAGACGTAGAGCAGCTTGCAGACGTATTTCTTCTTCTGGTACCCATTCAAGCTGCCTCCCTTGAACTTCTGGCGGATGTTGGCCAGCTCTTTGTTTACCCGCTTCTCTTCCAGCTCGCGCGCTCGTGCGTTTCGCAGGTCGGCGATGAACTGGACCAAACCCCGCATGGACGACATGGTGGGCGACAGAGCACGGGGCGAGTATTATTAGGAATAAGTGATTATAATGAGCGATGAGTGTGGATTAGATGTGCGAAGGTTAGTTAACAATGCTGGCTTGACTGCAAGAAGAAGACGAAGAAGAAGGAAGAATGAGACCAGTCGCTTCGTCGGTCAGTCTCTCTCGGACTCGGGTCGAACGGAGTGGGCGGATTCACTGCGTCCGTTGCACGCAGTCGCCGCTGCGTGAGGGAACAATGCGGGGAGGTTCGTCGGTGTGATTTGTGATTCTCCACTCAGTATCTTCGGAGCGCATGGAACATGGCGTGGAATGCCGGTGTGGAGAGCGAGCGGAGATCTGAAGGAGGAGACGAGGAGGAGGGGGGCCGTAATCTGATGCGCACCAGGGGGTTTGACAGTCGAGTCGCAAACTGGCCGAAGGAATGGAATGATCGGGAGATAAGTAGAAACAGTAGATAGTCGTAGCAATTGGAGACACAATTGAATCGAGATCCTCTCGCTGGCTTGAAAGGAATGGTAGAAGAGAGAGGAGGGGAGAGAAGGTGAAGTTGCCAATCGGGGATCTTGCAGCAGCAGTAGCAGCAACAGCAAGCAGCAGCAATGAGAGAGACCCTCGTCAGGAGGGAACCAAGCCGGGCCTCAGCCACTTCCGCGGCCGATCCGGCTGCGGAAAGCTGGAGGAATATTAATGCGCTGTGGCGGTGCATGCAGGGATCTTATCATCAAGTGGTGATGTTAGCCAATGCTTCTAGAATTCTAGAAACATGATGGAGCCGCCTCATCTCACATAATTCAAATTCTGACACCCAGCATAGCCTATGAGACACCCAAATTGACTCTGCTGTATCACCATATAAGAAGAATCCCCCTCCCCCTCCCAGTCCACCCCACCTCCCGGTCCTACAGGAAGGCACTGCTGTACCGTAGGACCTATCTACTTGATGCACGAACCGTTGTGACTAGTGATTTCGGATGCAACCTTATCGGATCCCAGGGTCTGCATCCCGGCGGGGACAAGGGAGATTTTCACACCCAGACGGGCAGCCCCCCTCCCTTCCTCGACATGTGTGCCCGTGTTCCCCCTGCCACTACGTACTCATGGTCCGTGTGGTTCATACTTATACTCAACTCGGTTGCTCGTCTTATCCTCATTAGTCGACTAGACCCTCCGAAGGACGATTCCCCTATACTTGCTGAGAGTCGAGATCCAGCATGAAGCGAACCAATCTCTACGCAACTCAGAAAAAAAAAAAAACGAAATTTCAACTAGTAATGTTTCACAGGACTCTAGCCCGTTAATACCATTGTAACACAATCTCATCCTTGAGAAAAGTACCCCATGCTACTACTGTCACTACCACCTTTCATAATATCGAAAAAAAAGCCCCCCGATCAAACTCCAGAATGAAAACTCCAGATCCCCGAACCGTGCCATGCTATGATGAAAAAAAGAAAAGCCCACCGAAGGAAGAAAAAGGCAAACTTGAAAGATTGACTCAATCAGAGGGTCAAAAGATCAAGCGCGGGTGGTGAAGTCAATCTCGTTGCTCTCAGCGGCAGCGTCCACAGCAGCGGCCTTTTCACAGGTGCAAGAAGCTGAGAACCAAAGTTAGCTGGTGTTTCTGTAACCGCTTCTAGGTTGGCTCTGGACTTACTGGAAGATCTCTGTCCACAGGGGCAAGCATCGCCCGAAACGGGGGTGTTCTCGCTGGGAGCACGCTCACAGGTGCATTGGCCGGCAGGGCGGGCTCCTGAGGTTATGGGGTTAGCTTCAGAAGAAAAGATACAGACTGTTGGGGGGGCAGAACATACTGCAAGAGCAGCGAGGCCCAGAGACGGTGTTCTCGGACGAGGCCTTGTTGCAGGTGCAGTGGAGGGCGTTCTCCTTGCCGCAGGAGCACTTGGCCTGAGCGGCGCAGACGCAGCTACCGTCGCCGGAGGTCTTGCAGCAGGTGGAAGCAGGGTTGACCATTTTGACTGTTGGTGGTGGGAGTTGAGGGTCGAGAAGACAAAAAATGGGTTTCCGAGTGAGAGTGGTAGAGAAGGGAGGATGAACCAATGACGTCACGGGTAGGTGTCGGTTGGATTGATTTGAGGTTTGATGCACGAAGATGCGATCGCAGTGTTCCGAGACGAAGTAATCGTTGAGTGAAAGACTGGTAGCTTGAGTATTTGAGTATTTGAAGCTCTTGATGATGATGGTTGAATAATTCGTTGCAGGGAATTAACAGTATTTATATTCAACGTCGTTCAACTTTGTAGATTCCATGATTGGCAATCCGCGGCGGCTGATTGGTTGACTGACAAGAGCCTCCGTGAAGTCCCGTGACCGCAGTTGCATTCGTCGATCTTTGATTCGACCGTTTACCACAAGAGACAAAATCAATCCAGCAACACAGAATGCTTGGGTTTGTAATACTCGCAAGCTGGTAGGCATTTGCCACTTAGTGACCTTCAGAAAGGATTGCCTTAACATCTCTTTTCATTGGATGAGTATAATATGTACCTTGAACCTGGCTATATGGGCCTGCTCATTCCTACGGCTGTCATTGCACCAAACAATTAAGGCGATCTGTGAATGCCACTGCATCTGCATGGCTGCAGCATTACACATTACCAAGTACGTAGCACTCAGAAGTAAGCAACCTGGCTCCACATTAAAATCAGGCCACTGGTGCATGACGTACTCACTACATACATGTACTCGTATAACCTACCGCGGAGTCGTCTCAGCTCAATGTTATGGAGTGCGGACTGCGCATTTGTGCAAGTAGTAGGCAAGAATTGATGGCAATCCAGATAATTAGACTAGAATTTAAGAGTTGTATACATATAAACCCAGGGAAGCCACCCAAATCCAAGACAAAGGCACGACGCATGCTAAAATGAAACAATAAATAGAAGCAACAGGGCTAAACGGAAGGCCCTCGCGAATTAAACCAGAAAAAAGCAGTTTTGACGCCATGGAACGTCCGGTCCCAGCTTGGAGAAATGGGATCCGGAATGCAGTGATGAAAACCCCCTTTTTCCTGTAAAATCTTTTTGTGACGAAACCAAAACAGTAGCAAGCCAAGACGATGATTAGGATCAAGACAATATGTATATATTCCGGCAGGCGAACGAAATGCCGATATGTGCAATGCACGCCAGAGGTAAAGGGAGGAGCGGTTGGAGGCAACGATTAAATAGGTATGAAGAACCAGGCAGATTAAAGGGCGGCGTATCTTGAGAGAAGGATAGAAAGGATGTTTCTGAGTAGGCCATCGGTCATTGTGTTAGAGGTAGTTGGCATATTCGAAGGTCTGGTTGCCAAATTTGGCCCTCAAAGGATCGATCAATTGCGGAGGATTGTTGATTCGGTCTTCTGCAGTGCTGACCACCGGTCCTTGGGAAACACTATTGGCTTCCGACGGAAAGGAGGCGGGAAGGCTCATGCTGGAGGCGTTGGCTTGGCTATATGGCATGGCGGTATTCATGTGGTATTGGTGGTGATCATATGAATAGGGTCGGTAGTCGGGCGCCTCCGAGACCGGGATGGATTGCATGGCGGGTATCTGCCTCCCATGTTGTTGCATATGTGCATTCATGTCAATGCCACCAAAGGCCTTGGGTGCCGGCATGGCTAATGGGGATTGGTAGTTGTGCGCCTGCTGGTCTATCGCCATCTTCATTAGTCTTGATGCCCGATGATGTCATAGAAAATGTGGCTGGCAAGAACTTACTATGTCCATCGACGTTATAGTGAGCTTGTTGATCCGGCTGTCCAGTTGGGGATACAGAGCCCTCGATGGCTCGCTGTTGATCATACCCTACCACCATACCGTTCGCCGACCTATTGATACCATAATCCAAGGGGCGACGACTGTATGCCATGCTCGGATGAACGAGCGGCTCAAGCCCAGGCCTTGAATATCGCCCCGGGTAGTGAAGTCCATTGTGAAACGAAGCCTCAGAAAAGCTGCTGGATCTGGGGAACGGAAACGTGCCGCGGTTATGTCGGCTCATGTCGGTAAGAGGTGTATGAGCGCCCCTATTCGCGATGGCTGCTGTATGTGTATAATCATTGAAGTGTCGATCCGGTCCAGCTGAAGGGAATCCATTCGTTGTCGAGGCTGAGCTGAGGGGCGAGATCACATAATCGTCATCATTCCGAGGAATCCCATCGGTAAGCAGCATCTTCAAAGCATTAGTATCCTTGCCATAAGTGAATGTAAATTGGGGAGACGCAACAGGTGCCTCTGAGGTTGTTCTGTGATCAAACGGCGTCCGTAGCACTTGGGTTGTATCGAAGTCATCGGGCAATGCTCTGGATTTAAGGATTCGGTCCCGGTCGTTGCTTGTGAGTCGCTTGAGCTTCGCCCGTCTGCATGGAAAGTGTCAGCCTCACAGCTGCATGATAATGAAGCTCAGGTATGGCGGTGTATACCTGTTCTGGAACCAAACTTGAACTTGCCGTGGCGTCAAGCCAGGAATCTCTTTGGACAGCCGTTCTCGGTGGGCAGCATCAGGGTGTGCTTGACGGGTGAATTCACTCATCAAGAAGCGGGTTTGATTATGGGTCAGTCTGCCGTTTCTTGTTAGCAACACGGCGAATACGGTCCATTTCTATGACTTGCGCACCGGAATCTCTTCATCTTCTTCTTGTCGTGCTTATCTGGTGACTGTTTCTTGTCGCCATTTTCGGACGACGCAGCTCCTTCATCCGATGAAATCATTGCGGCATCTCCATCTCCTTTCTCCTTGTCATGCGCTTCTTCTTCAAGTTTGAACTCGGGTGTTGTCTCTTTTGCATTCTGTGAAACGTCGGCTCCTTCAGCATGTGGATGGTGAGGTCCGCTCTGGCTGATTTTCTCCTGTCCCATCTGAACCAATGGCTCCGTTCCCGTGCCTGTGTTGTGGTTCACTAAGCTATTATGGGGATTTGTCCCCCCAATGGGCCTGATTGGGCTAGATGAGCCGGCGGCAGCAATAGCTGGAAAGGCATTCTCAGCCTTGATCACAGCGGGCTGCATGTCGGCCGAAGGCGTCTTTGTAGGCTCGCCTTCTCTCTCCCACGGCCCGGGCAATTTGGACGGGATAGCCCTCGGCTTCGGTGCGACTTGCTCGCTGCTATTCCAAGAAGCTGTCGACCAATGGTTGGTGATGCCGGGAAGATGTGAAGTAGAAGGTTGTGATAATGAGGACAACCAAACACAGGGCCCGCTGATTGACATGGTAGCAGAGGATGTGTACCAGTATACCATGTACAGGTAATAGAAAGAACAATTGTTATGCTGAAGGTGGAAAGAGATCAGGCGTACTGCAGCTGGGAACGCAGATATAGACTGACTCTAACTTGCAACCCAGATGCCAGACCAGGGATGACAGAGTGGGTCTGCACGAGCTGTCGGGGCGCTTGCTGAAGATGCACCGGATCTCCGAGGACGGGTCGAAGACACGAAGGAAAAGAGGAGTAAATGGCAAGTTCTTTGCGTGTGAGACGCAGCAAGTAGTCGACACACAGCAGCGTGGACTCTGGACGGCGGGCAAGCGACAGCAAATGAACGACAGCGCTACCCTAGTAATGATCTCCCCCTTGACTTACACTCCGGGGCGATAAAGGAGATTCTCGGCCTCCGCTAGGACCACTGACGAACGGCAAGAAATGAAAGGTCGATCCCTTTGCTGGGTCCAGGATTCAACCGGAGAGGGGGGTGGATTGTTACCGGACGGTGGGTAGGAAGGTTATAGAAGAGATTAAACGGTGCCTAGCCCAAGCGGGTAACGAATGCACGATCTCGGGCAGTGGAAATAACGGAGGACGTTAAATGCAGGCCCTGATCACCTCCGGCCAGTGCGAGAGATCCACTTTCAAGTTGGCCACCGCAAGCACAAAACCGTGCTAGTAATGCAGCAGCGCACACGACGGGCAAGCTCCTCCCACGAACGAGTGAGGGGAGGCTGAGAGGACGAACGAGAGACGAGGAGGACAAGAGAGAGGAGGGGGGAGGGGGAAGGGGGGCAAGGGACGAATAATCTTCAGGTCCTTGTACAGGGTGTTGTAGCAAACGATAGGTAGATGTCAGCTGCTAACGCGGAGAACAAACTCAAAAGAATGAGGAAATGAAACTAAGACCGACAGGAACGAGCGTAAGAAAACAGGAAATTAAATGGAACGGGCCACAGCTTGAAGGTTCGGTACACGGAGATCCCAGACCATCCTACGATTGTCAACTAAACCTCCGGAGGCGTAGCGCCTACTGAGCCATCCAGGACCAGGACCGGAGTGACAATGAAGGTGGGAACGAGGGTGAAAGTGGGAATCCAACACGGGCTGGGGAGAACCGGGGGATGCTACCACAATGGATAGGAGGGGGATCCAATTCAGTCCGGCTGCTGTCGTCGTCGTAGTACCTTCGGGGTGGTCGACTAGTCAGCAACCACAGCAATGACAGCAGCAGTTGTAACCGTAGTTGGAACACTTGCTGGAGAACGTCGTCATCAGACACGGTCCTGACCAACGAAGGAGTCTGAGATGACCACGCTCCGAGTCACCAAAGGCCCGTAACTAGCACACTGCAAGACAAGCGTTGACTGGGGTTTCGGCTTACAAGCGAGGAGCAGGAATTCGATATCGATGAAGGCAATACGTGGTGGGAGGTGGTGCAGTGACTATGAGAATAGAATTGGTAGATGGGGATTGCCCAGAGTGTAGAAAGTATCCATGTAGAGTGCCAAATTCGACGGATACTGTAAAGTGGCAATGTGAAGGGTCAAGCCGGGGACGTTCCCTACAGGCGTGATATGCGGAAGAGGGACTGACAGCCCTGCGGACGAATGATGCAGAGGATTATGGAAGAGCGTGGCTCTTCAGGTCCAACGGGAGAGCAAATCGCCCCAGAGCTCACGCAGGGTATGAATGAGGCGGGAAGAACAATCGTCAACCGTTCCTACGCCATTCATGTCCCGCGCTCCTCATTGATTGTAAAATGTCCGACGTGGAACCGGCGCCCGCAACCTCTGCATCGCATCGTGCGGGTCATTCAGAGTCTGGGACAGGTCGTTCCTAGTGCCGAATCCACCGGTCATCCTGGTCGTCAGCCAACCGCAGTAGGAAAGGGTCGAATAGACCCTGGTTATCGACCTGGCTCATCCAGTCACAGTGTGCCGTCTTCTCCTTGCGACAGTAAAGATGGCAATCGGCGGTACGCACCATGTGGAAGTGCTGCCGACAGCACTAGTCGGGCGTTGGCTGCTCCATAACCCGCCGGACACCGGGCATGGATCGACTCATCGAGACACAGGAGGGGAGGGGGGTCATTAGGTTAGGGAGCCACTTGGCGATATCCCCACCCACCTTAGCCACCATGGCACCAACAGTCCGGTGGTGTGAAACAATTGACACGTGAGAAATAACGAGAGAGGGCAACCAGCAAGCAACCTCAGGAGCTAGCCAGGGGAACATTAGACAGGGGCTACTATCACGGAGAATGGAGAGGGAGATTGACCGCATTAAAGGGAGTTTGAGCGGATCGAAATCCCCCCTCCATCTCCTCTTCAGCGTGAACAATACACAATGAATCTAATCAATGTCAAATCGTTTAAGACCGACAGGAAATTAAATTGTCGTCTTGTCCCGAAAAGAAAACACCGCGGCTCTGGAGAAAGAAAAAAAACCTCGAGGTGGAGACGGGGCGACAAACCGTCCATCGGGTCATCGCATCTTGGGTACGATCCAGCAAAAATACTGGTTGAAGCGATAACCTTACCAGACTGTCATCTCAGGTACCGGTCAGGAAGTGTACCGGGCTTTTTTTTCCCTTCTCGACGGGCGTTCGTATTGTTAATGTGTGTGTGTGTGTGTGTGTGTGCTATCTAAAAGTCAGGAAGTGCATTTCCGCCCGGTCTCCACGGAGCCAGGCGGACAGGGCGGAAAAAGACAACGAGGTTGCCATCATCATCATCATCAATCATCATCATCATCATCATTTTGTCTCTCATGATGATATTTTCGTTCTGTAGCTGCTTGTAGCGTCATTGTCAGACAGGTTGATTCCTGTCACATCGACTGTCACATCGAGAGTTGACGAGTAACGACCAAAGGGGAGGGGGGAGCTAGTAGTTTGGCGGTACTCCAGACTCCTCGGTACTTCGTACTGGATGACGGTATGGTGGGTGCCATGGTATCTATTCCAGGAGAAGAGGAGGTTGTCGGAGGAGGGGGGGCAAGGATTTCCAGCCTCTAAGACTTCTTGTATGTATGTCCCTTAGCCCAAGAAGGCTTAGAGGGAGGTCAAGCGGTAGAAAGTTCAGGTCAGACAGGGTTTTGCGGAGAAAGATAAATGCAGAATGGACGCCGAGTTTTCAAGCCTCTCGCGGCCGAAGCAACTGGAGAAGGAGAACTTGGAAGGAAAAGGTACCGGCTAGACTCCAGTTAGTCGAGTTAGTGCAGTTAGTGCAGTTAGTGCAGTTAGTGCAGTTAGTAGCGGGTTAGCGTCCCTCACTAGTCTTTGGACCGAGGCTGGTGTGTGTTTAGTCATCCACTGACCAAAAGCAAAACAAGTCAGAACAGTCAGGACAGTCAGGATAGTCAGGACAGTCAGGACCACCAGGCGGACCATGCACACTGCACCAGAACTGTACTGTACCGAGTAAACCACAGAAATCATTTCAATGTCTGACCTCCTAAACCAAGCTTGACGCTAGAACCACGCAGTCAATCGGGGAAATATAGAAGGAAATTGTCGAGAACAAAGAAACCCAAGACGAAAAAGAAGGGGGAAAAAGAAAACAGCTGTCACTCTGTCTCCCTCCTTCTTTGTTCCTTACTCCTTTCCTCTGTCTCGCTCGTTCTCCCTGTCTCCAGTCTCCACCTGTTCCATAAGCCGGACCAGAACGGGAGCCACTAGACAACGGCCGGATTGCGAGACCGAAACTTGTCTCGCTCCACTCCTAACGCGAGCATGAAACAACCCGGAAGATATTCGGTAAGAAGAATGAGGAAGCAACATGAGGACGAATCTGGCAAAGGTCAGGCGGCCAGAGAGCGGGGATCATACTCGTACGCAACCAACGCAACAAGTTAGCAGCAGCAGTGGAGATCTGGCAGGAACAAGACGACCCTCGCTTGCTACTCAAGCAAATGCTGGATTGATACTGAGTAGCAATGTCGAGAGAGACTTGCAGCTAAGTTACTCGCTAACATGTACAGTACATCGCCTCGTTGGCGGTAATAAACAGGTCTTACATTACTCTAACTATGAGTATGAGTCTCGTAAAGACCGTCTAGAGATGGCGCATACGCCAACAAGCTACTAAACCTTTCCAGGCTACCCACTGACTGCTAGAGTGTGCTAAGTGCTCAGGATATACCAATAGCTTGGGAAACCACCCGAAGATAGGTCATCCAAGAGAATATCTACGTAGTCAACCAACACCGAGCAAAGAAAGATGACGATGAGACTAGAGGAAATCAATAGAATGCATGATAAGACAACTATGACCGACTTGTGCTTTCTAGTCAGTGAGGTAGAGGCGGCAAGAAAGTCTAAAAAATTGTAGGATAATAAATGATTAAAGGATATACTCTGTAAGGATAAGGATAAAATAAAATAACCGAAATTCAAAATTGTTTTAGGCTACGTAAATGATGAAAAAAAAGCAAGAAAGAGAAAAAGAAAAAGAAAAAAAAAAGAGGCGGCAGGACTTGCTTGGAGAATTGAATGAATCCGACAGGTGGAAAAGTTCCGGTGGGGCAAAGCAAATCCTTGCCTGCACCATTAAAGATAGAGGCTGAAGGAGCTATTGGCTAATACTTACAGTACTCATGATAATCATACAAATCATACAATCGAGCCCGCAGCAATCGCAACCTCGACATCATCGATCTGTCTTACCGCTACTGACTCTGGTCAGAGACCGAGTACCATCGGTTGCGAGAAGAGGAAAAATAGTGGGCAACTGATGTGAGTAGTGTGGGGATCGCGATACGATCAGTAGGAGCCTCGGAGAAGACATGAGATGCGCTGACCAATTGCCTAATAAGGGTCGGTCTACTCATCGCCTCCGTATATGTATGTAGGCAGCAATTTTGAGGTACGGTACAATATGTTTCCATTGTTTTGGAGCCAGGTAGGCCAGAAAGCCACAATGCAGAGTGATCAACTTGAATGGTGCAGAGCCGCCGTCGGGGCATGCATCGTACAGCAGTCGCTGGTGTCTTTGAACGCAGGTC